TTAAAAAAATTTAAAAAAATGAATTGCAATAAGAAAAGATTTTTTTCAATTCACTTTACAAATAAAAATAACCCTTAACTAAACTTTGATATAAATATTGTAAGATAGAGAATGCTTTTCTGGTATCTTTAAGATGAATTTCATTTCAAAGAAGGTAAGTGTATACAATATTCCAATTTCGTACTTTTCCAAATTCCGCCTTTCCATTGCAATTATTAATTCCTTATTCATTAGTAATAAAATAATTTGAATATATAAAAAATAAACTGAATGATTATAAGTACCCGATCTATTATATTTGTGTTACCCGAAATTGAAAAAAAAAAAAAAAAAATGTGTTAAGTCTAAGATGGGCGCATTTATAAATCTTGCAAGGGGACGCACCTGAGTCTATGTACGCCACTTTTCAAAATAATTGTTAATATCTGCATTCTTTTACACTACTTTTACTTAAAAGAATTTTTTTTCTGAAATAAAGCCAGATAATAGCTTCCCAAAAAATAATAACTTAGTGAAATAGCATGTTAAATAATAATTTAGCTAATAAAACAAAAATCCTAAGCTAATTTAGCTAATAAATAAAATAATTGCTCGTATGCCTGTTAAGGCAGAGGGGTGCGATTGTTCTTGTTTTCCAGTGGCGCCATCTATGGCCAAAAATTCGACTTCTGCCATACCCATACGTCACACTCGTTTATAGGGCGAACCCATTCCTACATCCATTAATTCATTCAAAGATCTTGATTTTGACCTGCATCAGAGCACGAAGTTGAATTCCAGTTAGTTTTAATGCGAATGTTAAGTTCGAGTATGCTGCATTCAATAAATTGCGAATTGATTTCTCTGAAATTTAGATTGTTCTTTTAATCATTTTGAACGAAAGTCTTAAAGCGCAAGCTAAGACTTTCAATGCATGGAATTTCTGATAAATATGAAAATTTTGAATGCAAATTGTCTCAAAAATTGTCCTCTTTTTTTTATTATTGTTACTTCAGTTTCATGTCAGGAAAAAATGTATTTTTAAGGTTTAAGAGTATCGTAGCGTAATTTGTTATTATATATGAGCGATTTTAAAAATGTGGAAATACTTGCGTTCCAAACAGATTTTCATATATTGAGCAATTAAAAAATTGCTTTATCCACATTTTTATCCTCTATCACTGTATATATAATCTTAAGCTATAGCAAAATATTCTTTTCTTAGATTTTCCCGTGAAGTGTCATGCACCACTTATTTGAGATACTAAAATCTGGAAATGTTTAAAAAATAAATTTCTACAAAAACAAATAAAAACACGTGTTAAAAATTTGAAAAAAAAATCACAAAAATACTTCAAATGCTATTTAATATATCATCAGAGTATTCTATTTTATTGATTTATTTGTATTTTTTAACATGCATTTAAAAGACAAACCGCATGTTAATTACATTTGAAAACTTGTAAATTTAAGAGCAAAATGTACATTTATTAGCACTCACTATATTCTTGTTCACGACTACTGTTTGGTAAAATTGCCAGTATTCCAACCGGAATAGTGGCAAAAAATTGCCACTATTCATGCCGACAGGCTTGTATAATAGTCAGGGATCTGTCCTCTAGTCAGGAAGGTCCAGATTATGAAGCCCGGTCAGAGGCATGCCTGTTTTCTCTCCGTGCAATCTGTCGTTGTTGTAGTTCATTTATGTCGCACTAGAGCTGCACAATGGGCTATTGGCGACAGTCTGGGTAACATCCCTGAGGACGATCCGAAGACATGCCATCACAATTTTGATCCTCTGCAGTGGGGATGGCACCCCCCCCTTCGGTATCCCAACGACCTGCACGTGAAGTCGAGCATTTTACGGTAGAACAGTTTAACGAGGACCGCACACCCTCAGTCCCTACGCAGACTGATCCAAATGGTCACCCACCCGCACACTAGCCGTAGCCACTGATGCATGCTTGACATTGGTGATCTGCTGGGACCGTGTCTTAATGATCAGTCCACTGCGGGACCCGTACTATCTGTCATACCTACCATAGAAACAACAGTGGTCCGCCTAACATCTCTGCCCTGATAACCGAATGACGCATGTCAACTTATATTGATGGGCTTTGGAAAAAATCTACATTTTTCATTCATGTGATCCATAAATCATAAGCTTATCTCTTCTAGAGACGTGTGGACTACTTTTGTTAAAGGGTATGTAGATGAAAGATCCTCAACAACCAATATCTAAAGATATTGACTTGTTTACCGTCAAAAACTTGAATTTGTAAGAGTTATCGCTATACATAATTAAAAATAAATTTATCTTTTGCATTCTTTTTAAGCTATGTTAATGACAAGGGTTGAATACATTCAACTTGAAACTGAAGAAAATCTAAGAATTGAACTGAAAAATGCAATTTCATTCAGAATAAGTTTCTAATCTTGTTTTCTAACAATGTTACCATTTTTAAAAACTTGCCTCCTTCAAAAACATTTGTACTCTTCAACAATAAGAATTTAAGAAATAGCCATGGCACGGAATATTATTCCATAATTTAGATAAATTATTTGATTTTACTTTATTAATGTTCTATGTATACATTCATATTAGTTACCCAAAAATAATAAATCACTCATATCCGTCAACCATTTAACTGTTTAGGACTTTTCACCTTAACATCAAAAACCCTTCAATCTAAACTTTATTACACACAATGAAGATTAAACATAATTCATTAAGTTGAGCAAAAAACAACTACAAAAAATTGAATTCTTACTCCAGGCTATTAACCATTACACTTTTTTTTCAAAATACTTTATCGACAATAACAATGTAGTAAAAAAATAAAAACTAAGTTCTCAGAATTTCTTTAGTAATTTTGCCAGCATTTTAAAACCCTCACTACGAGAGAGCTGAAATAAAATGGCGTTTTATATAAACTTTTCAACAATAATTTCCGTGTAGTGTAATGAAAAATAACTTTACATCAAAGATACAATGTTTTAAACTTTGTACCCACATTATAATTGCTTTCCTTGAACAAAATTCAAAATCGAATAAAGTTGTGAATATTGCTTTGTGGAAAACAGATTTAAAGTTTCGTCAGAATAATTTAATCCACTTTTAAAAAGTTAATTTTACACGATAATAGAAATTATGAATGAATAGAAATTATGAATCATAATGAAATTTTAAAAATAAGCATTGAAAAACTCACACTGAACTTGCATCTTTGCGCCAAAAAAGAAACCACCTGCACAACTACTTTGCACTTCAGAATAATCATCCACTCAAAATAACACTACCTTCTTCACTAGCACTAAAGGTGAAAATAAATCGCTTTCTATCAAAAAAATCGAAGCTTCAGATTTCAGAAAATATCGTTTGCTCTTTATTTTTAAATTTATCCTAATGCTTTGGTTTCGAATAAGATTCTATGCAAACGATTTTTCAGAGTTGTTTAGTTGTAATGTTTTGGCAATTTGCTTACAGTTGCGGTTTACAACATGTGGGTATTTAAATTTATTTCCTTCTATTTCATATAAATTATGTTAAAAAAGCAGCTTCTTTTGTTTACAAAATTTCAAAACTCCTGCATAAACTACCTATTCAATAAGTTGAAAAATTTGTATTAGTTAACTGTCTAAATAAAATATTAATGAATTTATTAAAGTTGTATATTTTTATTACGCCAATATTGTACTGTATTATTTACTAATTTAAAAACAAAAATAACTCCAAGCCTATAATTCAATCTACTAACTTATCAAAAAACATTTTTTCCAGTATTTAATGTCCATTTAGATTTCCAATAATATTTTTTATAAAATCAACAGGCATTGTATCAGAATATTTAAAATTTTCTAATACAATGCTCGTTAATAATATAACTGGATAATTAAATGATGTAAAGCATTTTTAACTTTCAATCAAATCTGAAATATAGACTGCTTGCGCGAAAAAAAATATTCTAAAATAACAACTTTAATGTGTGTTTATACTTTTAAATAAAAGATCACTTTGAAGTTATTACAGTACGGTATTCAAACAATTTTTTTTTGGATTGGGGGGGGGGGCGTTTATAATTTGCTATTCTCAAACTTTGAAAGCGTTAAAATTTATTAGCTCCCCTTCAGTCTCACTCTAGGTAACCAGTTTATTGTTTTAGTTAATGCATATGTGGAAATAGTTGTCATTAAATCATTTAATACAGATTTATAATAATTTGCACTATTTTTATTTAAAAAAAATACTCAAGTTTCAAAAACTTTTCTTTTGGAATATTTTTGCGTATTATCAATAATACTAGTTATTCGATGTACGTCATATTGAACCCGTAGTTTTAAATTTATCTGCGGATTCATTACAAACATTTCAAAAGTACTCAAATCACCAACTTTTAGCAAAATTTAAGACCTTATACTTGCGAGTAAATTATTCAAAATCAACAAATGAAAGTAGCAGCACAAAACAAGGAGAAAATGGACATTGCTCAAAATCAGGATAAAAGAAAATGGGCGTAGCATTTTTAGATTACTACGACTATTATTGTACCTTTAAAACATTTATCAGTGGATTTGTAAAACATAAATTTGTTAAATGAAAAAGATAGGGAAAAGAATTTAGGTATTTTGTGAAACATAGTTAACTGAACTGAAGCTTTTTTTGCGTGTAGTGATTTATATATTAGCTTTAATTTATACTTTTAGGAAAATACAAGTGTTCTTGATTACAAATAGTAAAATTAAGCAAAAATAGATTCTTTTAAAGTTCTATTTTTGTCCTTGCTTACATTAATTGCTAACATTATTTACCCGAAGAAAAAATAGAAACATTTTTAAATGCTGTAAACTAGAAAAAATTGAACACTCAAAACAAAACCATATAAACAGAAAGACACCAACTTTTGTTAAACATTTATTAGAAGGAATATGCTATTTAAATAAATATATATTAAGCAACAATAATAGTTTTTAAAATTTCTAGTTTAAAAATAAGTAAGTTAACAAACAAAATTAACAATAACAGTGTAAACGTTATAAAATATAAGTTAGTCTAAAACTCCAAATTCAGTTATCAATAAAAAAACGTCTTCCTTTAACTTTAGATTTCAAAATTTTTGCATAATCCAATCCTTGTGCTGGCTGTGCCATAGCAGCATGGGGACCTGCAAATGCTAAATAATGGTTGATACTGTCTTCCTTATCATGGTGACGAATGAAAGGATGTATGGTTATGGTACCTAAAATAAAATTGCAAAGTTTTAGAAAAATAAGATATCGTAAAAATATTAACTACTGTCAAACTGAAATGCATGAGTTTAAAACAGAAAACCATCAGAAACTGCATTTATGATTATCGAGTAAAAGCTAACAGATTCATAGATGAAGATTTAAAATTTTTAGCTTTATGACGTACAGTGCACGAAATAAACAGACCACCCTGAATAACTGTTGATCTAATGATCTGATCTTCACCTTCTAGGTATTATTCTCGATTATTCGAAGGGGTAATCTAAAATATGCTAATTAGTGCGGACGATACTTTAAGCTATAAAATCAGACACAAAAACGCACTATGAATATACCATTTCTTTCGACTTATTTGGATTACTGACCCCCGAAATATAGGGGTAGTCGCAATTTGGGAAAGATGGTCCCCATAGTTCGATCAGGAGAGAGATTTAAAGTTTGAACTCCTTAATGTTAATTTCCTTTTTTGCGCACTTCGCCATTAAGAATTTTCTATGAGACTTCAATTTTTGCACACATTTCGAAAATTAGTTTACCCAAAGATAACTTTTAGTAAATACTTATTCTTATTTTGTTTAATAACAGTTGATACAAAATTGAATTGTAAGGTATAAAATTTTTTACCTCATTTTAAAGGATGTAATTTTTCTGGGCAAAATACAAATTTGAGCAATGTCACAGTTCCTCTGAGAAATCTAATTTTAAATTTAGATTACTCGGGAACTATTCGACCGATTCCACTCAAATTTTGTATTTTGTCTCTTAAAATTACATTAATTAAAATGTAAAAATTATATACCTTACAATTCAAAACTTTTCGATCATTATTAAATAAAATAAAAATTTGCTTAAAGTTATATTTTCCGTGGAATTATCATTGGGCAAACGAATTTAATTGTGTGCGAAAATTTTTCAATTCTTAACAAGTTTTCAAGATAAGGCGAAATACGGAAAAAATTAACATTTAGGGGGTTCAAACTTTGAACAGTTTTCCTAACCAAACTATGGGGACCACAATCCCCAGACTTCGGCTACCTCTACATTTTGGGAGTCAGAAATCCGAAACTGTCGGGAAAAAAAAGTTTATTTTGAGAAAGTACATTTTTTGTCCGATTTCGTAATTTAAAATACCGTCTACACTAATTAGCATATTTGATATCACATTATCGAATCATTAAAATTAAGTTGTAGAACGTTTAAATTCGATCTTTAGATCAAAAGTTATTCAGGGTGGTCCGCTTTTTATTTTACGCACTGTACATTATGTTTCCACTCTGCAAAATTACATAATATAAACAGGTCAATCGCCAGATAAATTAAGATCAGATGTAGCTATAAATTTTAGAAGAATTGCAGAAATTTATTTTTAGAACTTTAGACCAAGGCCATGTCATACCATTAAAAACATTACATGTTTACTCTTCCAAGATTTTTAAAATTTTTATTTAATTCAGCTAATATTCATATTTTTCCACCAAATATAGAAGTCAACATATTAAATGTAGTCGCACAGAAGCAGATGTTTATTCCATAATTAGAATTTCTTAACACAACTGCTTAAAAATCATTGTTATATTTTTGCTTTAATATTACAACTCTTTTGGATTTGAATCTTTCCTCAAGTTATTTAAATATACTGCTTATTTGTTTGGTTACTTTCAATTAAGCTTATTTTCAATAAATCGAGAACGGTTCCTGTTGTAATCTCGTTAGATTAGAACCTGCTGCACACACGTCTGGGGAGTTTTTGCTCTTGCATTCTGTCTCTTCCGTTAAAAATGCTTAATTTTGAAATTCAAAAAAAAATTTATAATGAGATGTGGATTTCACTGAAATCAACGCATAATACAGTAACTAAAATTATGTATGTTAAATAGAGCAATGTCTTCCCCCTCTAAGAGAAGGATAAAGTTTGGGAAGAGCTTAAGAGTCTTGTTTTTTCCAAAAATATCTCACATTACAGACATAAAATTGTTCAACCATTTTCTATTGCCTTGTGTGTACCATTTTCTTGTAAGTTCAAAAGATATTTACAGTTCAAAAGATATTTTAAATTTGATTCAAAAAGTATACATTGCTTACCAACGCTGTTTATAGTATCTATATGAACAAATCCTGAAGCACCTTTATGTTCATACAATTTAACAGTTCCCTTTTCCTTATCCAAAACAAACAATATCAACTCCCCAGTTTGCAAGACAATCCAATCCAGTTCTCCATTTGCTGGGATTTCTTGATATTTTTGGAACTTAGCTGTAGAGTTTTCATACCTACATAAATATATTTACAAGTTTCGATCATTTGACATTATAAAATACGTACTCAATATAGCAAAACATTTCAAAACCAATAATTATAATCAAAAATAAAACAAGCGCGTTTTGATTGTTTTAAAACTGGATTTTCAGGAAATTTTACTGATTTTATAATAATGCCTTAAAATTGTAACTACTACTTTGTAAGTCTGCGTTTATCATCCGGTGAAAATTTTACAAGCAAAAAGAAAAAAAAAAAGTTTGTCGTATACCTTTTTCACGCAAATTTAAGGCAAGGAACAAATCTTATCGCTTCTTAGCTTCAGTATAAACACACCTTAAAAAATTTTCCCTACTAGTCTTTATTACGCTTTAATTTCATAACCTGGCAACTATGTAGGGTCATGAAATCTTTTTTTTAAATCATATCGTTAAGTAGCATATATACTCTCCATTCTTTATACATTTTTATATTTGCTTATTTCGTTTCGAACTTTGAGTGTCTAAATTATATTAACTTAACCAGTCTTTTTGGTGTTCCTATTCTATTTAAATTTTACTTCAGCGATATTTATACAATATCAGAAATCTGCTTCTGCGGATATAACCTCGTGGAGGTGAGAAAGATCTAAAAAAAATGCTTTGTATCTTAGTAAAGTAGTCAGAGGTGCTATTTATCAGGAAATAAAAACAAGCAGTAAAAAATTTAATTTTTCTTTTTTCTCTTCTGGGGCTGACTAGGGCATTCTAAAAATGACATTCTAAAATTATCCAGTGCACTGAGAGGGTGACCGAGCAACCATTGTGTACATTGCTTCAAGAAATCATTAAATTCTCGGTTAATCTGTCTTAATTTAAGCATACAAGATGGAAATGGTTGGTGCCTGAGAGTTCTGAGAAAGTTCTTATTTACCTATATATTGTGACTTTAGGCTCCTCTTGGAGTTTCGGAATTCGTCCTCCTCCAACAGCTAAGAACAGGTAAGACGAATAATCTGTATGGTAATCCATCAAAAGTAAAGACTGGACATATTTTGACGAAATCCCTTGTACAGGTTTCGAAAAAACTGCTGCTTCAAAATTCCAGAAATAAATATCTATATTGTTCTCTGGAATGTAATTGATAGATCGTGGCCTCAAGTCTTCAGCTGCCAGTGCTAAAATTATTTTTCCGTGAGACTTCATAATATCAGCCTGAAAGGATTTAAAACAGAAGGAAATATATCAAAAGGCAGATTGTTACTTTAAACATAAAGCTATGATTTTTATAGAAATGCAGTTAAATTTTAGAAAAATTTAAAGTAATTTGTGGAAATAAAGAATTAAATTCAATTATTGAAAATCATAAGAGAATTTGAACGTTGAAAATTCCTCATAGTTTCAGACATTCCTCCAGCTTATTCAGGGTGTCCAGAAATGGCAGTCTCCGAATGCAACGGAAATTATATCGGACATAATGCCTGGCTAAGTAGAAATGGTCAGGGGGATATGTTACGATATTATGGTTCAGTGGTTAACTGAAGTGGAGTATGACCCCCCAGAGAAGCTTAAAGCCCACCTAGCTATAGATAGATGGGTACCTGCCTGTCTGGAAAGTAAAGGTGGTGTATGCGCCATCCAAACCACAGTTCCAATTCACAATCAGGCAGTGGGTCACGAAATTGTGAAGCCTTAACCTTGACCCTCCTGGCCATTATCGGGCTGTTGCGGGAATGTTTCCATTTTTACCGGTTGTTTGCGCACCACGAACGAACAATTTCATGCATTGCTGAGCGTTTGCTCTTGACTGAGTCCATCTTTTTAAACAAGGCGTAATCCGAGCTTCATTCGCCAGGACCAAACCAGACATGGATGAGACATTTGTTTGCAATATTGGTTACCCCTCGTATTGACACCGTTAGCTGCGGTGTCCACTTTAGTACCAGCATTTGTCAAATATTGGTAGATGGCACGTCTAGAAAGTCCCTTCTTATATAGTATAATCTTGCGAAAGATCATTACATCCCTTCCTCCCATAAAAAAGCATGTCCAGCGATGACCGTGATTGTGACCTTAAATTGTCTTCAGCCGTAATGACGATATCGAAAGGGATGGCCGCTGTCTTATCCTTCGCCCAGTGCCAATTATGCATTTTGTATAGCTTATGCTTGTGCATATTTCACTGATTTTCCTTTTCGAATATTGCGCAATTTTATGTGAAGGTCGTTGTGTCAATCATTTTGTATGACAACACGCCAGATTCGTACTATATTTTTACATTAAATGTACAATAAATTTCATAGAGATTAAACTTTAATTGAGTCATTCATCTAAAATTCAAATTTTCTTAGCGTCAAGTCAGAGGCAACTTATAGTAGAAAGTTTTGTCAACGAGTATTGAAAAAGATTGAAATAGGTGTTGGAAAGCATTGCTTATCCGTGTTTAACTTACCTTCCTACAACCAATTGTTGGCAGAGTTTCTCTATACGTGAATTCGTCATCAAGATTAGAAGTACAATACACTGTAGTCGAGCGCATCTCAACGCTGAAGAAACATGATAGAATATTATCCGTAAAAACACCCAATTTAATAATAGGACTCATTGGTATAGTTTGGAATAGAAGAAAGCCTTCACTTGTCCATTCATAGATGTCTATTTCTGCATTGCCTACAAAGTAAAATTTAAAAATATTACAATATTTAAAGTTAAAAACGGCTTAACAATCATTTCAATTAAAGTCAAAACTTTAAAATTTCACATTTTTAAAATCTATACTAACTTAATTTCCCAAGTTTAAAAATTTTCATAAAATGGTATGCACCGTATTTAACATCTTTTTCGAATTAATTCATGAACTATCCATATTCTAGGTTTATTTTAAATATTCACATAGATAACTTAAAACTGGATTTATAAGTCCAGTTGAAGAGTGAAGATGGAAGCTCAGCTGGAATTTGCACAGAAGAAAAACTTGCATATTGTTTCTACAGTTCATAAGATTAATCTAAGTTATATTTCTTAGTTTATTCAAACACTTGAAAGGTTAAGTTGATTAAGGGGTCGACAGTTCATAAAACTCAAATCTTAATTGCAGTTATCATGTTGTAATCAGAAAGTAATCTGTATAAATTGTGTTTTGCTTAAATTAGGTCAGATATTTAGTGTTCAGGATATTATAGTGACACGAAACATGTTGGTATGGCCGAGCGACAGCTAAAGGCATTCATCTTGCAAATAGGAGATCTTGAGTTCAATTCTCCAAGTGCTCACGATTTCTACAAAGACTTAAATTACTTAGGCGCGTGCTTAAATGCCTCTCAAGATTTTAGTTATTTATAGAATGTTAGTTTCTAGAACATTCTCTAACGTCATTTCAGTTTCGTTATTACACTGTATGCAACTTCATGCCTTTCAAGTAGAAACTACAGTTAACTTGTTTTGTCTTCTAGAGGTTTGTTAATAAATCTGTTCTACTTGCCAGCGTAAATTCTATTATTTCTACGCGAAAATATAGAGACCATGCTAAATTCAATTAGTCTATTAAGTTTGTAAGACAGTTACACAAATATCAATAAGCTTAAGATTAAATCTTACCTTTATTAGTCTTGCCTCCCAAACAGATTGATTTCGGGTTTTGGTTTCCAACAAACAAGAAAGTCTTTCCCTCAATTACTAAACTTTTCATGGATGTTGCATACGACGTTTGCAATTCCTACGAAAACCAAACATTTGTATAAAATAATTAGTCTGTAAAGTTAAAAAATGTTTATGACTAAAATTTAAATTTCAACAACGCTTCAGTAGTGGTTTTAAAATCACAAGATTCCATGTATGCATTTTTGAAATTTTTATGATTTACGTTAGTTTTGCAAATTTTCAGCAGCATATTGCTAAATTAAGAGTTACCCAAGTCAAGCGAGTAAAATTACTATGTAAAACGTGTATAAATATATAGATAAAGATTTGATTGATTTGCAGTGTTTAAAGGCATTAGACACTAGTTTAGTAACCCATTTTTTTCATTTCATTTTATTTTTGAAATGGATAGGTGATCTTATTGAATAATATTCGAAGGTAGAGAAACAATTGAGATTGAATTACTGATAATTTCAAAATCACTTCATTCAGATTAGTTTCAAATTTCAGATTTCGCTTTAAGTTTTTTGTTTTAAACTCTCATAAAACTGATTTTTAAATAAAATTTAAAAACATTCAGCATGTTATAAGTGCCCTTACAAAGAAAAATAATTTTTGATCTTAAGATTAGCTTGAATAGATTTTTGACAAGGGCAGGAATCTAATATATGGCGAGAAATGTATATATTACGTACTGCAGTTGAATAACCCGTGATATAAATAAATTAAAAGTGAAAGGATCACTAGAATACGTGGAGCTGATGTTTTCCTAAAGTACGCAAACTCTCGGAGAGGTTTTCAATCTCAGAAATTTTTTTTATAGGATTCAACGAAAATAAGTTTAATGGCACAAAATACCAAGTCAAACTTGAATGACTTAACATATTTAAAAAAAGAAGCTGTTCTAAACTAATTATCGCGGGTGATATAATATAGAGATCAATCTAATCTTACGCAATTTTATTTCAACAATTAGGTGACATTCAACTACGAAAAAAGTATCTGAAAGGGAATAAACTTTTTGTAAGATATTAAGAACAAAATTTTCCTAATTGTTTCCAACATAAATTCAATTAAAACTATAAAAGTTTAATCAAAAGCAACCTTGAAATTCCAAAAATGATACATTTAAATTTATTTTACCTGTTGCTCAGGAAGATATTGATTTTGCTCTTCATTGTATTTAAAGATTCGTATGGAAGAACACAAATCTACAGAGCTAGAGTTATCAGCAAGAAGCAACATTTCTCCGCAATCTTTATTCCACAAGTAAAGCCAACTGTAAGCTCTCGGTATTTCAAGCTCTTGGAACAGTTCATAGTATTGAAATAATACAGCTTGCTCTGAAATTGCACAATAAAACTAAAATTAGTTTTTAATAACGAACATTAATAAAAAGCATTAAGAAACATTACGAATAACGAACATTAATAAAAATTATAACTCCATTGATAGAATAATTAAGTCAAAATGTACTTTTACCTTTCTATCCTTGGCGGTACATCTTTTAACTAAACTGCTAAAATTTGATTTTTGAAGGGTTCAAGAGGGAAATTAAAATAACCACTATATTAAGAGATTTGTTTTCATATCTCCCATTCATTGTTTTTTCTCCTCTCCTTCAAAATGACTATTTAAATTTGAATTTTATAGTAAATTATAATAAGTAAAATATAAATTAATAAGTAGAATAAATTAATAAGTAAAATAAATTAAAGTAAAATAAAATAAATTAATGTAAAATAAATATAATTAAAATAAAATTAATATAGTAAATTATATATAAAAATTCAGTTTATAGTAAATTCGTATTTTGATTTGAAGTTTACTTCATGGAAAAAAATTTGGCTAAATGGGGCTAAAATGTTTGAAACTTTGTTAATACTTTAGATATTTGGCTAATTTACTGACTAATAATTTGAAGTCCTTAACGCTAGCCTTGTTAGCATGCAATTAAGCGAATAAATATTTGCTTGTTGCTATGCTTATTTTAATTCTAGTAATACACTCTGGTTAGAGAATATGGTTCATATTTGAAATTTAAATACAGTACATTCAATATAAAATTATCTAGATTTAACTTCAAAGTTACTTACTTTCTAATGCATCTTGAACTTTGATGACGACCTCATTAATTTCATCCAGTCTATTTTGGACCTTTTCATAATCTAGCTTTGTATTTATCTTTTTTTGAAGTTCAACTACGTCAACACCCGCTACTGTTGGGGCCTGAAGTGATTTTATGGTTAAAGGCTTGGTGAAGTGCTTAAGTCCTGTGATTGTGTTTTCTCGATCATTCTGTAGAGTATGCGTTGATAAATAGTCCAAATCTACACCATTAATGAGGCCATTCACAGTAAGAGAGCCTTTTATGTCAACGTCACCTCTAATAGTCTTTTGACCAGTGATAACCTGCTCTCCATAAGACATCAAAAGTGCTTCATCTGATATTTTCAAACCATCCAATAGACCATCCACTCTATAAGATTAAGTGAAATTCATTTTAATAGATGATAGTTCTTACGTTTCTTGCAGAAAACCTCGTGTGTCAGTGTCAAGTAGAAATTTTAAAAAGCAATTTTTAAAAATTAACCCAATAAATCAAGAAGTTTATTCTGTGGTTAAACCGTCAGTTTAAACTAAATTTATTTAACTAAAAAATGATATTTGTAATCACTGGAAAATATTTTCTGCAAAAGCGTAAAAGTTACGGTTATACATATTTGAACAGAGCATTAGACTGGATTACACACAATTTTTATTTTATGAAAAAGATTGAAGTATTTCCCCCATTTTTTTAAACAATAGAATAAGATAAGAGATTTGATCCATTGCTTATTGGAAAATTAAGCGAAAAAAGCTAAAATATGGCGTTTTTTACTTAAAACACTAGTCAATTTTTTTATCTAGTTTTCGGGGTAAGAAGTGTATGCATAAAAATAAATTGCAAATGAATAAATGAGCTATTACTGAAAATAAAGCTATTAAATGTTCCGATTCCATTAATTTATATTGATCTATGCAGAATGTTATAATTTGTACAAAGATTAAATATTATTGAATTAAGAATAGATTTTCTTCCATATTAGGGATATGCATCTTTGAGCTAGTAATCTCAACAGTGTTAGCAGAAGATTCTGTGCTAGAAAAATAGGCACATCTTTGCAAAACTGAACAAATTTATTTTCTCTACACTTTAAAATCTTCCGAAAAAAGCTCAATTATTGGCAGCTACGGCAATTGAGACAAATATCCTTTCGTATTTATCTAAGCTGGATTACGAAATAAAAGATTTGGTCAATTTGTTTAAAGACAGAAGGACCATTTAACAGAAACTTGAAGATTAGTTTTTCAAAAAATAATGCAACTAATTATTCGAAGACTTACTTTACATCTGAAACTTCCAGACTTTTAAAAGTCTTTTGTCCAGATATTTCAAATGTTCCTTCCGTAAGAACAGCTTTTCTAGACCAGTCAGATACGTCAACCCCTTGAATAAGTTTACCTTCGGAAATGTCAAGATCGCCAAGGACAGTTACTGGTTTTTGAAATATTTTTGGGCTTTGGATGTAGTTTGGTTTATTACGACGCATCAGACCACTAGGAACTTCCAATCCATTGACTCTGTCCGCAACAAATACGTCATCTGAAAATATTTATATTGATCATGGCAATTCTAAGATCTTCATAATCTACGTTATGAATTCTAGAACTACAAAGTGACTAGCGGGTGATACTAGATTTCAAAATAACAATGAGATAAAAGGACGATATAAATTTTATACTCATAGTGGACTAAAGCTTCAAATATACACTAAGTTCCCACAAAAAATTCTCCCAACAGCGAAAAAGGATCAGTTGTGCTGCTGAAATATGATTTTTAGATTTAAGTCTTATTTCCATCGAACAGCGCGGACATTTGGTTCTGCATTATTTTAGGTTACTAAATCAGGACTGCAGAAACAGTCTTAAAACGAGATTTAACTTTCTTTGGATTATATTTCACCCATTAGCCACTCGACTAATTTCGAAAAAGTAATTAATGACATTTTTACTGCTGGTCTGCTCTTTATTCTGACGTTTAATTGCTTCTTGTTTCTGAGTTATTTAATTTTATAAGATTTTGTTAAACATTCTAGATTCAAAACTAGATAAATCTAAAGTTTGGAAAAAAATGCCTTACATTTTTACATATAGCAAAACATTACAGTAAAATTTTACGAATCAAAAATTACAGCAACACAACCGCAAGTAAAACTATTTCGTGCATTTTATTTGTTATTTAAGAGATTTCAAACTTTTTAAGTAAAACCCATGTAGCTGAGGTTTTGAATGTAATTATACTATAAGTCAAGAATTTTTTAATGAAGGACTACCCATTTTTATTTACTGTACGGACTTAAAACTGCAGTTCTCAAACTTTTAAAATATTCATAAAACATTTTTCTCGTTAGTTCCCGATAGCACAGAAGTCTCATTCTGAACTTTGGGTTTAATGATGAATATCAATACAATTTATTTCTTTTTTAGGAACTTAAACTAAAAAAGTTTTTTCACTTTAAAATACTTTCAAAATTTCGTATTTTTCTTGAAATTTGAATGTAATCAGCGTTCATAATTACAAAAAGTTGAAGTATAAATATAATTCTATTTCGCGCATTTCGTTCCAAAAAATATTTCTCAGTTTGTTTTGAATTTGAGATTTCTTACAACAAATTAAGCAAATTAAAGGTTAACTTATTTTCTTACAAATAATCAAAATATGCAATATTTAGTTGGATTGATGCCATACAGCAAACGTTAAATTCCTAGTTATAAATAACAGTATGAGCTAACACTAATTTCTTGTTCACGCATACAGGGCTCCTGAACGTAAGTAGCTTTTTAGTTCTGCAATCGGAAGAGTATCATTTTTAGGCGTAGGTTTAGTATTCCCAAAAAGTTTTTCCCAACCCATTTACATCAGCTCATCTTGATGACCTGGAATCTTGCTTTATTCCTTTGAATGATGTTTACTTAACGACAATAGTTCTTCCTGAAACTCCATAACGAGTGGAAATGGATTTTACCCCGATTCGTCTATCGGCCACTGATCTTTCTTCTTTTTGTCTTATGTCTGCTTCCGTGGTTTTTCTAGTTTTGTTTCAATTTTACTTTTCCATTTTTCATTGGAAACTAAGTTTTTATTACAAATCATTTTCCCCTTACATTCACGCCTGGCAAGTCTTGAAAATGGGTGCCTATTTTCAATCGCTTGAAACATGCCAACTGCTATTTCATGTCTGTATACTTTTAAAGCGAATGAAGTTTTTAATCGGGCAATATCTCACATCTTCAGTTTCTTGGGATTATTTATTCAATGCTGCTCATATTGAATCTATGTGAGCTAACTTTAATTTGATGTTATAACCAAAACAATATAATTGAAACTGATTTTTTAATATTTACTTTTATAAATAAATGCTGCGTAACTCAATTTCTGCATTTTAAGAACTGTACTAAACTTTAAATATATTACCTAAAAAGACAACTTCATCATAGTAATGATCCGCGGCAATGGTTTGTAATCCATCCTTTTTCATAATTCTTTCATCTAGGTCTTTGATATCAATTCCATTCACAAGATTATTAAGCGAATCAAACTTGTCCGTCGCAAGGGTTCCTGAAAGAGAATTTATTAATTACTAAACAAGATAATTATCAACAAAAAAACCCAATTAGATGAACATTAATAAATATTCAACTGAAATCTACAGTGAAGAAAATTAAAATCTAAGAAAATACGACACAAAAGGACAAACTTACAGTTTTCCTTAAAATCTAAATTGCTTCTTAGTAAGGCATTTTCCATTTGTTTTGCGCAAGTTATTTTTAAAGTTATATTCACAAAACAAACTTTAAAATTTAATTGTACTAATTATTCATTGATGAGTTGAGAAAATTTAAATTTAAGTTCATCAAGAAAAGTAGTTTTAACTTATTGTAATACATTGCTGAGATAACTTAAAACTATAAAAAGTTGATAAATTGCTGCTAGAGAATTTAGTAGAATCTTCGAATTAATTTTCTCAGTTTGCGTTTTAAAACTCAAAGATCTGGAAGAAAATGTTTAAAAGACAACACAGGCTACAATTATCGGAAAGTTGGCGAAATTCAAAACTAATCAACTTAATTCAGAATGGCCATTAGCTATTTGTAAAAAGCAAAACTGGGAAAAATGTAAAGTATCAACTTCTTAATCATGGATCCATCCAGAAAATATTAAATTCCAATAAACCATTTAATCCTATTAATCTCGTAACATTCGAAATATATTAGGGTTGAGATATTAATAAAAATTGAACACTACTGCACTGAAACAGCCATATAAAGTAACATTTCTTACCCTTGAAATTTGCTTCTTCAAATTCCATTGGAGCGTCAATAATTTGATCACGTGTCAAGCTCATGTAAGTTTGATAAAGATCTTTTAAGTCAACGCCTCCAAGTTTTCCTTCAAGTTTTATAGGCTACAATAAAAAATGCTCATTCAGTATATTAAGATTTCAAATGAATGATTGGGGCAATAAGCTAAATTTTCAATTAGAACGGGATGAAATTCATCTTTAAAAATTTAAAACATACAAAAGTTGAAGTTTTATTTAGCAGTAGCTAACTCAGAAATAAAAGGTCAGCAAATAAGATTAAGAAAATAAGTTCACAAGTCATATGTTATAATGTGTCCTAATATGTACTGTTAGTTTTTCTACTGACATTGGCAGGACTAAAACATGACAGAATATAAAATAGATTTAGATTTCTCTAAAAACTTATTCCAAGTGTAAAAAAGTACTTTCATAGGCCGCAATGCCAAACATTTATTTTGCAATAAAGCCTTAGTGGTTTAACTTTGAAACATTAAATTATTGAAGAATCAAAATAATCATTTAATAAAAGGAAACTTACCCCTTCAATTGTTAAATTTTCGAAGACTTTATAGCCATCAATAACGAATGAGTCTTCATCCAAAGCAACAACTTTACGAAGCTCTTCTATATCTACTCCAGCTATTTTGCCTCCAACTATTCCACCACCCGTCAGAGTTACATCTCCTTTGATTGTCAAATGAGTAATATTTTGCTCCTTTTTAGCAACAAGGGTATTTTTGCAAATGTCTTCAATTGAAACACCATCCACCTTTCCACTTACAGTTAAATCCCCATCAACAACCAAATCCTGGGTGAAGGTCTTTACTCCAGTTATTACTTTTTCGCCAGATTTCAAAACAGCTTCCTCCGACAAGTCTATACCATTAACATTTCCAGACAAAGTAATATCACCTAGAGATGTCACAGTATCTCCAAATATTACAGGACCTTCAATAGTAGCAGGTTCATTTATTTTAACTACCGACTCATCCAGCTCTGTTATATTTATACCATTTATCAAGCCATTTACACGAATGCCATCTACAGTTACATCATTTAAAAACGCAGCGTCTCCTTTGACTATTTGTGGTTCATCTCTTAACATCCAGTTCTTCATATCCCATTCTGAGACGCCATCAATGGTATCTTTAAATTCTAAATTTTGAAACGTAACAGAGTCTGTAAAAGTTTTTTCTCCTGTTATTTCTTGAGGTCCATCAATCAGAACTGCGTCTTCCCATAAATCTCTAATATTAACCCCATTAATGGTTCCAACTTGTAGGTTCCCGTCTGGTACTACATTAATATTTCCCTTTACAGTCAGAGTGCCTTTCACTTCCTGATCACCTAAAAATATGGATTCCAAAAAATAAAAATTACGGAAAAATAAGGGTATGGCAAAAACTTAGATAAAAATTTAACAAAAAATTTATTAGTAGTTTTGTTCGAAATTGGAAATTCAGGGCAAGAGTGCAGTCAGTCAAGATTCACAAAATATAAGTGAGAGCCAGATTTATGAATTACTAAAATTATGAAGTTGTGAAAATCACGGAGCATTCGTCTACATACAATACTTTCTATTTCGGTACTTAAAATCAGTTTGATAGATTGGCAGACGAGCATAATAGCTGAGTGAAAGAATGCGATTATACTGCGCCAAGCATTCATTATTATAGGCACGCTAGCGAAGTCAAATGAAGGAAAAAATAAGCATAAAAGGTTACCTATGAGTCGCGAAACATTTGAAGATTAATCTATGAGTGGCAATAACTTGGAAGATATTTGGTAAATTATAAAGATTTAAACTTTAAAAAATAATCGTTATGTACTGTAGTTTGAACGACGAAACGATTATATCAATAAATTTGGGAACAGGGATTACTTTTTCAAGTAAAACTCGCTAATTGATATATTTTTGTCGAAAGTGTTTGAACTCAAATTGCAAGTTTTATTTTCACTTTTTAGTCTAAAAAACATTTTACGTACAGCTGCTTCAATAGAACTACAAAAATAATTTCTTGATTTTGCCACATTATGAAGTTCAAAGCAAATCCATTTAGAACTAAAAGTGATAGTTTCGTTAAAAATTTTAATGCCGATTTAAAATTTTGATACAAGACAAAAAATTAATTCATCAATTTATATTTTTGATCAGGGGCTTACAACTGAACAACTTGTTCTACAATATGCTTGCTTACAATTGCTTAATGTAAAATAATAGATTTGATATAACTACATAGACAGAGCAAAAAATTCATGAACTTAAAATTTTTAATCACTAAAGAATAACATCTCCAAAAAGGATAAGGTATATTCTGTGCCACGTAGATTAACAGGTATTACGGGACTTGGCAGGTACCCCTAAATGATACCCTTTGCTTTAAAAGAAACTTAATTTTCAAAAGTAATGGTTAAATTCAGAGGCCTATTTTGACAAAAAAATAGAGTTAAATTTACAAACTTATTAATGATGATTGCTATATTCAATTGATTATGCTATAAAGAGCGCTGATAAAATACTTACCCCCATAAGTCAATGTATCCTTCATCATTTCTTCTATATCAATTCCATTTACTTTACCTGCTACTTCTAAATTTCCGGCTACAATTTCTTGAAAAGTTACATTATCCAGTTCTCGTGCATGTAAAAATACGTCCTCATTCAGCGTTACAAAATTATCAACAGATACTCCATTTACAGAGCCTTTAACAATCAACTTGTTTACTTTTACATTTTTGTTAAATACTTTTGATTTCAAGACTTGATTTCCAATTCGCAAAAGAGTGTTATTGAAGATTTTCATGTTGATATTATTGATTGTTGAAAGTACAATGCTGTTTTCTTCTAAAACAATATCGACAAAAGTCTTTGTTCCAGTTATTGTTTGGGGTTTATACTTAAGAACAAAGTCTTCCTCAAAATTGTAGCCATTGATATCATGGCTTTCTAAATCATCAATCTGGAAAATAAATTTTTATGTATGAATATATACTTTTAACACAAGCAATTTTACAGCGAGAAATAAATTTATGATTAATACGATTTTATGCTCTTGGGCATTCTAACAAAACTGTAAAATTTTTATACTCCCTTGAAGACAATATTTTAGATTAGTAAAATCAGAACTAATAAAAAGAGGACGACCAAACCTAAGATCTTTAGATTGCCTTGAAAAGGACCTACAAGTTTTAAAGATAATAAACTGGAGAACCTTGGCTAATGGAAGAATGTCTTTGCATAGGCTTGTTGAGAAGGCCAAGGCCCGTCCTGGGCTGTCGTGCCAATGAGAAGTAAAATCAGAAGCAAATTTTGACTTAAGCTGCCATAGTTTATTTGTATCTACAGTACTTTCCAGATTCTGTAAACTTGATCCCTACTTACTGTAACATTTTAAAGTACACGTTTTAACAAAAGGGAAAAACTACCGCAAGGCTCTTTTTAAAAAAATTAACACTAAATAAGAAGAGTTCAGAGGAACAGTTGAACAAGCAGAAATATTTATGTTATTGGGACATTTTAAGCGAAAAATAAGTCAAGAAAAGTATTTATTTCTTCTAGAAATTTTAATACCGCAGTATTCAAAAAAGTTGATAAAGAACTCTTTTAGCACTATAGTAGGTGGCCAGGTCTTTCAAAATGGGGAAATTAATGACGTAAACCGGAAGCAGCTATACTGCGCTAGATACATTATGTTAATTTAACGAACTAAATATGTCACAAAATAAAGAAAAACTAACTAGAGTGCTTTGTGATCCTAGTTGATCACTATGCTACCTGAAAGTGCACCATCCAAGGCTACTGACAGTTTTGATTGATGATTTGGCCGATTATTTGATTGATTAAAGGTTCGTGCAAAACAGAAGTGGATAAAAATGCAAACATTGCGTACTCTATTTAATGAAATTTTATTGTAAACTAATGACAAAACAGAGCAAATTATAAAGAAAAATTAAATCACTTAGTGATTTAATTTTGAGAAAAAGCATTTACAGAAATTAAAAACTTTCTTAGTTCCAGAAATATTGCATACCCAGATAAGGTTTTAGTGAAGAATAAAGTAATATTTATCTTGGTAACGAAATATATACCTTCAAAAAATTACAGAAAACTTACCTCCAGACTTTTCTTAAATGTCATTTCTGGTAAATTTGTATCATTCAACTTGAGGGCTCTTTCATAAATATCTTCAAGATCATAACCGGAAATTTTACTCGCAGTTAACGGACCTTTGATAACTAAGTTATTGAAAGTCCAAGTACCTGTAAGATCAATTTATATTTATTAGCGCCATTCCGAAGAGTTAAATACATGTTTCAATTCAAAATTTGTTAATGCATGCGTTTCTTGGTAATATCAAGATTCCATGGGACAAGAGTGCGATTTGTCCGAAGAGATTTGAAAATGAAAAGCTGGTTTTTAAGTACCTTAGCTGATATTTGTGACTCAAAATATTGACAAACAATGGAAAGTTCTTTTTTTAAAATTCGTAATCTTTAGAAAACAATTACACTTTTTAAAAAAAATGTTTAAAACGTCATTTTTATCATATGCAAGTTTTAGGAAAAGCGAATTAAATTTTTCGAAAGAAAAATTTATTGTATTGTCAGTAATTTTTAATTCCCACTAAGGAAAATTGAACTATTGTTTAGGCGTCCTAGCGTATCTATGATTCTTAAAATAAGAAATGTTTCAAATTTTTAAAGGTAAGATTTCGTTGCTAATTGCTGCAATTTATAGAAATGTTACGGGGAATATTTTTAAATTTATTTTTAAAGTTTTTGCATTTTTTTAATAGAGATAATGAAAAATATGCCATAGATCCGAAAATGCGATTTAACGGTATTTTCAACAAATTCATTGAATTAATCCTTAATTTTGCTTTTAACAGCATATTTCATAGTATTGACGAGAATTTTACACAAAAGTTACTCCAGATCTCATTCCGCGTTCGTACTTTTATTTCAAAACTCTACATAGCGAAAATATAAATCAAATTTACGATTAAAAAAATTCAACTTAACAGAGCTTTTTAAAAGTTCAATGACAGAAGATTTTATTACTGTATATTCAGGTATTATCAATGATAATGAACTGCAAATTTCAGTGTATTTAGTTGCAGTAATGATTTTATATGAATTTTTTAATGAAATTGAATAAACACTGCAAAACTTACATTTTCGAAACTGAAGATTTTACAAACTCATTACAAAAATATTCGAAATTACAAGTATTTAAAAAGGGGAAAAATTTGTTTTACGTGGGATGTTAATTTCCCTGTAAATTATTGAAAATGAATCCGGCTGTTTTTGAAACCAGAAGATCTCATAGAACAACAAATATAAACGAAAAGTACCATGAACTTACGGTCAGTTTCAATAGTAGCATCTTTACTCAAAGTAAGTTTTTTCAATTCCGACAAATCAACTCCATCAACAGTACCAGATACATAGCTGTCAGCATCCAGATGAATAGTATGGAATGTTTTCTTGCCTAAAAACAATTTGATTAGAAGAACACAACAAAAACCCATTAATTGAAAAACCTCACATTTTCCTTAATTTTCAATGAAGTATGAAAAAAAGGCCAAAACATTAATTCTTAAACATATTTTATTCAGATTTCAGTTCAAATTTTCTTTCAAAATTTCAATTAATATTTAACTTTATTTTCTTTTCAAATATTGAAATTAAAAGATAAAATTTGATACAATTTAAGAAAACTTTCTGACAGTAAGAAATTTTTTTTTTAAATTTCTTTAAATCCGCTTTATTTGCTTACAAAAATTTTACTAACAATATATCACATTTATATAACTTAATACGGTTTCTTAATCTAATGAAAACAAAAATGAAATTTTAAAGTATTTTAGGGAAATATAAGAATGCATAGTTTATTTTACTAATTAAATATTAAAGCGACATTCTCTTCAATTTTAAGTATACCATATAAAAGATTGCTTTTCAAACTTTAATTATGTAGTAAATTCTTTGTCATAATTTTTCCGCTGTAATTTAGCGGTACAGTATTTCCATTACAATGTACAGTACAGAAAAATCAGAGCACTCTGAGTAACTTTAGATCTCATGATCGGATTTTCATATGCTACTTTATGATAAGGCCTAACCTTAAAAATGTTAAATAGAACTGACGATATTTTAAGTTACAAAATCAGAATAAAAACTAATTCTCAATATACAGTATTTCAGAGGATTTAGGTTCTTCATAGTAAAACTTGGGGTGTTGCGGAAAACTATAGTCTTAATAGTTTGGTCGAAAGTTTGGACCCCTTAATATTAATTTTATTTTGTATTTCGCCATGGCAAGAAATTTTTTTTTTTTTTTTAAGAGAATCGAAAAATTTTAGCACACAATTATAAAATTCGTTTAATATATTTTAAGGGTAAATTCGAATCAGTAAATAAAAGGTTATTTTTATTCAGCTATACATTTTAGCGTCTGATATCGTAACTTAAAATATTGTTTGTACTAATTAGCACATTAAGGTTAGGCTCTTGGTCCATTAAGAGAGTCAATGAAAATCGGATCAAGTCAACAGTTACTCAAAGAATTCCGTTTTTATTTTGAGCACTGTGCAGCTAATTAAAAGCATTACAACCTGAATTACTTGACATATTCCAATATTTATGGTCAAATTAATAGTTTAAGAAGCATCCTTTAGTTATTCAATAGTTTTTAATTCGATATTTTATATTACGAAATCAAAGTATTAACATTTCACTTTTCGACATATTGAGGACCCCCCCCCCCCCAAAAANCCCCCCCCCCCCAAATAAATGAAAGAAAAAACTAAATTTGCAAAATACAGGGGCTTCATATCCGAGCTTTATTTACAAGTATACGGATTCTCGAAATCTGAAATTCGAAACATTTAGTAAGGAAGAAAATTAACTCATAAGAAGCAACAAAAGCATTGTTTCTTCTTAAATTGAAGTAATTATCTTAATATACAAATACCTATATTACCTATATTATATAAATATTTACCAAGAAATTTTTTTTAAATTCTTAACGCTATTCACATTTTCTGCGATATTTTGCTCTCCCTGATCAAACTATGGGAAACCTATTTCCTAGATTGCGGCTAAGAAATCCGAATCCGAAATAAAAAATAATGTTTATTCTATGTTATATTAAGAAAGTAGATTAGTGTTCAATTCTGTAACTTAAAATATAGTCTAATCTAATTATCACATTTGAAGTTAACCTCTCAAACCATTTAGATTGATTCCTTGAGTGAGAATATCCGATCATTAGATCAAAAGTTATTCAGGGTGGTCAGTATTTATTTCCGCTTATTCTGGATCTAACATTTCTTTCACCTTACTCTCTAAACTATGATCATTTAATATATAAAAGTTTGAAGGAATACATACCTGTTATGGCTTGATTCCCAGATTTTAACATTATATCTAGTTGGGGCTCGTATCCTATAAATAAAGGATCAATTAAAAATCAGAAATTTTCTAAATTAAACCCAAATTTTATTCTAATAAACTTACCTTCAACTGAATGCATTCCTAAGCCATTTATTGAGTTCAAAACTTCTAAGTGAGAAATTTTAGTGGATTGAGTAAACACTTGAGGTTCTGTAATATTTGCAAAGCCTTTTATGTCCACAATTCTGGGTCCTGGGATACTAATTCCGTTTATTCCTAAAGGTGCAATTAGATTTTTTTCCATAGTCACAGAATGGAACGTCATTGGGGCTAGAAAGAAATTTAACATAAAATAAAGATTCAAGTTTTTCATCCATATATATTTCATTAGCATAAATTTTAAAATATGTTTCCAATTTTGCAGTAACTACTGTTGCAAAATTTGTTATCTACGAAATGCTGTGTCTTAATTTCAAACTAAGAAAGCATTTTTACTCAAAATAGTATAAAAGGGTTGTGTATATCATCATCACAGCTACAAAATCATGAATGAAATAGTTAAAATTGAGGTACGTATTTAAAAGTTTGAAAGGTTTAATCTGAAAGATTTAAAGATTTATAAATGAAATAGCATATACTATTTAAAACTGTTTAAGTGTGACATTTCCATTCGTATCTTTGGTATGATGTAATTTGACCAAGAGACTAGGCGAAAATTGCGTTAACTAAAATCGTCAAATTGGCAGTTTTGTGGTTTTGACAGATCGATGTAATATTTCTGAAATTATAAATTTTTGATTTCATTGAAATAGGAAAATATCACTTTTGTTACAAATCAATGTAGAGAATAATGTAAGTTCTGCGAAATTTTAAAGTAACTTTCACATACCTGCCAACTTTTACTCTTTCCGAGAATGGATTTTCAGAGTGGTTGTAAAACAATAAACGAAAAACAATCTGACTCAAAAATATATTTATATTTTGATCCCGTTGAAATTCGCTTGCGTAAGGATTATGCTTTTAAATATTTATTGTAATTATTTATATGTAGTGGTGGTCAAACTCATTTATAATTATCATTATAATTCAAAAAGTTAATTGGAACAACATTAGTATTGCTACCACTTTAAATATGAAAATACAATCTTTCGGAAAATCCGGAAGAGTTGGCAGGTATGCTTTCATGGTGTTGAAAGAGTTTTAAGAGGTAAATTATTTTTAAATTTTAATAAATTTAAGCATATAAAAACGCACTATTTTAAGAAATTTTCATCTAAATTTAGCATTCTAGAACTAAGGCTTCTTTCTGAAGTTTGACTTGATTGAACTTAAAAATTAAAGAAACTTAATTTAACTTGTTTGAAATTAAGTTGTAAAGCTGGTAAGATACTGAAATCTTAATACACAATTAAAAATGTCTGTTTTTTTACCTGTGATTACTTGATCTTTATCCTTCCATAAAGTGTTGTTCCATAAATCTACAATATCTATGCCGTTAATCGTAGAACCTTCTGCCATGTACAATTCATCTACAACGACATCATGGAAATTCTTTTTGCCAGTTATAACCGATTGTTGATCTGAACGCACAACATCAGCCAAGAACTTTGTTAGATCCACATTATTTACATAAGTTGCTTCAAGCCATGATGCATCAATTTCTTCAAAAATTAAATTGCCAGTAACAGTTTGCTGTCCAGTTGTGAGGAGAACGTCACTTTGAGATATTTTAATACCATCAACTTCACCTTGAACGTCAACTTCATTTGCAATCACGTCATTTACGAAAGTTTTGTGACCTGTGATTACATGATGGCCAGATTTTGTGACCAATGTCTTACTGTCCACACCATCAATAAATCCATGGACATTGATGTTAGAGGCACTAATTTTATCAGCTTTAAGGGTACCATCAATGCGTTCACTATCGAGGAAAACCAAATTTTTAGACCAATCCGTAATATTCTCCCCGTTAAGGAAGACAGTATTTATGGAGTCGAACTTGCAGTTATGCTTTTCACAATCCAAAACTGCATCTTGAAAGGTAAATTGCCCTAAATAAAAGAAAACTTAGATAAAATCCACATTCCCTTTAATTAAAATTTTAAAAAGTACTTAAAGGCAAAGTTTGTACAGTTTGTTTGTACATATTTTTGTGATATCCAAAATTTTAAAAATTTGTTTTATTTCAGGTCGCAATATATTTTTCTTGTGAAGTACGCAGGTTTTTTTCTTCCAATTATTGATTGTCTATTTTCTAAATGTAACTATAACCAAGTCACAATGGTTACTATCTTTTGGCATAAAATTTCAGTTAATAATTAGGTGAATATTGAATATAGAGTTTACTTGCACAAATACCAAAAAAGGATACGTTGCACAAACATATACAAGCATACAATAATCAAGTCCTCTGGATTTTTAACAGCATTTACAAAAATCTAATATATCTGAGGGATAAGTTAAATCCTTTTATTCATTGCGCATCTCTTAAGAAAGCGCTCGCCTATCCTAAAGCTCTTGGAGTGGTATGATAATCCTCTGAGCATATTGAATTAACAGAATTAAGTTTCTGTCAGGTGTTGACAGGTGTATTTTCTTTTATAGATAACGTGACGTCATTCTGTGCATTAATTACTGAATTTGTATAAAAAGGCATGGATTGTTGAAAGTAGTTATCACTTCGATTTGTAACTTCACTATATCACTTATCACGTTACTATATCATTTGTGTCCGGGTGACGTACGATGTTAGCTTTATATGTTTATGCTGTATTATAAATAATTATTTTCGAGTTGTTTGCTGTATCGAGATGATACTGTATTTAATAAAAAATATTTAAATCTAACAGTTTCATCATGAGTTGAAACATTCATTGACTATCCAGTGTGCGTGCTCTGCCAACAAAAACGCGCTTATTTTAAGAAGTGACTACCGTTTTCATACCAGTTTGACTTCTATGTTGTCGCCATTTTGATAAGTGCTTAAGAAATAAAAAAATGTATATTAACATGGACATTATTTCGTTTAACTTTTACTGTACTTGTAAGAATAATAATTCAAGCAATTTTAAACATTCCAAGATATCCTACTTACCGGAAACAATTTGATCGCCTTCCGTTTTCAAAGCGTGCTTAAGAATTTCTTCATAAGCATTCAACTTCTCATTCAGTGTTTCAAGCTTTTTGATTATTTCTCCCAGCTTCAAGAGTATGCTGTTATCATAAACTTCTTGGGTTAAGATTTCTTTCAACTAGTTAAAAGTATAAAGTTTCAAATTTTAGGAACATTCATTCGACATTAAATCTGATTAAGAAATTTCATATCCTAATTTTTAAATTTTAATTAATTCTTACTAAAACTAGCATTTCAAATTATATCATAACAATTGGCTGACAAACTACAGTAGTTTCGTTATACTCTACAGATCATTCAGTATGTTCAATATTAAGTTCACTTTAAAAATCATTGCGAATGTGAAATCAGAAGTGGTTCATTCATATTTGAGTAAAAATTATAATTTAATGGATCACTAGTGAGGAAAGCGGAACCTTAAGTACTGGTTTGATTGCCTGATGAAATTTGGAAGATTTAATACTAGCTTTAGAAATCTTGTCTCAATCAGTCCAGACTTTATTGAAATAGAGTTAACAACTACTAATAAAGTTTCAAATGTTAAGGGTAGTCATTATTGAACATTTTGCACAAATAAAATATAAAAACATTGAAAGACATCTTAAAACACTGTTTCACACATTGCTTTTGTTTCAAATTAAAACTTACCTTTGGGGTTTGAAGCTTTGATACTTCAAAACCTTTTTCGAAAAACAAGTCGCCTTCTATAACCAGATTACTTTCTTGGTCAATAACAAATACATTGTCAAGAGCTTGAATAAGAGAATTCAGATCCGTTGATTCTATATTTTGCAAAGTTTGCGTACACCATTCTGTGCTTTTGTCTGTCCATGCTTGAAGCTCATTTTCATTTTTGAGGCCAATTTCAAATATTGAAAGATCTCTATGCATTGGATTACTTACGCCTGAAAAACATGAAATGTTATTGGTTAGTTGATTGAAGGTAGCACTTAATGGTACAAGAAATAGAGCGACTGTACTGTCTATGCACCGTAAGATCTCGCAGGGATGCAATTATCTGAAGAATCATTCAAACGAAGCTTCTCCAATCTACTTTGAACTTTCTTTTGTTTCAGCTTTTGCAAGAGTCCATTAGTTCTTTAATGGACTCTTGATGTAATTTGACTTCTATCTTGTTACGGTGGACAAACAGAAGTGCGCCAAACTCAAAAGAATGAGATCAGGGTAACAAAATTACAAGTAATAAACTAAGACTGACGCAGAAACAAAGGGGAAATAAGAAAATTATTTGAAAAGGAAATGTAAAATAAATTGAATAGAATATATGCTTGCATATATAAAATAGCAAACTTGCTCTTTTATTGACCTACATGTAAACCGAGGAAAATATTCAAATTCCACTTAGACAATAGCAACAAAGCTTTTTCTTAAATATAAACAAAAAATGAAATTTTAGGACTTTGAACTTAAATTCCGCAACAAATTACAGTAAGTTAGCAGTATGTGGTTATAAAATTAAAAGCATTTGCAGTTTTACATATTCGCATATTGCATATTTCTGCAAAATTATAGCATTTCGCACATCACTTATTTTTGAATATTCTCTGTAAATCAAACCATAGGCTAATCCTAAATAAATTAACTTGAATCAATGCCTCTCTCTAGTTAATCGCTTACTTCATACAGCAAATTAAAAACTTTATATTTTCTTCTTTAAAGTAAACTAAATGAGCCTATAGCTTACGGGAATGATTATGTTGTATAATCTAATTAACGTAACTTATGGGTGATCTCTACAATACTTATTAAAAAAAAAATAGGCCAAGTGATAAATTTTTTGAAATATTTGAAAATGTTAAAGTGCTACGGTAAGGTCCAGACTTTGCATAGCTTGAAAAAAAGGAGAGCCTGGCAAATGCTTAGTTATGAAAAGTTCAAGACCATAAACATCCGAATAACTATTAAAATTCTTACTTAGAATTGGTATTTGTTCATATCCTTTAGAGATGTTGTGGAATATCAGCGAGTTAACTCCAAATGACATTGCTCTTTGGGTGTATTGAACTTTACTTTGAACAAACCTCCAACCATCATATTGGAACATATGCACTGCGTCATCGGAACTCGCAACTGCTAATATGAAAGCAGTTTTAGTTGTCCATGAAGCCAAAGATGAAGCTCTAAATATAGGAAGACACTGGAAGGGTACGAAAATGTCTTTTGCAAATTTGTAGATCATAGATTTTGCTTCGGATACATCTGGAAATAAATTAGTATCGGATAAAAATTTCAATTATTTCAAAAATCAAAAGTATGTAACTTTTCGTAAATTGTTTCGACAGTTTAAAAAATAACTGAAAAATTAGTCGTAACAGACTTTATACAATTGTTAATATACAGTGGGTAGTACAAAAAACGGACCACACTGAATAACTTATGATCTAATGAGCAGACCTTCAATCTTAATGGTTTGAGAGGACCTCAAATTTACTAATTAGTATAAACGAAATCTTTAGTTCCGAAATCAGACAAAAAGATGAGGTCCGGGATAGCTTGGTCGGTAGGGTGCTGGGTCTATGTCCGAGAACTCGAGGGTTCGAACCGAAGACGCAAGTTTCTGAATAAAGTACCCTTTTCTGACTGATTCGGAGATCTGACACCCAAAATATAGGAGGGGGCCACAATCTAAATGTGGTCTTAACAGTTTGGTCTGGAGAGCGTTCTTAAGTTTGGACCCCTTACTATCAACTTTACTTTTGCGTATTTCATCATCTCGAAAAATTAAGGGTATTGAAAAATGTTTGCACACAATTATAAAACTCGTTAATTCAAAGATGATTAAATGCGAAATATTTTTAGTAAAGATTCATAATTTATTATTTTATTTAAAAATAGATAAATTTTAAATTACAGGATAAATTTTTTTTTTACATTTTAAAGAATGATCTTAAATGGCATGCGAAATCTGTCAAAAGTTCCTATGAAAGCAAATTTTGAAAAACTATTTTTAAAATTTGATTTCTCGCTAGCTATTACAGATTTCGCTAAAATTTAGTATTTTGACATTTAAAATTCTTCTTAAAAATTTGAAAATGCGACCTGTAGCTTTACATACAAAATTATTAGGTTTAAAAATAAATATCACATTAAATCAGCTCTGACCTTGTACAATCGGATTATCATTTCGAAGTGTACAAAACTCTTTAAAATTGCAAAAATTTCAATAATAATTGCGAACTTAAATGTCACTTAGTTGAGTATTTTGCAGATAAAGTCCAAAAGTTATATCAGCAAATTTTATTCTATCAACGGGGTCGTGAAGTTACCAGAAAGGTCACCGAACAGAATGGAATATTTTTGACTGATTAAGGTTCAGTTTTTTTTTCAGCAAAAAAAAGTAGTTTTTATTTTGCACTATAAAACCGAAATTACTCTGGCTAACCCTGTTAATTATAATTTCTAATACTCAATAGATGGCGCTCTGCGCAGTAATGTAAAATCATTAGTTTCTAATCAGTTTCCGCCATGCCACTGTACCATCATCATCCTTCTTGTTATTAAATATATTTTATGTTAAAAGGCGTTTGTTATGATTGAAAACCCCGAGATCAGAGATCATATCACCGTATTTAATAAACCCAATACATAAATAGCTTTCAAAATGTTCACATTTTCAGAAAATTCCTTCTATTGGTTGAAATTAGCTCAATTTATTTTTTAAAAAAATAAGAGATGCTTAAGAAAAGCAACAAGACTAAAAATTTTCTCACACATAGGGAAAAATAAGGAAAGTTCGAACACAAATTACAATATTCAGGAAATCTTCAGATGTTCAAGAAGAAATCAAGAATCAAAGAAATTCGGTATTATATTTTCCAGTTACATAAAATCAGTGGTCGGAAAAACTAAATTATTTTTGTAGTTCCCTACAACTACACGGCTACAAATGTAGTTAACTACAACTACTTTTTTTAAATGTAGTGACTACAACCTACTTTAGAATTTTAACTACTTCACTACTTCAAGTCGAACTTTGATGCAGAACTGCATTTACACCCATGTTCAAAATGAATTTTAAATAAGAAATTGGCTCACATTAAATATAAGGGAATAATCAAGAAATATTCATTCATGTTTTCATGAGCCAGCTTGTTATTCCAAATCAATTTTTATTTGTTCATTTAACCTTTAACTTATGCCTTTTTTGACAGAAAATATTTTATTTAAGAATTGCAAAATTATTGAATACTTGCAATTTTTTACTTCTTTAATTTCTTCTAATAAATTAAGTACTTCGAGCGTACGTTCTTTTACTTTTAAATAACAAATGTTTCACGAGTGTGCATTTGCATGGGAAAGTGTGACTAAAGTTAATTATCCATTTTTCGTAATAGCTAGTACAGTTCGTTCACCAGGAGTTGGCACTTGGCTCCGCCTTCATCACGTGGTATCGGATGATACTATTTCGCTATTTTGGGGAGAAGGATGTGAACATGGTTTGGCGATCGCATGACAAAAATATTTATTTCGTAATCTTCATGTGCATATTTTGAACATGTGCATTTTATTTCATAAACTTGATAGTATTTCTCTTTTTATTGAATAGTTTGTTCTTTTTGAGATATTTTACTGGGAAAAAGTTTTTAAATATAAATAAGCTAGAATAACGAAAGGTATAATAGCTGATGATAAAGCGAAGTAAGTGACTGAAGAAGAATTCACTGTTTGTGTTTGGCCATCACCTACTTCTACAACAGAAAGCCTCCACACGGTTTCTTATAAGTAGTCTGCGCAGACTATTTAAAAAGTGAACAGTTTGAGTACATGAAACCAAGTTCTATTTTAAAAGTGACTGAGAGGAATTTGTCATATATATTTGAGAATTGAATCTGTAGTGGCAGACAAGTAAGACAAACTAATCATAACAAAAATTAGACATATTTGCAACCACTTTTTTATTTTTACTAGATTTTCTAGTAAAGGGCTTTTTCGTTAACTGGTTTGTCTTCATAGTGGTCTGATTGAAGTACCTATAAAAAACCGCGTGGAGGCTTTGCGCGCATTAGAGGTTATCTCGATTTTAAGCGGGGAAATGTTTTTACTCTTACTCCCCCGAGCTGAAATGAACTCGGCGCCCGAGGAGGTGGAGCCAAGTGCCAACTCCTGGTGAACGAACTATATAAGAGATTGTAAATATGTAATATCTGTTAACGTACATGGTCGTTTTCATTGCATCTATTGACGAACAGCGAAGATTTGTATCTATCTAATTCAAAAAATTACGTTAGAACCGTATTTCTTTTCTAAATTAACATTAAAAGTAGTTGTCAGTAATTGCTACAAACTATTTTTGTATCTCACTACTCGCTGCACTATACTACGAACTATGAAAAAAGAAGAGATTTCAGTAGTTTTACTACTTGTAGCTACTTCCGACCACAGCCTAAAATGTAGGAGAAATTCGGTTTTCGTTATAACATAAGGATGGGTATAAGTATACTTTATACTAGCTATTCTAAATAGGATTTGAAGAAGAATTATATTTATGAATTAAAATATTTACCACTCTCCTCTTTGTTGGCGACTGCTAGGAAAAACTCCTTTGAAATACCAGAACCAAGAGTGAAAAATTCCCAGTCTGTGGCGCCGTAAGTCCTAATTTTTTGATGTGAAATCCAACCTTTATCTAAATTAAACTTAAATATTTCAGAATCCACTTCAAAGTTATTGATACTCCTTCTGTAATTTGCAATGGCCAAATAAGGCGTATCATGTATATGAAACGGTTCAATATCTCTGACATCATAAGCTTGTAAGGTAAAGTAGCGGTCGTAATATGTCTCTGAAAAAAAGAATTTTGAAATTAAAATTTCGAATTAAAAGTACATAAATATTTAACCTATATTTAAGATTCCAAAATTAAATTATCACAACCAAAATTGAAACATGCTACAGAATTTGTGCTGTACTTTAAAATAAATTACAAATATTTCATATAATCATTTGCAGTATTTTTAGGAAAAATTTAAAATTCATATTACAAATGAGATAGTATGAAACTGCGGACATTTAAAATTTTAAAAAAAAGCTGTGCAAGACAAAATGCAAAAATTTATTAAAAAATTTTCAAAAAATTCAAATTCATTTGACACATTCATGTAAGCTATATTTTTTTTTGTCCAGCAAACTAGGTTTTTAGTTCCGTTTCGATGTTCTAACCCAAGAATACTACCTTATTTAGAATTAAAAACTTATTAATGACCTAAAACAAAATTGTTCAATCAAAGAATTTGTGGAGAATAGTGGTATGGTCATCAAATAGTGCAACTCAATACATTAATAGCATTTATTTGCTCAATTTATTAATTGATTACATTGATTGGAATACTTACTGTTTTGTGAGGTAAGATTTTTAAAAATACCAAAAACATTGATAATCTATTTTAAAACTAGCTTTACTACAATTTCGTTGATTTACAATAAAACACGACGAAAAACAAAATATCAAAGTTATACCAAAACTGATTTCTGCGCAGCCTGTTTATGGCATCGCCAGAAGCATTTTCCTAAGTGCCTTATTTTAGGGTCTACAAATGCCATTCCATAAAATTTTAAAGTTTCAATTTCTTGCTTATTAACACTTTACTTAATTTAAATTACATATTTAATAAGGTCAGTTTTATAGCGAATATTTCTTGAAAACTAAATACCAAGTAATGCTTTTCTTTTAACATATTCAAAAAAAAATATGAATTTACTAGATTTTTCCAGAGATAAAAATTTGATAGATTTTAAAATAGATAAAAACGCATTGAAATTTTTTATTGATTACGTTGCGACTTTTTCAGGTAACCTTTCCCCAAAACAAAAACAAAGTTTGAATTTCCCCACGGAGCTGAAGACAGACAGCAACTTCTGCGAAATCAAAATTTCTACAAATTCCTCCGCTTTCTGCTATACTTATACTTCTGCCATACTGAGATCCAGGAGTTCCCTTGTCTTCTGGATTGGGTTCAAAATTGTAAAGATACGGTGCTTAACATTGGTAGTTGTAAACTCAAATTTGGGTCGACTCTACAATGACTGTTATAAAATAAAATATTGGTTGAAAAGAAAACTGTTCTAGCTGAAATTTTATCTTCGAAGTCAAGAACAAACAGGTAACAGACTCTATAAATGTGTTAAAGTTTTAAATGCGTTTTAGGTGGTATTAGTTGTTTCAAGATTTTTTTTCTTAGTAGACCTTTAGTACTGAACTTCATCAGCTCACTATCCTATTCTATTTATGCTTAAATTTGCATAGTAAAAAAATAGAAAGCTTTATATTCTGGTTCTATTCAGAAAAATCTGAAAGTACAAAGGACTTTTTGTAACTCAAATGTTTTTTTCAGAGAAGACTGCTAAGTGCAAAAATCCTTTATTCACAACTACATAGGTGCCACTTAACCTTTTTTTTTTTTTAACAACTTAACTTTTTCTAGCAATGTCATGTTAAAATATTTTTTGGTAGTAAAATATTCTTTGGAAATTTGATAAAAAGAAAATCACTTCTCTTATTACCAAAAACTAATCTTATTTTAAGATTATTTTGTTTGGTTGAAAAGTGGGGTATTCACAATTTTACTTTAAGTAAAGAATTGGTCATAAGCTTGGAATTCTGTGTTTATAGATAACCGAACTGTAACTAAGTAAACTATAAGAAATTCTCAAATGAACGAAAGTACATGCGAAACCTCCACTATTGGCCCCACGTTAATGTTTGTTACCCACTTTAATGTAAACCAAGTAGCTCATTTGTATTTTTTTCCCCTGAAGTTATCACCAGATGGCCCCACAAACCACTGGAGGAAAACAGTTCAATAAAAATTAAAGTTAGCGGGAAGTATACTTATTGGGAAAAAAAAAAGATTACTGGGATTCCGTTGACGTTCGTAAAATCTTATAAAATCTTAGTAATAGTGATAATTAAGTTTATCACAGCATAGTTAGTATACATCAACTTCGATATGTCTAGTTTTTATTTTGCACCAATCTTTTATATTTCAAAATTTTTGTTGTAAAAAAGAAATTATTGAAACACATTAGGTTAGTTTAATACTAAAAAACTTACGCATCCATTCGTATATATAAATGTCGCTCACGAGATCAGTTGAATGTCCGGGTAAGTTAGCAATCGCCAAGTGAAATTTACCATCAGATTTCCTGTTTTAAAATAAAAATTAATATAAATTATAAATTAAGTTTAAGAGAATTTGTAACAGAGCAGCGAAAATTTGGAACAAATTTGTTACTTACATTTTCCAAATGGAAGTGCTAGTAGCTGGCTTGCTGGACACAGTATGTTCAACCACTCTTTTATACGACACCAAGTCAATCTTTACGAGATCCATTCCTTTAACTGTGAAAAGCAAGGTTTACACAATTAAAATTCTATACTGTATCTACACTGGTATTTAGATGGATAGTACTTTTTTTTACCGTAAATAAATATTTCAGAAGCTCTCGTATAGTGTTATAGCAATACGAAGCGCACTACTAACAGATTGAAATAATAATTAGATTTGTAATAAATAGAAATTTTAAATTTCAGTAATTACTTAAAAATTTAATTTTAATTTTTTTTCAGTATATCTTATTTTACACTGTCAGTCAATGACCGATGAGGTCGAAGCGAAGAGTTCAATATCCGCCACTGGTAACTGACTTTGCATTCACTGTGTTAATGAAAAAAAAATAGTATAACGAAATGAAAGAGTAAGAATAGCCAGTCTGTCTCTGCAAGGATTTAAACGAAAGACAATTTTTAAAGATAGTGCACTAAGCCCTGTATCATCCCATTACGTAGTGTGGACGGTTAAAATTAGATAAATTATGCAAGAAAGCTGGTTCTGGTGCTAGGGTGGTTGGGAAGGAAGCTCTAGTAGCATTAATCTAGTCATTTTTATGTACTTTAGACTACATATTTTAGACTACATTATACAGTAATATTTACATTAAAAATTTTCAGAACTATTTACAGTGCAGTTTAAAGTGTTAGATCCATAGCGGAATACAAATACCGCTACTGTCAGTGTTTGGTGAACGATTGATTATGTTCATTAATTAAATTTAGAATTAAACAGCTACGAGAGACAGTTTAAGTCTAGGTGAAAGGCACAAGAACTGGAATAGATTCTACACCTTCAATCTTAAACGACGTCTTCTAGATAAGTTTTATACTATTCATAGATAAAGTGATAGGAAAAAAAAAGCCGATGCATAGTGGTTTTGGAAAAAGTGTTTAAATTCTTTCAGCCTATTACCTAAATTTGCTTTTTAAAAACCAAATTTTTTGTGGGAAGGTGTGATTCTTTAAATTTTAACTTCTGTAAGGAAATGGTTTTAAACTTGAACTGTGCTTATAAATAACCAAATTCAAAGATTCTGATCTGACAACTACAAATGAACTAGAATCGATTGAATAAACGAAAGCATTACACGATAGGGAAAATAGCCCTCAAATGTTGAGATCTTTTCTTGACCCCACACTAACCTTTACTGTTACCCCTACCAGCCAATTGCAGCTTAAATTATAGCAGGAAAATTAAGTTCGTGATAAGTATACTAACCATGGTCTCATGAAAAGTTAAAATAATTAAAAGAAAATTGCTTGCTTTCGTACGAACAAAGCACTTAACGCGAATAGTTTAAATATCTTTCAAACATATTCAAAGCGCAGTTCCCGTAACTCTGAAATTTATTTTTACAATAACCAACATAATTTTTTTTGGAAATATATCGAACTCACTTTTCCCACTATCTGCTACAATGACATAGAGGAAGCCATTGAAGTGAAATGCGGCAAGTCTGTTCGGATGTACAACATACCACTGAGAAATGGGAGTCCAAACATGATCCTGAAAAAAAAAAAGTTTCAATCTGAAAAATAAAGTCTGAAAAATTCACACATTTTAGTGAAATGGAGTCTGAAAAAATGTTCCCATATTTATATCACCTAATGTTAATACAACGCTGCCTTTCGAAACTAAAATATGATTTGTCATAGTCAAACTCTGTAGGGGATCTATTTGTAGAAATTTAAATTATACAAGTGAATTTTTAGTTTTGCGGTCTCAGACTACCCACTTTGCGTCTCGATGTACTGTGTTTAAACTGAAACTATTGGGAAAATAAGTTAGATTTTAGATACATTTTGCAAAACAAAACTTACTAGCCAGCCTGGAATATTCGGTCGCCAATGGCGAGCTGGTGAGTGATAATTTCGTGCCCTGTTCCAAACATTACTATTTGAATAATTTATACATATATCCATCAATTACTGCTCGTTCATGAGGCAGGGGCATACTATTTTAAGAAAAATAGTTAAGATTTCGCTCGGAAGAGTGTCAAAATAACGAATGAAGTTAACACAAACGCAAGTTACACAAAAATCTTGGAAAATCATTCTAGAGTTTTAATTTTACTGAATAAGATACGTTTGAGCTGTGATGGCTCAGGGGATAGAGCGTTCGCCTTCCAATGAGGTGAACCGGGTTCGAATCACAGCTGTGATTTGTCTATATGAATTCCTCATCCGACTCAGACCACAATGTGGACGTAAAATATCGTCAGTGGTAGACAAATCATGGATTAGAATCCCCTTGCCGTCAGGCTAACAGTGGGAGATTTTCGTGGTTTTCCTCACCATGTTACGCGAATGCTTGTTAGTTCCATCAAAAAATTTCATCGAAGGCAAATTTCTCCCCATACTTGATACAGGAGTTTCCTCGTCTTCTGGATTTGGTTCAAAATTACAAGGGTATTGAGTTGAACATTAGTAGTCAAACCGAAAAATTGCGTCTTCTGTTCAACGATGGTTACAAAATACAATGCGTTTGAATAAGATTTGACATTCAATTTTCACTTAAAAATTGTATAATTAGCGACCCCTAATTCTCATACTCTGATTTATCTTTCAATTAAGATTCTAAATATATATAATAAGGGTGATCGCTATGGAACACCCTGTACAGTTCATCAGTGCTGAATGACAACTTAACAGCTTCATTTATTAAAAAAATTGGAAAGTGAAAATATGATTATATTGCAGCTTAAATTATAGCAGNTTACCATCAGATTTCCTGTTTTAAAATAAAAATTATAATATAAATTATAAATTAAGTTTAGGAGAATTTGTAACAGATCAACGAAAATTTGGAACAAATTTGCAACTTACATTTTCCAAATGGAAGTGCTAGTAGCTGGCTTGCTGGACACAGTATGTTCAACCACTCTTTTATACGACACCAAGTCAATCTTTACGAGATCCATTCCTTTAACTGAAAAGTAAGGTTTACACAATTAAAATTCTATGTTGTATCTACACTGGTATTTAGATGGATAGTACTTTTTTTACTGTAAATAAAAATTTCAAAAGCTCCGTATAGTGTTATAGCAATACGAAGCGCACTACTTACAGATTGAAATAATTAGATTTGTAATAAATAGAAATTTTAAATTTCAGTAATTACTTAAAAATTTAATTTTAATTTTTTAAGTATATCTTATTTTACACTGTCAATGACCGATTTTAGTCAATGACCGATGCGGACGAAGAAATGAGTTCCATGTCCGCAACTGGTGACTGACTTGGCACTCAATATGTTATTGAAAAAAAATACTATAGCGAAATGAAAGAGTAAGAATAGTCAGTCTCTGCAAAGATTTGAACCAAAGGAATTTTTTAATAAAGTAAAGCATTAAGCCCTGTATTATCCCCTTGCGGAACGTCAAAATTTGATTAAATATGCTAGAAAACTGGTTCTGGTGCTATAGTGGTTGGGAAGGAAGCTCTAGTACCATTAATCTAGTAATTTTTACGTATTTTAGACTACATATTTTACGCATTATACAGTAATATTTACCTAAAAAATTTTCAGAACTATTTGCTGTATCGTTTAAAGTGTCAGCTCCATAGCGGAATACAAATACCGCCACTGTCAATGTTTGGTGACTTGATTATATTCATTAACTAAATAGGTGCGAGAGACTTAGTCTAGATTAACGGCCCAAGAACCAGAATAGATTCTACACCTTCAATCTTAAACCACGTCTTTTAGATAAGTTTTATACTATTTTTAAATAAAGTGATGAAAGAAAAAAAGCCGATGCATAGTGGTTTTGGAAATAGTGTTTAAATACTCATCCAACTTATTAACTAAAATTTGATTTTCAAAACCACTTTTTCGGTGGGATTCTTAAAATTTTATCTCCTGTAAGGAAGTGGATCTAAATTTGAACTGTGCTTATGAACAATTAAATTCGGAGATTCTGTGCTCATAACTACAAATAAACTACGAGAATTAATCAAATATACGAACGCGCTACACAATAGGGAAAATAGCTCTCAAATGTTAAGATCTTTTCTGTTACCCAGAATTATGTAAACAAATCCCTTCCAGCAGATTGCAACTTAAATTATAGCTTGGAAAATTAAGTTCATGGTAAGTATACTAACTATGGTCTCATAAAAAGTTAAAAGAATTTAAAGAAAATTGCTTGCTTTTGTACGAACAAAGCACTTAAAGCGAACAGTTTAAATATTTTTCAAACATTTTCAAAGCGTAGTTACAATAACCCTATTTTTTTTTAAATATATGGAAACTCACTTTTCCCACTATCTGCTACAATGACATAGAGGAAGCCATTGAAGTGAAATGCGGCAAGTCTGTTCGGATGTACAACATACCACTGACTAATGGGAGTCCAAACATGATCCTGAAAAAAAAAAGTCATTCTGAAAATCAAGTCTGAAAAGTGCACACATTTTAGCGAAATGGAGTCTGAAAAAAAAAAATGTATTTGATAGCAGGCAAAAACTACGGTAAAAAATCTTTAATCCAAAGCAACTCATTTCTATATTCAATTTTATAACAGTCTTCAACACCCGATTCAATTTTGGGTTTGCGAAGTAAACCCAAAATTGAATTGTAAGGTTCAGCTCCGTAGTCTTGTAATTTTGAACCCAATTCAGAGGAAAAGGGAACACCTGGATCAAGTATTAATTTTTTTTTTATTATAACCGCCGACCCAATTTTTGGGTTTACGACTACTAATGTTAAACTCCGCAGCTTTGTAATTTTGAACCCAATCTAGAAGACAAGGGATCTCAAGTATTGGAAATTTGCCTTCATGGAGGACTTTTTGATGGAACTAACCCAAATTTGCGTTACATGGAGAGGAAGACGAGAACCTCCCACGGTTAGCCTGATGGCAAGGGGACTTTAACCCATGATCCGTCTACCACTGAGGACATTTCACGTCAGCACTGTGGTCTGTGCAAGACTGATGCAAATTCGTATCGACCAGCCATCGCTGAGACTCGAAGCCGGTTCACCTTATTGGAAGACGAACGCTCTATCCTCTGAGCCATTGCGGCTCTGGATCAAGTATTGGAAGAAAAAAATTTGCCTTCGTGGAGAACTTTTTGATGGAACTAACCCGCATTCGCGTTACATGGAGAAGGAAAAATCCCACGGTTAGTCTGATAGACTAATCTATGATCTGTTTACCTCTGAGGATATTTTACGTCAGCACCTTACTCTGTGAGAACCGCGTGCAGAATCCGTATCAAACAGCGATCGATGGGATTTGAACCAGGGTTACCTCATTGGAAGGCGAACACGATCCTCTGAGCCACCACAGCTATCTATAATCATTTACAGTTTTACGAGATCCGAGAACATTGTATATCAGGGCAAGACATTACAGGTCTGAAGGTATAAGTCAGACTAAAATCCCTCTCCACAATTTTCATGAAAATTTTGAATATTTTTAAAATGTTAACAGATTCAGTATAAAGGACTTTCTTGGTGACCAAAGCCATAAAATATAGAAAAATTCAAGCATGTTTTTTGGAAAATAAATCTTAATTTTAAATAAGTTTACTATAAGGTTTTAATATCCACATATCATTGCAAGTTCAAAATTATCTGAAATGTTGCCATACTTATAGCACCTTATGTTAATACAACGCTGCCTTTCGAAACTATAATATGATTTGTCATGGTCAAACTCTGTACGGGATCTATCTGTAGAAATTCAAATCATGCAAGTGAATTTTTAGTTCTGCAATCTCAAACTACTCACTTTGCGTCTCGATGTACTGTGTGTAAACTGAAACTAACGGGAAAATAAGTTAGATTTTAGATACATTTTACAAAACAAAACTTACTAGCCAGCCTGGAATATTCGGTCGCCAATGGCGAGCTAGTGAGTGATAATTTCGTTCCCTGTTCCAAATATTACTATTTGAATAATTTATACATATATCCATCAATTACTGCTCGTTCGTTTGACAGGGGCATAATATTAAGAAAAACAGTGAAGATTTTTCTCAGAAGAGTGTCAAAATAACGAATGAAGTTAACTCAAACGCAAGTTACAAAAATCTTGGAAAATCATTCAATTTTGTTGAATAAGATACGTTTGAGTGGTGATGACTCAGGGGATAGAGCGTTCGCCCTCCAATGAGGTGAACCGGGTTCGAATCCCAGCGGTGATTTGTCGATATGAATTCCTCATCCGACTCAGACCACAATGTGAACGTAAAATATCGTCAGTGGTAGACGAATCATGGATTAGAGTCTCCTTGCCGTCAGGCTAACAGTGGGAGATTTTCGTGGTTTTCCTCACCATGATACGCAAATGTTTGTTAGTTTCATCAAGAAATTCCATCGAAGACAAATTTCTCCCTATACTTGATACAGGAGTTTCCTTGTTTTCTGGATTTGGTTCAAAATTACAAGGGTACTGAGTTGAACATTAGTCAAACCGAAAAATTGCGTCTTCTGTTCAACGATGGTTATAAAATACAATGCGTTTGAATAAGATTTGACGTTCTATCTTCACTTAAAAATTATGTAATTAGCGACCCCTAATTCTCATACTTTGATTTATTTTTTTTAATTAAGATTCTAAAAATATATAATAAGGGCGTTCGCTATGGAACACCCTGTACAGTTCATCAGTGCTGAATGACAACTTAACAGCTTCATTTATTAAAAAAAATTGGAAAGTGAAAATATGATTATAAAACGCACATTTATAAACTGATCAGAGAAAGCTTTTGATAAAATTCATTTTCTCCCAAAAATAAATTAAGTTTTGAATCTGGATAACATAAATTCGCCAATAAAAAACTTTAACATCAAAAATCTGTTTTGAAATATTTAATGCATTCACATTGCTGTTTAACCTACGCAATATTAAAACGTTAAATTAAAAAAAACATATGTATAAAAATTGCTGGATATTTTTGAAAAGGATAAAAAATCATTTAGTAGATAAACGACAAAATAGTTTGGCAATAACAGAAATAAAATTCTTAGAGAAACGATTACTCTAAATTCAATTAAAGTATGATGAAAATTACCTTGTAGATTCCAACAATAACTTCAGCAGGAGTTTCTTGCGTCTCAGCAGAGACACATATAGCATAGGTGACATCTCCAACGTCAACAAATGTTGAGTCAATGGCAGGGTAACAAAGTTGAGAAACAGGAGTAATAGTCTGAAGGCGATGCACACCTAAAAAAAATAAGCAAATTTGTATAAAGTAGAACTTTACATCAAAGTAATCAGTTAAAATGAAAGATCTGTTTTTCTAAAGATTCAGATTATATTTATTTGGGAAATGATCATTAATGTTTTGTTAATAATCCAATATTTAATTTTGAGTGACCGAGGTATCTTGGTTGGTAAGACGTTGGACTCTTGTTCGTGAGAAAGGTAATCATAATCACTTTTTATCTGAAATCCTTACTTGTAACTTACGAGAATGATTTATCATTATGTACTTTTTATTTGTAGTTTTCACCATCGTAGTCATTTATAGCTTTCCTTGTTCATTTCTGTTGAGCACTGAAATTATTAACTTATCCTTGACTAATGAATAAAGAATAATGATTGAAAATAATTATTTATTATCAATTCAAATCCCGCCGGCGAAAGAAGCCCCGTGTATTAAATGGTGCACGTTAAATCAGTCGGGGTCACAAAGTCCTTAAAGTTCCCATAACAAATAAATACCTCTGGGGGTACTGAATTGAAGATTGACCGTTCTCTAGTTCAAGATGGATGTGACACATAGATGGGTGTCCAATTTATATTTTTCTGGCCCTTTAATTGCAAGTAAAAATATATTTTGGTATATTTTTAATTATAAAAAACAGTCTTATAGTTACTAAAAAATTATTAGATTATGGGAATTATATTTGTACTAAAATATAAAATCCAAAAAGTAGTTAAAAATTTCATTCGTATTCGAAAAATTATCCACGATTGATAAGAAGTTAAAATTTTAATGATGAATAGCTCTTTTAGATCTATACAACTGCAAATAAGTAAAAAATTGAACTGTAGTTTGAGAGTGAGCTGTGTTTGGAAGATTACCTTTAACGCAAAAAGTAAAAAAAAGAAAAAAAAAAGACACCGGTGTTTCAGACTAGCTTTCATGACCAGAAATTATAAAAGTGCTAAATATATTTTTCACTTATTCCGACCTAAATGAATACAAATATTGAAAAAGCATGTTTAGTAAAAATTCTGCATTAAAGAGTTAATGGCATTAGAGTAGGACGTCAAATGCTATCGCGTAACTATAGTGAATCAAGCGGTATTGTGAACTAAATTTGAGACCAAAATAAAAGAATCTCATTAGAATACAAAGTTACCCTATACTGCGGGATAACTTAAACCACCTTGGTTATTTTTGTCAAACACTGTTTAAGAAAACTTTCATGCATGTAAACGATGACTAGATTGAAGTTTACAACAAATAATCTCTGAAGTAAATGGCCTTCAACTGGCAGATTAAACAAAAGGTAGCCTTAGCATAGCCATCTAATATTTGAAATCCGAAAAATATTTTTTCCGCTGGTAGAGAATTAAGGCAGAAAGTTTTCAAATAAAAAGAATTCTGATAAATTATTACAATTTAAGAAAATGACCATTTTCTAACCTTTTATATATGTATTCAGTTCATATGCAGTGACTGAAAAATTCTTATATTTCTAAAATATTAATACACTAACTTTGTTACCACTCAAGTATTTTTCAGAAGCTACTGAAGTTCTGTAATCTTTGGAGGTTATGCCTAAGCAATCCCCAATGACCGTAGTAAGTCTAATCGAATTTAAGAGAACGCTTTATCGGGAGAGAATATTTTCATAACAAATTCTGCTTCAAAAATATAGAAAGTATATTTTTAAAGTATACTATCTATAATTTAAATTTTAAGTTACTTAGAGAACTGAAAGAATTGACGATGAAAAGTTTTCCCTGCTATATAGCGTTCTTTTAAGCACTTATTATATTGGTTATAGTACCATACCTAAATTGAGGTTTATCATTACTTAAACAAATAACTTAAGTTGTATCTTAAGTTTTCAGATTATTAGAAATAAATACATTTGGAGAAGGGGTAATCAGAATTACTTGATTATTTTTCGATGAACAAATTGAAGTTTTGTCTGTATTATTTATACAATTTGAGAGGCTTGGTAGAGGAACCAAACAAGTCCAAATTTTGAAATTGTTTTTAACACATTTGACTCTAAGCAATTTAACTGTTTCAATTAGTACAATAATCGGACACTAATGTAACAGTTCCCTCACGCGTGGTAATTGCGAGAGGAAGACAGTATATATTGTATTCTTTTTAAACTTAAATTTCTTTTAAACTATTTTTTAATCTGGATTTTCCTTGTTTCCTCAAAAAATTACTAAATTTTATTATAAAGACCATTTTCACCAGTTTCACTACTCTAAATTAAGTAAAGTATTTAGAATACTCCATACTCACCAATTTCGTCAATAAACGATTTTGAATCTTTCGTAGTTTCTCTTTTTCTACGATGCAATGGTTCAGCATGAGCTTCTGCAAAAGAGGAAAGCATTTCTTCGGCTATTCTGTCCATTTCTGCTTCCAACTCTAAAATATTTATTTAAAATTAAACATTATAAATTTTTATTGGCAAAGTGCATAAGTACCAGGATGTGAAATGTCTCTGGAACGAAATCCTGGAGATTTGCACTAACTATGTCTATCAGTAAACTAGTTCTATCAATAACTTACTATGAGCCATGGTAGCTCAGGGTATAAAGAGTTCGCCTAACAATGATGAGAACCGGGTTCGAATCCCAGCGATGGCTGGTCAATATAAATTCCGCATCTGGCTCTCACCGACCACAGGGCTGACGCAAAATATCCTCAGTGGTAGACGGATCAGGGGTTTTCGTAGTTTTCCTCTCCATGTAAGGCAAATGCGGGATAGTTCCATCAAAAAGTCCTCCACGAAGGCAAATTTCTCCCAATACTTGATCCAGGAGTTCCCTTGTCTTCTGGATTGGGTTTAAAATTACAAGGCTACGGCGTTGAACATTAGCAGTCGTAAACCAAAAAAATTAGGTCAGCCGCTCAACGACGGTTATAAAATAACTTACAATGTATACAGTTGCTTTATAAATTTTAACCTAGGCCTGTTTTAAAAGCACAAATTAAGACTAAACGTCCAGAAAACTTTCCATTTTAGTAAAAAAGAACCAAATCGTTTTTCAAAAGTTAAAATTCGAAAATTCTTAAGAATCTAAATTGTCCTTTAAAATAATTTTGTAAATCATTAATCTAAAAATTTATTTCTCATTTTCAATAGTTTTAGAAATTTGTTAGAATACCAAATTGTATTTAGTTTGGAGTAATAATTGTTCTTTAGTATGATAACATGAAAGAGTGCTGATTAGTCACACTAAAATGGTATTCATCAATATAAATTTTAACTAAACAATTTTTAACTTTATATACTGGATATATTCCATATGCTGGATATATTCCATATGCTGGATATATTCCATATGCTGGATAATTTCTATATGCTGGATAATTTCTATATGCTGGATAAGTTTATGATGAAAATCAAATGTTGATAAAGTACATTTAGTAACTTAATAATTTAAAAAAATACACTAATACATAGAATAATCTTTACCGTAAATATAAAAACTTTCCATATCGTAAATATAAAGACTTTCTAAAACTCGTCGATTCATTTATAAAAAGAAATAATTAACAAAAATTCATAAGTGTTTTTGCTGCCATGATTATTAAAGTTTTTTTTTAACTGCATTTTCTTGTTATTTTAGAATCAGTAACAAATATGTAAATAAGCAAGTCTTTGTGGTTATAGAAATATAGGTCAATTATAACATAATGGGGATATACTGCAAACTCAAAAATATTAAGTGCTTGATGAAAACTGTGTTATAAACTAGGTCTGAGGCAGAAGCAAAAATCACTAGTGTGCGAGACCACTAATAGCCTAAAAAAGTCCTTTGAAAAGGGCAAACGAGAGTTACTGTATTTTATAACTTTCAAAATGTCGATTCATTTCATGAAAAAGTTTAGAAGTACTTTTCTAAAGTTCAGTTTTACGAATGATAGTTTGAATTTATTGTATTTATATTAGATTATTACTTTTAGCAATGAAAATTGCAGTTTTGTGGATAAAGTCAGGTCATTATGTTAAAAAGTCACACTTGTTTTCTGAGTAAATGTACGGCAAAACTGCTTTCAAAATTTGACGACTAAATTTACGGTCTCAAATATATTTTTCATTTTGATTATCAGTATCGCTTTCAAAACAGCAAGCTTTTATTTAATGTAAAATTTTAAAGTCTTCAAATGTTAATAATAGACTAGAACTGAACCCAACCGAGGCCAAGATGCATAATAACTCGAATCGAGCATCCATAGCCTGAGATTTAACTCTTTATATCTCAAATTTAGAAAAAAAAACATTAGAATACATCATTTTAAGCACATAAAAATTTACATTATAAAATTAAAAGTTTATTGAAAAAATGTTTCGTCGCATTTTTGCAACATTGTGAAAACTGATTGTGAAAGAATTGAAAATATCAATTCAATCTATTCACTTAAATTCAAAAATTTCAATTTGAGTATTATTTGTGAAGCATGCGTTTGAGATCTCGTAAGCAACAAATTGGAAATCAAATCTAAAAATCGCCGCACTAACATGTAATTGAAAAAAGTTGAATACGTTAAGGCTGTTTTTCGAAGGCTCCGTCGTAATATGAAATGCTTTTTTGCAAATATGCTATTTTATAACTGTTGTGAGTTATTAACTGTTACTCATGGCTGTTACGTCACGTGTAGCCTATCTAAAGACAGCCCTGCCTACGCTTATTTTGAAAATAGCGCAAAACGTCAATACGGAGAAAAGCCTCAGTTTTGTAAAAATGACAAGAGGTTGCGGTCAAATTTTTTAATACTTAAAAACTTACTCCAGTGCTGCTTTACCTGGGCTCATAAAAATTTGCAAAAACTGAGAATAAGGCTGTGATTTTGATAATTTCTCCAAATTGGTGGTATTTAAGAAGTTTAATAACTTTAAAAAATTTAAGTTGCCTGTTCTAAAGCCGAGACAATTCTTCATGGCAAGATTATATAAATAGTTTAAAATCATCGCATTGCTTCAAGTGAACGGCACTTAAACTAATTTTTTAAATTTTCCTTGGAGACAGAGCTTCTAAAAACAGCGTTAAAAGAAATTATTTGGAATGTTCTTTTTATTTTAAGTTATCATTACTGAAAAAATACGTATCATTTAAATTAGGGTTACTTTGTCAGCAAGGCAAAAATAAATCCACGCCATGCCAATTCTGCTACTGGACTCTCATAATTAAATAGGCAAGGAATATCTTTGTTCAGGATCATTGCAATAATTGCCGAAATCGTCCTTCAAACTGAATATACATCTGTAGGTATGCAACAGTGTTGCATACTATGTTGTAGGTATGTAACACGGTGCTATAAAATTTAATATGAAACTAAAAAATTTAAAAAAGCTGCGAGGCCAAAATGCGCGAAAAATAAGTTGAATTATTTGAGATTAAATGCAATCTGAAAGTAAGTTATGTTTCAAAACTTCTGCTAAATTTTCAAATTCGTTATGCTTAGTTTCTGAACCACAGGCTCTAATAAATCCATTTTAAAAACTAAACGAGTAAAATAAATAAATGAAAACATTAACGTAATTCAGAGACCATAATTCATTAACCTTTTTCAGGTAACAAGCCAGAGTCTTATCTCTCGTAATCTGCATTTTTGAGGAAAATTCTTACATCATTACTTCGTTTCCATAAAACTTAATTTTCTTTTTGTCAATTCGTAATAATCTAAAGATAATTTTAAAAACCATCCAACTAAGTTTTTTCAAATAAATACAAATTTAACAGTATTTAAATAACAATTTTCTTCCTCGAATAAGTACTGGAACATCGAGAAATGTAGATTTTTTTTAGCAGAGAACTTAATACTAATTATTATTAACATGCTGAATTTAAAAACATAAATTTCTTAAATTCTCAATGCACAGCTTTGTTTTAAAATATCAAATAAAATGTTACTTAAACTATGAATTGACAAAACGAAGCATTTAGATCTTTATTTATATAAATCTAGACCAATAAGTTAGCGATACGAAATATTTTAAGAACTAAAGGAAAAATAAATAAGTCTTTACCTGTGTCAACATTTACACTTGTCGTTGAAATATCTAGAGATCCTATAACAATAACATTGGCCAGCCATGTTAATAAAAAGGACAGGACCAGCATGTCGCTTAGTTAACAAAAGATCGCCTTCAGTATCAAACGCATAAACTAAAAAAACATTAAAGCAAATCCTAACATACACAAACAATGAGAAAAGCCCTAACACAGGTTTGCGCTCAAATTTAAAGCAAATTCTATGACGTTGAAAACGAAAAACTGGAAGACTCGTTAACTGTTGATTGGGGTGGCCGAGAAACGAAGGTTTTTATTGAGACCTAAAAAGTCATAAGATCGAGCTCTTAAGTAACTGAAAAATCGATCTGCGATGGAAAGTTCGCAGGTTCGGAATCTAATATCACAAAAACTCAATTCTACAAGCAAAACAAATAGGTGTTTATTGTAATAGTAAGTAAAATAATAAAAAAACACTGTGGAAAATCTGGATATCAGAGAGATTTAGTCCGGAACTTTGATGAGATGAACCCGGGTTCAAATCCCAGCAATGTCTGATTGATATGAATTGCCCACGCAGCTCGCACCGACCACAGTGCTGACGTAAAATATCCTCAGTGGTAGACGGATCATGGGTTAGAGTTCTCTTGCCGTCAGGCTAACCGTGGAAGGTTTTCCTGAATTTCCTCTCAATGTTACGCAAATGCGGATTAGTTCCATCAAGAAGTCCTCCACGAAGGTTAGATTATCTAAATGCTTGATTCAGGAGTTCCCCAGTCTACGGGATTGGATTCGAAATGACAGGGCTATAGAGTTGAACATTGAAGTAGAGCGCTCGCCTCAAAAATATGTAAACCAGGTTCGATGACTGGTCGATGCGAATTCTTCTCCCGGCTCGTATCGAGCCACATTGCTAACATAAAATATCCTCAGTGGTGGAAGGATCAAGTTGTCGAGCCTCCTTGCCATCGGCCTAACCCTGGGGGTTTTTCGTGCTTTTCAATTCCATGTAAAGCAAATGCTGGTTCGTTTTATCAAAAACGTTCTCCACGAAGGTTAACTTGTCCCCTTGTCATCTGGATTGGATTCAAAATTACAAGACAACGGACATGAAAACTGATAGTCGTAAAATCTAAAGTTCGGTCGGTTGTTCAACGTCGGTTATACGTATAAAAAAGTGTCGTAAGGTTTGTGCAACGAAGAAACTCTGCGCTTTCAAGCGCACACACTAAACAAGAGCCAAAGTGAAGTTGGACCAACAATCCTAGAAGCAAGTTAGTCCGTGTTGGTCAAAAGACACGGATTGTGACAGACAAGGCCACATGTTAGTGCGCCATGTTAATTTAAAATTTCAGCGCTTACAAGCTAATGTTGTTGTTGTAGTTCATTTATGTCGCACTAGAGCTGTACAATGGGCTATTGGTGACGGTCTGGGAAACATCCCTGAGGATTATCCGAAGACATGCCATCATAATTTTGATCCTCTGCAGAGGGGATTGCATCCCCACTTCGGTAGCCCAACAACCTGCACGTGAAGTCGAGCACTTTACGGTAGAAGTTTAACGAGGACCAATATCGCACACCCTCGGTTCCTACGCAGACTGATCCAAGTGGTCACCCACGGGCACACTTACAGTAGCCAGTGATGCTTGACTTCGGTGATCTGTTGGGAGCCGCGTCTTAACGATCAGTCCACTGCGGGACCGATTAGGTCTGTTCCATAGAGTTGAGATAGTTGGTATTTGTATTTCAACTCCATGGTCTGTTCAAAATGTGTAATAAAGATATTCTGATGATCGATAACGTAAGAGGCTTTCATGGTTGCTGCATATTGCTTTCACCAATCGGTTTAGGGAGTAGAATGTGACAAGTTTGGTTCTGCTGTGACCCTGTGTTGTTGACTTCAATCCTATTTTTGGTGGATCTCTATCAATTGAGCTGTTTATTTGCTTCATTGAAATTACATACATTTGCAAGCTCGTGTGCTCTATTTAGGCTTAAAACTTCTATCGGGTAGAAGGGCAGATAGAACAATTCAGAGACGAACATCACGAATACTTCCAGGGTTAAGGCAGGATTCGAACCAGCCATCTTCACGCTTCGCACAGCATTTGCGGGTGATACCGCTCTGCCAGGGAGGCCCCGATTGAGTTGTTTATCAATTTGACTGGGGCTAGTAAGCATAATTTGTAAGAAGAAAAAAAATTAAGATTTATGTATCAAATATATAATGCGATGTACGACTAATAGAACTGGAAAGCCGTGTGTGTCAGGGTGTGTGTTCAATCATGAGTTTAGTTAATGTTTTTCAGCGTGTATATGTGGTTGGTAGTCCCGCAGTGGACTGAGCGTTAAGACACGGTTCCCAGCAAATCACCGAAGTCAAGCATCACTGGCTGCGGTCAGTGTGCGGGTGGGTGACCACTTGGATCAGTCTGCGTAGGAACCGAGGATGTGCGGTATCGGTCCTCGTTAAACTGTTCTACCGTAAAGTGCTCGACTTCGCGTGCAGGTCGTCGGGCTACCGAAGCGGGGTGCCATCCCCTCTGCAGAGGATCAAAATTGTGATGGCATGTCTTCGGATCATCCTCAGGGATGTTTCCCAGACCGTCACAAATAGCCAATCGTGCAGCTCTAGTGCGACGTAAATGAACTACAACAACAACGCATGTGGTCGGTAAAATTTCTAGCAATACATTGAAGCGCCTATCTATAAATACTATTATTTTGTAATCGCTATTGACTTGCAAAAAAAAATATTTCAGCAAACGTTTTTTAACACATTCAGATATTTCCGTTTCTATCTTTAGGTTACACGGCATTTATTCGCAAGTCTGCGGAGCGGGGCAGTAGCTGGTTCGTATCCCTTTGTAGCCTGGATGTACTTTTGTTCTGTTCTTCTCTAATTTTTGTTGTCTGTTCCTTAACTTTACAAGGGTTTTTAAGCCGTATCTTGTATTGGGCATACAATCCAGCATATGTATGTAGAATTAAGACATAGCGGAGGTAACAGCCAGACGGGTGGGAAAAGGGGATTTCCAATTTCAGTTTCTTACGCGAACTTATTTTTTGAATGATATTAACATTCGCATTCTGCACAAAGTTATTTGATGTGTTTGGAGGGAGAAGACATCACCAGGCGATACATTAACATTTTGGAAAAATAATTGTTATTAATTAAATATTAAGTTCTTAGTCACGATACACAATATCCTTGACGATTGCAATTGGCGCTACAAGAGCCGTGATGGCTCAGGGGATAGAACGTTCACCTTAAAATGAAGTTCCGATACGAATGCGGCGGATCCGGATGTGGAATTCGTCGATACGAATTTCGCATCCGGTTTGCACCAACCACGGTGCTGACGTAAAATATTCTCAGTGGTAGACGGATTATGGGTTAGAGTCCCCTGGCCGTCAGGCCAACAATNTGTTTATTTGCTTCGTTGAAATTACATACATTTGCAGGCTTGTGAGTTCAATTTAGGCTTATAAACCTTTATCGAATAGACGGACAGATAGAACAATTCAGAGAGGAACATCACGAATACTTCCAGGGTTACGGCAGGATTCTAACCCGCCATCTCCACGCTTAGCACAGCATTTGCGAGCGATAACGCTCGACCGGGGAGGCCCCGATTGAGTTGTTTATCAGTTTGACTGAGGCTAATAAGCATAATTTGTAAGAAAAAAAATATGAAGATTTATGTATCAAAAATATAATGCGATGTACGACTAATAGAACTAGAAAGCCGTGTGTGTTCAATCATGGGTTTAGTTAATGTTTTTCAGCGTGTATATGTGGTTGGTAGTCCCGCAGTGGACTGATCGTTAAGACGCGATTCCCAGCAAATCACCGAAGTCAAGCATCACTGGCTGCGGTCAGTGAGCGGGTGGGTGACCACTTGGATCAGTCTGCGTAGGAACCGAGGGTGTGCGGTAACGGTGCTCGTTAAACTGTTCTACCGTAAAGTGCTCGACTTCGCGTGCAGGTCGTCGGGCTACCGAAGCGGAGGTGCCATCCCCTCTGCAGAGGATCAAAATTGTGGTGGCATGTCTTCGGATCATCCTCAGGGATGTTTCCCAGACCGTCGCCAATAGCCCATTGTGCAGCTCTAGTGCGACGTAAATGAACAACTACAATGTAGAATTAAGACATAGCGGAGGTAACAGCCAGACTGGTGGGAAAAGGGGGTTTCCAATTTCAGTTTCTTACGCGAACTTATTTTTTGAATGATATTAACTTTCGCATTCTGCACAAAGTTATTTGATGTGTTTGGAGGGAGAAGACATCACCAGGCGATACATTAACATTTTGGAAAAATAATTGTTATTAATTAAATATTAAGTTCTTAGTCACGATACACAATATCCTTGACGATTGCAATTGGCGCTACAAGAGCCGTGATGGCTCAGAGGATAGAACGTTCACCTTAAAATGAGGTTCCGATACGAATGCGGCGGATCCAGATGTGGAATTCGTCGATACGAATTTCGCATCCGGTTTGCACCGACCACAGTGCTGACGCAAAATATTCTCAGTGGTAGACGGATCATGGGTTAGAGACCCCTGGCCGTCAGGCCAACAATGGGAGGTTTTCATGGTTTCCGTCTCCATGTAACGCAAATGCTTGTTAGTTCCATCAAAAAGTGCTCCATGTAGGCAAATTTCCCCCACTACTTGATCCAGAAGTTCCCTTGTCTTTTGGATTCAGTTCAAAATTACAAGGCTACGGAGTTGAACATTAGTAGTCGCAAACCCAAAACATTGTGTCGACTGTTCAACGATGGTTATAAAACATAAAATTGGCGCGACAAATCACGATACGTAACAACTGGCTGCGGTCAGTGAAAAGGTGGGTGACCAATTTGAGCTGTCTGCATAGGGACTGAGGGTACACGGTATCGTTCTTTGTCAAATTGTTCAACAGTAAAGTGCTTGACTTCGAGCGTCGGGAGCTATTTTCTCAGCGGAATGTCAAAATCGTGTTGGTATACCCTAGACCGTCAACAGAAGCCCAATATGTAGTTCTACAGTGGTGTAAATAAAGCACTACAGCTAAATTTTCCACAGGTTGCAGGCCCTGGTGGTAAATGAAAAGGACGTCTAAAGTTACGACAGGAACCGAAGTTGCTTACTACAAATAAATTCTTAAAGGCTCAGCTTTGTAGTGGTAATAATGCTTTATTTACTTCGCACTAGAGCTGTTCAATGAGCTATTGGCAACGATCTGGGAAACATGCCTGAGGATGATCCGAAGACATATGCCATCACAATTTTGATCCACTGTGGAGGAGATGCCCCCCCTCTGTTTGGTCTTACTTTCATTTCCTATTTCTGTTAGTACAACAGAGCCCTCTACTGAGGAACACTTTAATTAGTCAGTTGAAAATTAATTCTGCTAGCCAGTCATAGATGTTAGATTATTAATAGAGCTTACTATGGTGTAAGCTATTTGTAAATATGTATATATTTATTTATTAAAAAATTTCATAGCCATAGACTATTACTATATATGTTGTCAATTTGCAATAAACCAGCACCTCTGGATTTAGTATAACACCCTCTATGGTAGACCGACGACCAATACATGAAGTTGAGAACTTTACGGTAGAACAGATTAACGACCAACCAACGACTAACGGCAATGCTTGACTTCAGTGATCTCCTGGGAGCCATGTCTTAATGATCAACCTGCAGCAGGACACCTGAAGATTTTTATGCATTATATTCTGAATCTTTTGGTCCACTGCAGTGCAGAGTCATATCCGCTGGAATCAAAAGCACTCATCAAAAGTAACTAAATGTAAGATAAAGTCTTAAATTGGAGAGTCAGTGCTATGTTTTACATGTTTTCTAAGAAATCGCCCGTTCCTAGGTGCGTCAAGTATCATTTTCTTTTTAACATTCACTTTATTCACTAATTATTTTTCATTACTCCAGTAGGGAGCTAGAGTTGAGAATTTGACTAAATGAGGCAAAATTGGATGCAGATGTGAGTGGAGAAAGAGATATCCAATGAAAATAATTAAATACCCAATGAAAATAACGTTTATGCTTAATCTGTTTGGTTTTCTGTAAACAACAAAAGGCTTCTTTTACTGGCATTAAGGAATCAATGAAGTAAATTGACTTTAATTTGTGTACTTATAACCTTATTAAAGATGAAATTAAAATAGTTACACTAATGTTAATAATATTACTTGACAGTTAAACTTTACAAACTTAAGTTTAGTTTATTGAATACTTACTCGCAATGAAAAAACTGAGAAAATATTATCTCATTTCTAATGCAAAGTAGATATTTGGTTATATTCAGTTAACAATGCAATAACATTAAATGGCAGGACTATATTTGAATATAAAGTCAAAGAACAGTGCTGCTTTTAAGCTTAAGTGGTATATAAAAGAAATATTCACTTCATGTGAACAAATATGCATTACCACTTTTTCATGCAGGTGTTTTTCATATATAGACCACTTTTTGTAGCAGGGCATTAATGGATTAAATATTAATTTGGGACACCTCATGTATCATTTTTTCACTTTATTTTTACAAGCATTCTAAACATATTGAATGACAAAACTTAACACACAGTAAAGGGTGAATTGAGATATTTTCTCAAAATTTAATTTAATTAGCTTTTTTATATATGTCTAAAAAGTTTGGGGAATGAGGAAATTACAGAAGAAAGACAAGTGAAAAATTTGGCCATGCATATGCATTACTGTAAAAGCTCGAAATCTGGTAACTCCTAGGTTTTACCACAAACGCTTGATAAAAAGCTGAAATTGAATCATATTAAAGCATACTTCAGATTTTTACCAAGCCACTTAGGTAAAAACTAGTTTTACTGGTAAAACCTAGGATTTATGATTTGGTTAACGAAAATATTTGATCAAATGGAACACTGGGTTTTCAATTATAAGTATATATTAGTTTCTTAATTAATTGAATTTACCTTTCTCTACAAATAATAATTATATGCGTTTTAAATACTCTTGCTTTTTTTATTATTGAAACTGAGGCACCTTATACCCAAAACTAACAGAGTTTATGGGATACCTAACAAGATCCCTAAGGGTTCTTACATATATTTCGACGTGAGTGATTAAATAAGCACTTAAATTGGACAAAAATATGAAAAGTAATATATTCAGCAGTTTCAGTAAGTAATTTTTAGAATAACAGAGCAACAAAAACCGAAAGGGGCCAAATTGGTCCCATCCGTCTTTCTAGTGCTGAAGTTCTGCTTAAAATGTTATGAAAATAAAATACCATTATTAAAATTCAACTATTGACATTGTATTTACTTTTTAACACACTGAATAGGGATTTAAAAATAAATATTAGTTCACATTATTAGATCACATATTTAGTAATATCTCGTGAAAAAAATTAATACTCTTCAAAATAATGGAAACAAATATTTTAGAGTATAGATAAGTCAGAGGCTTGATAACCTTAAAAACTGATAGTGTTTTGAAGAAGCAAGAAAAATGCAATAAACCAATGGATTTAATGAACATAGAACACACAATCAAAAATAGGAAGAATAAATTTATTTTTAAAATATCAACAAAATAATAGTAAAATTTATTAATAAAAGAAATCTGTAATTGAATAACAGCAAATATTTCTTTGAATACTTAAATATGCACAGATATTTTTAAATCAAATTTATATTAACAAATTTGTCACAAGTATTTATACTATCATAAAATATTTTTATGCTTAGGAACAAATATGTGTTTTGATCAGATTTGACACATATTAAATACTAGCACACATCAAAAATAAGAAGAATAAATTTATTTCTAAAATATCAACAAAATAATAGTAACATTTATTAATTAAGGAAATCCGTAATTGAATAACAGCAAATATTTCTTTGAATACTTAAATATGCATATATATTTTTAAATCAAATTTATAATAACAAATTTGTCGCAAGTATTTATGCTATCATAAAATATTCTTATGCTTAGGAACAAATATGTGTTTTGATAATAGATTTGTCACACATTAAATACTATCACAACAAATAACTTTATAAACTGCAAAACATTCATTAAAATGGATTAATTAATAAGCCAGTTTTCAGAGGAGAAAAAAAGTTAACTTTAGCCCACATGAGAGCATCATTTATAGACACAGCAGATTTGCAATCATCCAGAAAGTATACAGGTCCCTAGAAGAGAAATATAGTACATTTTAAGTAATTGTGTTACACTAGTAGTTGAAGCTAAAGCACACTCCTGACTATTCATATGTGGAAAATATGATCTCAAAATTATTTGATAAGCAAATATTTAATTATGACAATTTCCTGGATTTTAATCCCGATAAAAGTATACTGTTAGTAAATTTTGAAATGGAAATGAAATTTTTTTCCCCCCACCTGAATTGCGTTGCCTCGCAAAAAACATCTATGATGGTCAGAATGACGAGGAAGATTAGATCCACTTATAATTGTCACTCCAATATCACCAAATGGAGGGTCAGCTAAGACTTTATTCATCATATCTTTATAACTATCTTCCTTCTCTAAACTATAAAAAATAATCAAAAAGTGTAAAAAATAATGCATAAATATATATATATAAATACATATATAATGCTTAAATATATACATATGTAACAGAAAAACAGGAGTTAGCATGCTTAAACATCATTCGGAAGCGGATAACAGTTGCTTAAGAATGTTGATTAAAACTATATCATAGGTGTAAATAAAGTGAAACATTGATCTACAAACGTGACATTATTCAATAAATTTTAAAACTAAGGTATTAAAACAAATCTGATATCAATGTTGGTTTGTGATATTAAACAAAATAAATCAATAAAAATTATAATTTCAACTTAAATTTAAAAATGGCTTGCATTATAAAGAGAGGAAAGAATAAAAGTAATCAGAAGATTAACCATTGAGGAGTTCTTGACATGTTCCGTCCGTCATATTATTTCAGTGGTATTGATAAATTGGTTACTGCTGGAAAACTGTCGATCTGCATCAATTTATTTTTCTGATAAAAAATATGCCACACATGTACTTGTGTTCAAATATTAAGCGTGTGCAGTTAAGTGTTAAATAATAATATCACAGTTAGTAGGCTTCACTTTATCACAATTACGAAAACATAATATTGATAAGTCTCATTCTAGCACTGATTACAATAATTATTATTGTAAGCGATTATTGTAATTGATTCTTGATTATTCAATTCTCCATGATATGTTGTTGCTATAGTTATATCAAGTCATTGTAGAAACAGGGTACGTGCCACACACATTCCTTTTTAAATATGAACAAAAACTACTTGTAGTCATGATACATGTCCTGTTACAACACTAAACATTGGGTTTACCTGTATAAATTCCAAAACCAACAAAAACGTATTTTCATAAAAATTTAACTTTTCCCTTTTAACATTGACTGCTTCATTTATTAATGATATTGTACAAAAAATAATTTAAATTGAAATTAATAATTTAAAAAAAACAGTTGGTTTAAGGATTCTTAAAACAAATCACAATTGATTTAAATCAATTGCTTTTTTAAAAAAATCAAAATATTTGAATTGCAATATTAATCATGGTTTAAATCAAGTGATTTAAATCATGCCAACACTGATTAGAATCCTTTAATCAAATAGTATTTATGACAAGAAAATATTATAATATTAAGTGAGGAAAGTCTTCATCTGATGAGGCACTTAAAATGGCTACATCAAAATAGGATGGTATATTTTGGGACGAAGTCAATTTCTCAGAATTCTAAAATGAAATTCATAATTACCCATACAAATGTTACTTTCCTGGTTCGTCCACTGAGCTCTTCAATTGTGTAGGTATATGCCTTTCAGTTTTGAGCATGATTTCGTAGTGTTGCTCAGTACTGATTAATTGATTATTTTAATTCACCCCCATACAAAGAATGAATATTCACCTAATAAATTAATAAAAATCAGAGTTCCAATTGTAATTCAAAAGCAAGAGAAACCTTATAGAGCAAGGGAAGAACAAAACTAATTAGAATGGTACTGCCGTATAAGTTTTTAAATGTGTTAATGATTGATGAATATTTGAATATAATTGTGTTAAAACAGTGTGTGTTATCATTAATTTTCATTACTAAAAAATTTCCTGAGATGGATGCATTTCCCTGAGAATAATCCCAGAGGTGTTTATAAATTCAGAGAGAAAAAATAAAAATAAACAATTTAATAGCCATAATTTTTTTAAACAATTTATAGACATATTTTTTGATAACGTGTAAATATGAGTCAGGAAACTATTTTATTTTACATAAAGCTAGTTCATTTACACATTTTTTAAATAGCTAAGTTAATTGTACCTCCAAGTTTTAAACTCTTCATAAGTAATCATGTAATAATTTATAAATATTATGAAAAAGTTAAACCTTTTTGCAGTAGAACTTCTTGACGAAATCCAAGAATGCATTTCAGATGCTACCATGTCTTCTGTCAAAGGCAAATTAGCATTATGTACTCTTTTCATTAGAGCCCTGAAATAAATTTATATAAATATAAAGAGTGATAGAAAGCAAATGAAATCAAAAATATTTTCTTTGGTAGTAAATTAAAATTTAAAAAATTGTGATATGAAATTTGTTTTCAAAACATGAGGGTAATCTTAAAATATTCTTATTGAAAATATACATTGCTTTTTGGATAAAATGAACTGCATCAACTTTTATGAGCCGAATATACTTCCACTAGTTTCCATTATGAATTTGAATCTAGTCCTAATTGTTTTTTCTCATATTTAGTTTTACTTAGCTATTATGTTAAAGAATCCTTTGCCTCCTTTTCATGAGTTAAATATCGGACAATTTTATTGAAGCCATCTTCATTTGCACAAATAGATTACTAAATATTTAGCACATAGTAACAATGTTTTGACTTTTATTCTTAATCTTGTTTAGCAAAGTTCAGTAATAAATAAAGCTTAATCAAGTGAAATCTAATTAAGATTTCATTCAAGATGATTTTCTAGTTTCATTACTATTATTCTAACATAACTTAATTATATTCTTATTCAAGAAGAATTTTCCAGTAATTTTCGTTAACATATGGGTTTAAATAAGACTTACAAAAGGTTTCATAATCAAAAATCTTAGTTAAACAGCATGTAATGAGATATTTTAAATATTTGACTTTGAACGCACGGAAATTATCAAGGAGCTGCTTGCAAAAACAACTTTGCTTATTAGAACGGCATTATTTAGATGCATTGTAGATTGAATTGTTGCTCAATACTTTATGATCTTAGACCTGTAAATGCCAGAGTTTTTTAAGATGCACTTAACATGACTTTAATCTTTTTACTTTCATGTAATATTTTTTTCCATCTTTTTAAGTTCTTTAACTATAAATGGATTGAAATAATTTTAGAATATCTTATTATATACCTTATAACAATTTCATGAATTGATAGCCTTAAATGTACTGTAAAATTGATGTTAGTAAACAAATCATGCCTTGTTTATAACAGGGATGGTTTATTTATTTTTCTGTGGTAACTGTGAGGCATATTGCTAGATTGTAGAGCTATCAACTGCAACATCAGGGTTTCTGTTAGACAGTAATTTGTAATTTTTTTAAAGTTTAAAGTAAATTTACAGCAGTTTATTTCATTTAAGGTTTAGTGGTATAAATATATACATTTTTATGCAAGTACTATAAATACTCCACTTATATTTACAGCTATTTGCTACTCATTGTATACTATTAATGTGCTTCTCATAATTCAAAGTCATGAATTTTTTATATAGGACTGTCAACTTTCTATGCTTTTTGGGGGAAATTGTTTTTGTGGTAGCAAAGTTTAGATTTAAATGTATGATTCCTTGTTTAGTAAATTTGATTTTAAGTTATTTTCCGTGTACTACATGCGAAAAATTCAAAAGTTCAAATAAAAGATTCCTTAGTCTCAGTTTCAAAATGTTGGCAAAATTAACAAAGAAACTGAAAGCTTTATTTTTTAATTATCTACCAGCCAGTAAAATATTTATTAAAAAGTGTAGTAGTTAATAGCTCTGTCTTTGACGTAACTTGCATAACTTTAATGTTTTGTAAAGCTGAGCATGTGTATTGTTTCATTTTTGTCAAATGCTTTTGTACTTTCAGATTATTAATAAATGAACCTGCAAAATCTCCTCAAGTTAGTGTGCAATATTTCCATGTCTACACTTACTGTTGATAATGGCGAGCAATTCCCCTGCTCAAAAGTACATGAAAACTTTCTTTAAAACATGAATCTCTTTTCTTACAAATATAAAAGTCAGAAAGATTTGAATCATAAAAAAAGTTAATGGTGCATAACTAAATGTACATTAATATCTACATGTTAAAAGTAGAAAAATGCTTTTAGCAATATAAATTCCATTTTCTTATACAAATGATCACACTTATTATCAGTGTAAAGAAGAATAGTCATTTGCTTGTTATACTTCAATAAAGAGAAATATAAGAGAATCAAAATAAAAAAGTTCGAAAAGTGATATTTCCATTGAATTCTATTTTTTTAAAACAAATGATTCCATTTATTCTTACGGTAAAGAAGAATAGTTAGTAGTTTATTGAAAGTCAACTTAGAAGTAATGACCAAGTATGATGTACAGTGCACACACACAAAAAAAATGACCACCCTGAATAATTTTTGATCTGATGATAGGATTTTCATGTTTTGGGACTTAGTCTTTATGGCTCGAGGGGGTGACCTTAAATATGCTAATTAATAAGTGCAGACGATATTTCAAGTTACAAAATCAGACACAAAAACATACTTTCTCTACCTTTTATTGAAGGATTCAGATTTCTGACCCCCAAAATATATGGGTACTAGATTGCAGAAACCTTGGGGGTCTAAAATCCAAATCCGTCAAAAAGGTATGTTTATTTTGAGAAAGTACGTTTTTGTGCTTGAATTCGTAATTCAAAATATCATCTGCACTTATTAATTAGCATATCTGAAGTTACCACCTTAAGCCATTAAAATAAAGTCCTAGAACATGAAAATCCGATAATTAGATCAAAAGTTATTCAGGGTAGCCCATTTGTTTGGCGCACTGTACTTATAATTATCTTGCAACTTTATATTAGAGAGATAACTTACAAAGCGGTTGCAAATAGAGGAACAACAATGGGATAGAAGTTTTGTCGAATAGCAATTAAGGCACCAATATAAGAGCTGAAAACTTGAAGTTCAAAGCGGTGTCTAGAAAAATACATAGATTTACAAAACAAAATAATAGTATATTCATAATAATCATAAAAATAGAGCATTTTATTCTCATAAAATTTACAATTATATATTAGCTAGAGTAATTATATATAGTTATCATATAAAAAATAATAAAGTTGATCTGAAAACTTTTTTAATATAATATCAATGCTAGGATTGCTTATTTCCACAAAAATTTTATCTGGACAATATTTTGTTTATGCAAGATGTTGATCAGATAACTTACAATTTTTATTATTTTTGAGAAAGACAAAGTTCCTTTTTTTATTTCCAAAATTTAATGTATTTCAATGACATATTATCATCATTGGCACAAGAGCCCAGGCTGGGCTTTGGCCTTTTCGAGAACATTTCTCCATTTTGTTCTTTTTGCTACCAGGTCTTACTAGTTACTAAAATTGTTTCAAAATCCATGATCATGGAATCCAGTCATTAAAGTTTTGAACATCCTTTATCTCTGCTAACAATTGGTTTGTGTTAGATAATCTGGAGTGCTAGGCCAGTTGCATTTAAGTAACAGATGTGCCTTTCAAACAGCAGGGCACAATTGCACTTACTTGCTTCAAAAATGACATATTATAGGAATTAAAAAAATTACTTTGTCACAAAGAGAGGTTATCATTTTGCGAATTATTAACAGTAATTGTTTATAAATTGTTGCATGCTTCCTAATTCAATTGAAAACAAGATTTATTTCTCATTTAAAACTATACATTTTGTTACTTTCTATACATTTACTTTCTACACTATACATTTTGTTACACTTTGTTTTATACTTTCATTATCACATATAATTGGCAAAAATAACCTTTTAACAACTATTTATAAATTGAGTCAAAGTTCAAAAGTATCATTTACCTATCAAATGATATATCCTGCAACAAGTGACTGCTAACACAACTCATTGTTCTAATGAGTTGCCAAAGTAATTCAAGATTCCAACTGGATTCTTCCAACTTTTCTAAAATAATAAATTGTATTTTATTCATAAATAAATTAAGCATAGGAATAAAAATAGTAAAAAAGGGACTTATGAGTAAAAAAGTGTTATTATATATGAAAATAGAAATGAAAATGTCAGCAAGCTTTAGTAAAACAAATTTAATAAAATAGTTCATACAAAAATACATCAAACACATTGTTTCTCTCAAAAATATATTGAAATATTTCTGAACATTTGAACACAGTGATTTAGATGGAAGTAATAAATCTATTATAATGTATAATAAAATATATTTTAGTTTAAACTTGAATAAGAGACGAGAGTCTCAGGAATAAAAAGAATTTTGAAAAATAGTAAAAGACAAGAGGAAAAGGATATTAGCAAAACTGAAGACCTTAATCTTTCATTAAATAATGTAAAGAACATTATGTTAGTTTGATAGAGGAAAAGAAATAACTCTTTTCTGTTGCCACTTTTTAAATATCTATCACCATGACTTGATCTATGAGACTATGTACCCAAAAACAAGCATTAGAGTTACTAATGCAAAACACCCAAGCATAAGGACATACTCCGAGAAAGCCTTTTTGTCAGATTCACGTTTTAAATGGTCACTGAAGAGTAAAGACGTAGCTGTAAGAACAGATCTGTCTTCCTTAAACTATAGGATACTCCTTGTATACTTCTGATCATAATAATGATGGACAAGGGGAATTATCAGTCCATTATTATCAGTGACATTGACACGTGAGAAGATCCACTGGAAGTAGCAAAGTAAGATAAAAACATAAAGTATTTGCACACACAATCCAAAAGTATCTGCAAGCTCATATTTTTTGATAAAAGAATAATTTTATTAAATATACAAAAACTATTTATTATTTTTATTTATTTTTGACAAAAAATACTTATATACATGCACATTGACATTAAGAACATTAGTGAAAGATTAATGTTAATAGTTATACATAAATATGAAATTTAAGAACTGTATTCATGTAAAGTAATTATCATATTAAGTAATATTAGTAATTTTGCTTGAAACGAAATTATATTAAAAGATTTCCTACTGTCAACGTAACTGTTTATTTTCATCGTAAAGCAATAGTCGCGTCGAGTCAAGTTGCAAAAAGACTAGCTGATTGTAGGTTCGCCCGTTTACGATGGATCTCTAATCTTTCGGCTAAAGTGGCAGTTATCTTTCTCTTTGGGAGCAACATGCATGCAACTAAACATTGACTTTCTTCTACCTTGCATATATCATGATTACATCAACTCTGCTTCTTATTTTCTTCCCCCCTCCCACAACAAACTTTTTTTTTGCATGCACAAATACTTTTTTTAATATTACAACAAATGTTAAAAAAATATCTGCAAAATTCAAGAAACACAACCTATGCATCCATGCACAGCGTGTGTCAATATTGTCTAACTATAGGTAATAGCTCAGCTTGTTAGTTTACTATAACATATAATTTTACAAATATTTCTATTGGATATGAACAGAAATGTATAGAACTAGCTTCCTATGAATTAAAGAAAAAAAAATTATTTGTCAAGGTTAATCGAAAGAAAAAAGACCTAGGCAAGGAATCCAACAGTGTTTAAACTCCGTAACAATTGATCAGTAATACAATAACAAATCTAAAAGAATAGTAACACAATTTATGAAAAATAATTTACATGTAACAAAAACTTATTTCACCTTTAATATATTGTAATCCAATATCAAGACCTTTCTTCTGCTCATTTGAAAGGAGATAAAACTGAACTATTTTCAGGATTGATTTTTTCTCACATTTTGCTTCTTCAGCTTTTTTCTCACTTTCCTCAACTAATGGTAAACCCACCTAAAATGAATATTTGTACTTTAAAATAAAATTATAAATAAGTTAAAGAGAAAAGACAAAGTTTAATATTTGAATCTGATAAGAAATGTGATCATAGGTCAAAAGAAACATAACTATTATTTCTAAATTATTCTTAGTCGGTGGAATAGTTTTACATTTAGAGTAAAACAAATCTTGTGTTAACTGAATAAAAAAATACCAGAATAGAGAAAAATAACAATTATCATTTGGTTAATTTATGAAGCATCTTTTGCACTGATCCAAGTTATGCAGTTATTATCTCATTAAACAAGTAGCCAAAAAATGTATGTTCCAGCTATGGTAATGACTCAGGCTGTGCATGATTCACTGTTATATTAATGTTTAAGAGATAAAAATCTATAATTTACATTTTTCCCACCATCTCAAAAGATAAACGAGATATTTTGTAAATAATTTAAAAATAGAAACAACTATAGTACATAATTTAGGAAATGATATTAAAAGATATTAAATTATTATGATTAACAAAAAAAGGCTTAATAAAAGATTTGTGAGCTTGAAATTCTCTAAACTAACTTGTAACATAAGCAACTTTTTAAATATACACACATCAATATGAAAATACCAATGAAAATATCAGCAATGCTAAAATTATTATTTGCATGAACACTTTATCTCTAAATTAATATTACTGATTTAAAAGAAATCCTATTGGTAGTCTTTAAGGATTATAGAAGAGTTACAATGCTATAGATAAAATCAACTTAGAACAAAGAATTAAAAATAGGTAAAGATAGTTTTTTTTTTAAATTTAAAAATAGATACACAATATAAGATGATAGTTCAAAAAATGTAACCTTCTGATGTAGATCATTTCTTTCTGTAATTGATAAACCACTGTTAATGCATATGCGGATTTTTTCTTCTTCGATATCTGGACAAAGATTAAGAACATCAACAGCAAGATCCCTAAAATATTTTAAATTATATAACCAGCAATCAAACATTGTGAATGAGAATAAAATTTACAAAAACAGTCCTAAACAATAAGGAGTTTTTGTGAATACAATTTAAAATGCTAAAATGAACTACAGGATAACTAATGAACATTTTTATTAAAAGATGTTCAATAACTAAAGATATATTGAGTATTTCCTACTTGACTTAAGAAATACAATTCCTCCAAGTGCAATAATAATTTAATTTTGAATAAATTTGTCAGAAATTCTAATACATATTAAATAGAAAATTTTTATAATTTTAAGCATCCGATAATGTATCTCGGAAATATGTCCCTAGGTGATCCTTCCCAAAGTAAATTCAGATCTTATAATCCATGGTGTCTTAGTGATCTTTCCAATTTTTTTTTGAAAATTTCTTTTTGTGCAAGACTTAATTTATATTGCTGTTTAATCCCTTTGACATGAGTTCCTACTATTATTAACAATTGTTACAGCATCAGTAATTAGTTTCAATTCGGGCTCTTGTGCCAACTTTGCATTCAATTGAGAGATAATGCATAGAAGATTTTTATAAAAGCATTTGCAAAGATATAAATGTATAATAGCCATGCTAACAATTACTTTGCGTACATTAGATCATATCATTTAGGTAATCTCATTTTCTTATAAATAAATACATTGAATGAGAACAGAACTAAGGGCAATGAAATTCATTAATTCACAAATAAAATATCTTTCAGAAAATAAAGCTCTCTGAACTTACAGAGTGAGCACAAACAAATAAATCTAACAATCCTGTTAAAACATAACAAAATATCTAAATTAAGTATACGTTATTAACTTAGCACGTAATGTAATCTATTAAAATTAACGTGTAGTACATTTATTTATTTGCAATTTTTAATTAAGCACCTCAGCATTAATTTTTGAATTATAAATCATTTCACATAAAAGCTTGTTTATTTTCTCACACAGTAAACTGGTCCCCTCCCTGTCTTATTTAAAAAGGGAAAAACTGTGTTTGTCAGGAAGTTTTCATGCTAATTTGTCGAAGTAAGTTAACATTAAAGAATAGGGCTAAGTAAAGAAGATAATGCTTCTTAAAGCAACCAGATTGAATTCATTGTGTTTTTCACAAAATAGAACATTGAAAGTCATATATTTATAAAAAGTTAAACTTTTTAACTAACCATTCATGATTTCGAACACAACGCCAAGCAAGGTATGTTGCAGCCATTTTGCATGAGGAGTTTTTTAGTTGCAGAGAGTGGCATAAACTTACGATAAGCTCTAACTCATTTCCTCTAAGAAGACAATACAGACCATTCTAAAAATATTAAATAAGAAAAATCTTGAACATTTGAAAGGATTGGACATCCGATCAAAATCTGGAAGATTGCATAATCAATAAAGAGAGAAATCTTAACTAATTTATTTTGTAGCAACAAGCTTTAAGACACCCTAAAAGCAAATCTTATGCTTTGGAGTTACACCAAAACATATGATGGTTTTATGTAAAAGGCAACTTTCATGTAAGAAATTACTAATAAGCATAAATTGACTATATAAGTATAAACTGACATACCTGTATATCATCATTAGAAATATACCAGCAAGCTGCTTTCAAAGGAGATCCAAATAACATACACCTTTCAGCTAAAAGTTTAATGTTTGAAGATACAAGACTGAAATGAATAAAAGATTTCACTGAGAATGCTGAAGATACATAACTTTAAAAAATGTTAAATTCAATTACATATCATTAAATTGATGCTTAATAATAAATATTTATGAGTTACACTACTTAAATACTTTATTTGTCTCAGAAACTAATGTTACAAATGTCATATTTTTAAACACTAGGCGCACAAGAGTGTTAGTTTATATTAAACTTCATTACATTTACTGAATTATTAACATGTTGATTGCCGCACACGTTTACAATGAAATCTCCTTCAGGCCAAGGGTACCGCTGTATGAAACTTATTCTGCTAAGTATTCCTACCAATATTTTAATAATGGGAGCCTCGGGTGGTCACAAGAACTAATGTTACAAATGTCATATTTTTAAACACTAGGCGCACAAGAGTGTTAGTTTATATTAAACTTCATTACATTCATTGAATTATTAACATGTTGATTGCCGCACATGTTTACAGTGAAATCTCCTTCAGGCCACGAGTACCGCTGTATGAAACTTATTCTGCTAAGTATTCCCACCGATATTTTAATAATGCGAGCCTCGGGTGGTCACAAGAATAGTATATAGCTCCGTTTGTTTCGACAGTATCAAGTTTATTTATTTGTGTCCACATTTGTATCCCATCTCGCCACTTTACACAATCAGTTTGAATCCTTGCTGAGTAAAGAGTATAACTTAAAATCATTACCCTAATTCTTTGAAATTTTGAAAATGGAAAACTTATTTCTTAGTGAGTTAAATAGCAGTAGACAAGAAAGCTTTTACAAGGCTCACAATAATTTTCTTAATAAATCAATTTTGTATTACTTTTATAACAATTCAATAGTTTTGTTACTTACTATGAAATATCTTTTCAAATACATATGAATATCCTTCTCAAGTAGTCAAATAAGCGCCACCCCAATACGGGTGACGTGGCTTGATCAGAAACCTTGCTGTCACCCGAATATGGGTGACGTGGCAGTCAACGTGTTAAAAGAGAAAAAGTGATGCCTGATTATTCATAAATCTTATACAAACAAAAAATCATGAAGTTTTCAAGACTGTAATGTAGAGTGAATTTTTTTTTAAACAGTAAAGAACTCTTTTCCTTTTAGATGTACAAAAAAAGGAAAGTAATTTGTAGAGATATTATTTCACAGGTGCAGAAGTTTTTATATTTATAAAACGCTATTATATTATAAAACGTTAACATACATATATATCTATGTTTAAAACGTTTTGACAGATATTATAAGAGAAATTATCATTAATGTCTTGCGAAAATTTTAAACGTGTCAAGCAGTCAACATGTTAAAAGAGAAAAAGTGATGCCTGATTATTCATAAATCTTATACAAACAAAAAATCATGAAGTTTTCAAGACTGTAATNTTAGTATTTAAGATGTTTCGGCATTAGTAATTTTAGCAACAACAAAAAAATAATAATAATAATAATTAACTTACACAGTGTAGCATTTTATCAGTGTTAAAATCATGTTTTGTTTAAGAAATACAGATTCAACAGTGTAATATTTTATTTCAATCAAATTTTTTTTAAAATTCTTTTTGTGTTTAATGATTAAAATTCTAATAAGATGCATAAATACTAAATACCATTTAACAATAAAATTACACTAAAATTCTTAATACCTGTTATAATAAAATGGTTAATATTATTTAATTGATGCAAACCATTTTAAACTAATCAACCAGTCAAATAAGCATCACCCCAATACGGGTGATGTGGCTTGATCAGAAACTTTGCTGCCACCCGAATATGGGTGACGTGGCAGTCAACGTGTTAAAAGAGAAAAAGTGATGCCTGATTATTCATAAATCTTATACAAACAAAAAATCATGAAGTTTTCAAGACTGTAATTAAGAATGAATTTTATTTTTTTAAACAGTAAAGAACTCTTTTCCTTTTAGATGTACAAAAAAAGGAAAGTAATTTGTAGAGATATTATTTCACAGGTGCAGAAGTTTTTCTATTTATAAAACGTTATTATATTATAAAACGTTAACATACATATATATCTATGTTTAAAACGTTTTGACAGATATTATTATTATAAGAGAAATTATCATTAATGTCTTGTGAAAATTTTAAAAGATGTATTTTAAAATATGTAGTATTAAATATGAATGATATTTTTAAATGAAAGATTTCATCTGATAATATTTTTCACATAGAAAAAATAGTATTCTTGTTTTTCATTTATACATTTAAAATTATGTAGCACATAAATAAGAAATAAAAAAAGAAAAACTAGTTTTAAAAGATTTGAAAAGTTACAAGAAAGGAATTCACAAACAAATAAAAAAATAAGATATTATGAAATTTATTGAATTTGTTTCATTATCTTGAATGGAATAGTATCAAATTGAGTGTGACAAAGATAGCTTTTACACAGTTTTGTTAATTGTAGAACTGTATGTACTATTTATTTCTTGGTCTGCAGTATATAGGGTATTAACAAAACTATTGTTTTTTAAATTTGCACCAAGTATAACATTAAAAAATTGCAAAATGAAAACGTTAGTATCAATCTTCAATTATTTTTAAAATTAAATGAAATGAGTGTTTTATTATTTTTTTGTTAACTATATTTCAAACAATGTTATTATGATCTTTTTCAAAATGTAAATCTTTCAAAATTATTAGTTATTAGATTTATTGTTTACATTTTACTCAGTCTTATTTGATTTAATATTTCTTATTTCAGCCTTATTTGATTTAACATATAACACTTCTAGTACTATTGTATAACTAAATACAACAATTTTACATTTCTTTACAAAATTATTATAGCACCATTTGATTTTTAAGTTTGGAATTTTATTGCACGATTGCTCAAACTAATTATAAAATTATTTTATTACTTCTCATAGTGCACAGTTTCATCTGCTTTCTCTGAAACAGGTTGTTCCAATACAGTCAATGATGAAGGCATGAGTTTTTCTGCTAATGCAACAGATACAACATGAGCCTTTTCCAAAGAATTCTGCTTAGCATAATACTTGATCAAATCTTCATACTGATTTGTGGCAATGTATAATGGTGCAACTAAACCACGATTTTCAGGCTCAATCACTCTAAGCCACCTTAAAGAACACACATTAAAGAATACACTTTTAATATTAGTACAAAATTCTTCTAATTTGTAATTTCATCAAAAACTGATAAATAATATTTTAAAAAAGGTGATTGACCAGCCTAATTTTCTTAATATTCCACCTGTCTATTTCAAAATTTTGTATCAACTTGCTAAAATACTTCATACTTAGATGGTAAAGGATTAATAGAAACAGATAAGAGAGCAAATAACCATCAAGAAAATTAGACATTATTACAAATAAACAGAATTTACAAAACATACCTAGATGTTATTTCCTTCCAGTAGCTTAGAGAAACACCAGGTGCCAGTGCAATAGCTTCTAACCACTGCATGAGAGAATTTTTTATTATTATAAGTATGATACAGAGCAATCATAAAAATGAAAAGGGGGCAAATTTCAAATAAGTTTTTTAAGGGCTAAGAAGGAAAATTATTTTGATTATTTATCTAGTGTTAATTCTGTATTCTTCTTACTATGTAAATATTTTTTATTTTAAAGCCAATTCTTGAGTTGTGTTGAGTTTATGAAAAGAACAAGAATTAGACTTACTGCATCTTTGGAAATTATAGGTCAAGAGATGCTCTAAACTAAAAAAAGAAAAGAAAAAAGGAAAAGATATTTAGAGTGCTTAACGTAACACTTACACAAGAACTAAATAGTTGCTTAAAAGTAGTCTTCTGAAATCACAAATTTGAAAAAAAGAAGTCAAATGTACACAATTTCCGAAGTTAAGAATCTCACTTTGAGGCGTTGTTCATTTTTTGCCTTTATTTACAAAGTGCCAATCATCATATGCCTAATTTTTTACCAAACTCGGAATTGTCTATGCCTGCCAATGCTAATTTGAAAGCAGGGTAGGACAATATGGGATGAAAAATCTGGTTTTCAGTCTTCTTGTAATCTCACATGCCTGATGATAGGCCTTACGTAAAAGGAGAGTAAAAGACATACTCATTTATTTAAAAAAAGTAAGCATATAAAGAGTTTATTTCTAAAATAGCGTGTCTTTTATAGATTTGGAACAAAACCTTTCATATTATTTTGAAAGTAATTACGAATATATAGAAATCCCTAAATGGGTTAAATCTTTATAAAAAAAAATTCATTTTAAGTAGCAATTAATTTATGCAGGTATTCATCAAAAATATATAATGTATGTGGCAACCAACCTATAGGTACAGTAATTTGATACAAAGTTAACAGCTTAATTTGGAAACAAAAGTTAAATTAAATATATCATCTTAACTTGGCCCAGTGAAATAAACATAAATACAAAATTCAGAGGAATGAAAAATTAATATTATTTATACTAAGGTCAATGGTGTCCCTTTCTTTTAACTTTTAAAATTTTAAATGCAATCCTGCTAGTTTGGGTAGATAAACCTATTTTAACACGTGCCAACTTCAAGAGGAAGGCATATAAATAGAAGACCCCTTTTGTCCTTGTTGGTTTGACAGTGGTGTCTTCCTGTCTATTGGTTTGCGATTATTTTTAACCGAGTGAAAGTTACAATGCAGTAGTTTCTGTTGCAGTACTGATACTGACTATTGAGGCAGTTTCTATTTGATGAGCATGGTATTATAACTAGATACAACAGTACAATAGTGTTTATTTGTAATAAGATGTATTGGTCATGAAATAACTGGGAAAAATTACCATTGAAAAGACAAATGTTGTCTTGTTTATTTAACTACTTCAGGGAATTAAAATTAAAAATCAGTGATAGAGAATTTTACAGGACTAGAATTCATTATACTTTGAAAAAAAGCAAAAATCATTCCCGAATAAATGCAATTTTAGGCAGAGAAATCATTTCAATTATATGCGTCCTGAAGAAATCTCTAAAACTGCTGAGGTATCTAACATGCAGATTTTGAGTAGTAACAGAACAGCTATGAACATTGGAAACTAAAATATTGTACTTATCCTTCTGGAACAAAACTAGATACAGATATGTTATTTTTCCCATCACATCTATTAATTAGTTTCGCATAGTGTATTTGAAAGCTAATTATGAGAGGTAGAATAGTTTATCAGAAAAGTTATCTGCTTCATTCATTTATGATGAAAATATTCGCAAAATTGAAAAAAGTGTTTTTTCTAGATCAGGAGTGTCAGGAGATTGAACAGAGGATTGCAATTGGTGAAACGCGACTTAAATTTTTTTTTGTAATGAATTTTATACTTGAAATTGCGCTGTATAATCTCTCTTTGTATTTAGACAAAATAGTGGATAATTTTGTGTTTTCGAAAAGCAGAAATTCTTTCATCTGCCTTTAAATAGACTTACTATTTTCATAAAATGGAAAAGTTAAGTAATATATTTATATGTCAAATGAAAAGCTGTTAGATTAAAAGCAGTTAATGACGGTGTTGAGAAAGGTATGAAATTAATGCTGGGTCTTAATGGGTTATTAACTGGTGATGGATAACAAAAACAATTTGTCAAAAGTTTTGCATTGTCAAAAATATGAAAGTGTATTAATAAATATATATGAGTTTGTAATTTAACAAATATTAAGCTTAATTAAAATTCTCAGCACTTGAATTCTTCTAAATCTATCATATAATCATAGTAAAAAAAATTCTGGATAAAGTCAGTAAGGGTTAAATTTGTCTGATTGAACTTAAATTGTATACATAAGTTATTCAGACCAAAGGAAAATTTTTTGGGGGCAGGCATAATATTTTCTGTGAAATTTTTATTGTAAAAAAAAAGAAAATCCTAATGCATACTACTTAAAAATTAAAGAAAGAACTTAATTTTATGCTAAAACAGCAGAATATATTCTTAATTTATATACGCTTATAAAATATTTAAATTTACATGAAATTTTAACTTAAATTTTGTTTCAAAAAAGGATAATTTGAACATACTTCACCCAACTGAATCTTAAGGTCACAATATTTCTTCAAATTACCGGTCAATATATGATATTCTGCTGCTTTTTTCATATTTTCATTTTTCCCACAAGAGTTCACACCAGAGCCAAAGAAGGAGACATTTGCTAGTTCCTTTTCTAATGCTGAAGTCTATGGGTTCCAAAGTAAATAAAGAAATTTCAATAAAAGTCAAGCATTAAAAAAACCTAAATATAATAATTAAAATAAAACTTATTGCCCAATTAAATACAAAGATTTCTTTTAGTTATTTAGAAAATCATTTTAACCTTTCCGATCCAATAAAAATTGATAGGAAGATTGAATTTCATTACAAAGTAATTGGTTTCCCTTTAAAAATATATAAAAGTGTTCAAACAACACAGGTCTATTAGCACACTAAAATATATGTAAATGAAGCTTTTTTTAAGTCTTCAATAATATCAGATTGGAAAGTCACTTATGAACAATTTGTAGCAATAAATGATAAAAAAAAAATATTCAGCATTTATACTATTTCTACAATAAAGAACTCAGAAACTGTTGTAAAAAAAAGGAATGGTAATTATGTGATATTAACTCGCAGATCATTACAACTTAATTCTCTAGACAACATGTTCTTGGAAGCAAGCTAGGATAAAAATTACGATAACTAATTTTTGTGATTCATGAATCAAGTACCAAAAATTAGTAATTATGTAAATTAACATTAATACAAAAAAATGCTTTGATTTCTGTGAAAATGTCCAAATAAATCACCATAATAATTAAATACATCACCATGAAATGCAGAAGACTCAAATTATAGGTAACTTTTTATTATGCATTAAAAAAACTTTCTGGAAAGGAAAATGTTTCAGCGAAGTAACATTTTGTGGTGTTTATGTCGATTTTTTCAGAGTATAAGACAAGAGTATAAAATTCACATCTAAGCATCATCCTAATTAATTTTACTTCTAAACAGATAAAGCATCAGCGTAAATATGTAATAAATTCATATCACTGAAAGCTATAAATTTATTTTTGGAAAATATGTTAAAATTCCTTATGCATAATACTTTTTTTACTGAGATAAGGAATGCCTTAATATTATGCTTTGTATTTCTTTCAAAATATTACTTCTAGATAATTAACAATTAGAATATTAGTCAGCAGAATGTAAATTTTATATCCTAATATATATGTAAATCAATAAGGATTTTTATGAATACTTAGAATATAACAATAATATAAGTAAACTTAACTCTTTTCAAGACAATAATTACCTTTATTAAATTTTATAGAAGTATAGCATAGAATAATTAAAACTTGCCAACTTGAAAATGAGCTCTTGATAGAATCAATTAATGGAGAGAAATTGTATCAAGCAATGTCAGAGTTAGGAATACGTAATAAGTTGGTTAGCCTCATAAGAATGAAACTTAATAGAGTAAAAATGGAATCAGAAGAATCAGATGCTTTCTATACTTAGAAGAAACTGAAACAGGCAGCCTCTTTGTCATGTATTCTGTTTAATTTAGCACTAGAGAACATAATTAGAGAGTCTGGTATACAAACGCAGAACACAATTTTTGTTAAACAAGGAAAAAACATAGTATAACAATTAAGACAAATAAACATAGTTAACATAGCAAAAAAAAGATTTGTTAAGCAACAAAAAACATAGAATTGTCAGTCAACAATGAAAAAACTAGATTCATGGCAATGACAAACTGAATCACAAATCTGCAAACACTGAAAATTAATGAACATGAGTTTGAATAAATAGCTCAATTTAAATATTTGGGCACAATAGTACATACACTCTATAATAAAAAAATTGATGCACCAAGAACTCACTAAGACGCGCAGAATCGACGCTCGTACAGGCTGGAATGATGCCGACTGGGGACAAATAGTCTTTAGCGGCGGATCCCGCTTCCAACTGTGTCCTGACGATCATCGAAGACGTGTTTGGAGACGCAAAGGGCAGAGGGGGGATCCTGCCTTCACTATTGCACGCCACACCGGCCCTCAACAAGGCATTATGGTCTGGGGTGCCATTTCCTTTGACAGCCGGACCCCTTTGGTCATCATTAGAGGTACACTTACAGCACAGCGGTACGTCGACAACATCCTAAGACCTGTTTCGCTACCGTTCCTTCTGCAGCGCCCTGGGCTGGTTTTTCAGCAGGACAATGCCAGACCATATACGGCACATGTTGCTATGAACTGTCTGCAAGCTTGTCAAACTCTTCCTTGGTGTTAAACACTGTTTAAAAATTTTAATGTCTTTAAGAAAAGACATAAGTTGCAAAAATATAAGACTTGAAGTATTGCTTTGTAACAAGGAAGAAATTGCATGGACTGATCCTATAGGAGCAGATTATCTAGAGGAGCAGCTTTTGAGACGCCATGGGATTAAGCTGAACTTTCCCCGCAGCGACACCTGTCAGCTGAGTTCCCGAAGTGCAACAGTATTCAACAAAAAGTAATGGCAACGTGGGAGTGAGGGACTCCTTTTCCCCCTTTTCGAGAAGCATTCATTCGATTTTTTTGTGGGCCCCCTGAAGTACGTCGGTGCATCAGGGAGGCGTGGAGTCTGTTTTTTTAGAAGAATATGGTGACGAGTTCTTAGGACGAGATGAATCCATGTACATCCTCTTAAACTGTTTAATAATTTACAATTTGTGGCCTGTGTGGCTGTAGATAGTGATGTTATGTATCTATAAGTTTTTTAATTTTTCAAAAAAAAAAAGAGTATGCTGTCTGACAAATAAAATGTGGTGAGTTTACAAATTTCTGTATTTTTTTTTATCTGTCTCAGTTTTTTTATTCTTACCAGTCCATTCCTTTTCAGCTATTTATTTTTCTTTCAGGTTAATCAATAGTTTAGGTTTATTGCAACAACGCAAATTTTTTAACATTATACTTTTGGCCATGTTTCTTAATAAGATGATACGTATCCGTTTACAGGATATTGTAATTCTAGTATTTTGTAATTGTTTATTCTAAATTAATTCTTAATGGTTCATTCTAAATTAATCATTTAATCTTTTGTTTTACTTATTAAACCTTTTTCCCTAAGCCATTAAGGAACAGACATTATTACTTGGCCTGCCAGATCACCACATCTCTCTTCCATCGAGCATGTCTGGGATATGATGGGAAGGCGATTGCATCTGGCACGGAACGTTGATGACCTCGTTCGACAATTGGATTGAATTTGGCAGGAAAAACCGCAAGAGACCATCCGGGGGCTTTATCGGTTTATGCCATGCCGTGTGGCAACTTGTATCTAGGTTAGAGGCGGGTCAACACCTTATTGAACTTGTTACTGTAACTCAGCAATAAATTATTCAATTGTTTTGAAATTTTAATCATTTACTATTCTGTACATTGTCTTCCTATCCACCAATTTTCGTTTTAATCGGACAACTCCTTTTTGGTGCGTCAATTTTTTTGTTATAGAGTGTAATAAGAATGACATAAAAATTTAAATCAAAAATTGAATCAACATGATTAACTGATGTAATCATGGATTAAAAAACAAGTTCAAATCTAAATACATAAGTTGTGAAACAAAAATACAGTTGCCCAAGAGACTAATAGTTTAATATGGCAGCAAAGTTGGGCAGTTAACAAAGAGGAACTGATGACTTTCAAGAAAAAAAATAGTAAGAAAATTTTCTGGAGCAGTAAGAGAAAACAGAACCTGGAGAACCTCAAAAATTACAACCAAAATACAAAGAACCTAACATAGTAAAAGTGATCAAGGTTTCACAAATAAAATGGCTAGGACATATGTTTTGATATAGCCTTGAAAATCCTGTTAAAAAATAACCTTCCAAACCCCACAGGGAAAAAGAAAAAGACCTTGAACAAGATGGTTAGATAGAGTAGAGAAATGGTTATATGACTTGGGAGTTGATAGATAGAGAAATATTGCATAAAATAGATCTAGATGGGATAAACTGCCTGAGACGACCTTAGTTGGTAACCGGCTGTAGTGTCAAAGAAGAAGAACATGGAAATGAAAATAAGCTAACAATGCAGTTATAGAAAGTTCACTCAAATGATTAAGATTGCTCAAAAAACTAACATATAGTATTGTTCCAAAATAAATTTATAACCCCCCAAAAAAGTGTCATACTTGCTAGTTTTCTAAGCCCTGATTTAACTTGAAAATAGTTAGTTTAATTTTAATACCTAAATAGTTTCATTATAACGAGCATAATTTGGGCTTAATGCAGATTTTTTTTATGAACATCTGGAAANGGCGAGACTTGACACCATCAACCACGGTGCCTCATGTCAAAGGCGTAATGGTTTGTATGGGCATATCCGCCCATGGTGTGACCAAACCTCGGTTTGTGAAACCTGGGGCCTAAAATAAATTTTGAGTATTCCATACAGACGATATTAAACCCTTTTTTAAGGATGATTGCTGCAGATTATACTCTAATAGTGATGCTGTGTTCCATCAGGACTCTGCCCCATCGCATGCATCTAAGGTCACCCAGAAATTCCTAACAGATCAGCAAGTGAAATTCCTGAGACCAGAACAATGGATTCCAAACAGTCCTGATGCCTCACCATGCGACTATTTCCTATGGGGACATCTGAAAAACAAACTGAATAAGAAAAGATTTTCTACATTGAGAGGCCTTCAAAGAGCTATTAGAGAAGAGGTGAAGAAAATCCCCCAGAAAATCATTTTGCGGGCTTTAAAATCATGGCCGAAGCGGTGTAGACAAATCTGTTATGCCGGAGGTCGACATATTGAGAAACAACGCTGAATTTATGTAATAAATTTTGGAAATAAAAACATTCAAAAATGATCCCTATAATTTTTTGTTACCCTGTACTATTGTTTTTGGCAAACGTCAAGCTCTAACGCAATGGCTCATGTTGAAACATTTCTGTCTTGATCAATAATTTGCTTTAATTGCTTACAATCAACCTCAATAGGGTGGTCAGAATGTGGTTCATATTCAATGTTGAAATTCCCACTATTAAACTTTCGAAACCAAACTTTTACTGTATCATAAGAAACAGTATTGAAACCTAAACTTTCACACATTTTCTTGTGGCATTCAGTTACACTGAGTTTATTTCGGAACTCATAGTACATAATTGTTCTGATCTGCTTATGTGATAGCTCCATTTTAAACACTTTTTTGGCGCACAAGATGATAAAGTTTTGACAAACAAATTACACAGTTGTGTAGTTCCAACTTTCAGCTTTAAAATGGAAAAGCCCGTTTCAGAAAAGGTTAACTACCACGGGAATGGCTGCTCCTGGCAGGGAGGTATCTCTCCTTGGCGGAAAACTTTTTACTCAACCCGATATATATATGCAGAGAAAATAACTATAACTATTTATTTTAAAGGCATCTGTCTTCTAGCAAAGGGCGAATAAGAAATCATGGATAGTTATTGAAATGACTAAGAGAAGACATTGTACATTTAACCATTAAATAGATTTTTTACTTCTAGCTTCCATGTTTCATGTAACTGCTGGTATTATCTGTGAATTATGTTTGATCTGCTTTTAAATTTCAGAGTTGATTTCTTTTTATCAATTCTTTTGATAATAGGCAAAGGTAATATTTCGTTCATAGAAGAATAAAAATTAATAATTTAGGATTGTGCACTATCTGTTAACAGGATAAAAATATTAAACTTTACACTAAGTATACACATTCCTCTATGGTTTTGATAATACTGAAATATAAAAAGAAACTTTAGAAAGCTTAAAATCATTGATTCAGCAAAACTTTAAAAACTACGGGTCCTCAGGCCTTCCAAATTTCCTAGTCCTTTTTTACTAAAAGCTAGAACCCATGTAAAATTATAGATAAATCTTTACATTAAAGATATACGTAAAGAGTAAATATTTTATGATTAGGAAAAATATGATTAATAAAAATGTTATAAGCGTAATAATTCAACAAAGGATTAAAACCAATATTTCTATATCAATTGTTTTTAAAGATCAAAATATGGGAATGTGATCTTTTCAAATAAGATTCTTTTCAATACACTAAATATTCATAATGTAAATTAGATAATTTAAAATAACAGCTTGCAAACTGTAGGATAAAACAAGTACCAATGAAAACTGAATAGTATATATGTTACTTGTAAGCCCATAAGCAGAATATTTTCAAATGTTCTGCAACAGGACTTATTAATTTATACAAATGTTCTGCAAACATTTCACAGCGAAAAAAAGTTACCTTTACGTTAAAATACTATATTTTCATTCTTTAAAATACAGGATCATACACAGATACACTACATTATTTTTTAAACCTAGACAAACATTCCTGATTTGTTACTTTTTCAATCACCTTTGAAGTACAAAATTTTGTTAAGAACGACGATGATGAGGAATTATTAATAAAATGCCTATGATATGAAGGTCCGAACATTAAAATAAGGGCTGCCTTAAAAATCTTTCGAAGGGACAAGTGCCCAGATGGTGCAACATTTGCAAACACAAACATTCGCTGGTCTGTTGTTCCAACAACTTCATCTCCATAAAAGTATTTGGTCTTTTAGAAAAAGTTCTGTCAATCGTGGATCCCCACGATTCACAAATTGCTTCTGAAATGGGAATGGAAAATATAAAAGTCAGAAACTTTATGAAGATGGAAATCTCAGAATTTAATTCTTTTACGGTTTGCTTTAGAAGCTCATTGATAAAAATAGCAATCGATTTCTCCTACTGTCTTCTAAAAACTGATACACCCATTTTATAAAAATGTCATAGCCAAAAGCTAATTCATTAATTTCCTCCCTAAAATTTCAAAGATATGGGAGAGGGAGATTACTGATAAATGTGCTGAAATTTGTGCAGGGTGTCAAATGTTCCTCTTCTAAAGCAACATCATTCCTGGGAAACATCAAGTGGTCAAAGCTAACAAGAATTTTATTCAAGATACTAATTGTTATGTGGGACTTCGTTTGTTCTGCGACGTGCGTCACAGTTTCAGGCACTTTCTGCGTCTGGGCTTGTAAGTAAAATAATTAAAAAATGACAAAATAACATTGAGAAAACAGCTTTAGTATAAGTTTAAGTAAACAACCAATATTATGAAATAATCCTGTTCTAAAGAAATATAATAAAGTAATATATTATTTTCAACAAGTTTTAATAATCTTTCATTTTTAATGAAAAATACTACTAGAAAGTTGCAACAGATTTTGGATGGAAAAAAAATGATAGTAGCAACTGATCAAGTAATATGACATAATGCTTTAAAAAGTGCAAGATGCCAATAATATTACAAATGTTTGAAAAATGATAGAAAGATGCAGATAAGGCTTTAATAAAATGGTGCCACACTTTAAGCAATGTTGCTGTTGCTACTAAGATGCTAGTGATAATGCATTTATACCCCGAGTGTTGTAACTGAAGCAGCAGGTGAAAAAACATACTGACTTGAATAATAAACAAAGCACAAAAATTCTTCTCCACTGTGTAAGTAACAAATATTAAGAGTAACCCATTTTTAAAAGCTTTCTCATTCATTTTTGTGCATTATAATTTTTATTTTTTGATGATTTTAATATATTTAGGTACAACACTCATATTAAAATTGAATTGCTTTGATTTATATGTTTTTCCTTGTTATAAAGGAGTTTCCTTGTATTTTTTATAAAAAGAAGAAAAAACATACCATAGCTAACTTGGTAATGTGCTTTCGATGAACAATTCCAGTTTTGTAATGGTTAAAATCAATTTCTTTATCACCAACAATGGACAAAAGATCCCACAAGTTTGATAGTTCAGGTGATGCCTTAAATAAATATTTAGTGTTAAATAATTACAAATAACATTCACATACATACCATATAACAAATACAGAACAACTAATCCAAACAACAAATGTAAAATTCATAACTGTTTTATTAAAGATACTATAGTAACAAAAAATATTACACTTTATTCTTAAATTAATAGTTGAAATAAGAAGTCATTGTGGAAAAAAAAAAGACCTTAAAATTTTCAGATCATATAGTTAGAAAAATATAGAGACCCTGAATGTAATAGAGGAATTTATGATTTTTTTTCCTTGAAATTTCAAGCTCAATCCAATTCTAAACAACTGAGAATGCTAGATTAATTAAACATTATTTTTTTTCTATTTTCTTTCAGAAATTTTTTAGTATTGAATTAAGATAACCTTGTGTTAGAACCGAATGATAGACTAGGCTTAAGTATCGAAGATTCTGTAAGGATTCCATCATGAACTCAGTTCTAGTAAAGATGAGCCACTACAGTCAAAGTTGTAATCTTCTATGCTGAAATTGAACTGCCATCTGTATACTGAGTTCAATTAATTTAAAATGTATATATGTTTCTTCAAAAGCTTCTTTTGCTTTTTTTCTCTTTTTTATAGTTATTCTGGAATTCTAATGATGTCTACAATTTGGCATTATGTTTTTGTTATGAATATATTTGTTTGGAGTTTAATAAAAGTTAAGATTTCGATCTTGCAGTGTCCAATTTTTAATCTTTAGTAAAAGATATATTTCAAAATGCCAACTCAGAACATGCAACATTCTTCCTAACGTTTCATTTGCTTAATTTTGCAAGAACTCAAACAATTTACTGCATGCTAATTACATCTTTAACAGGTTTCTGATTTTTTATACATAGCAGAAAATCTTACCATGTACCTTTATATTTCTTTGTACAGTTTGGTTAAAAACTAAATAAAACAGTTAAATTTTTTTTTTAAAATTTATATAACATATAAGTAAAAAAGTAATATTTTCCCCCCATTCTTTTAGAGGTATTATTGATTTTCTGTAGTTAAACAGTCAGAATTAAAAATTACATTAATAATGCAACATCTATAATTAATGATATTTTTGTTGCTTTAAAGGAAAAAGTTGTAAATTAAAAATGCTAAAATTATCTTACACAAAAAAATTCAGAAACAGCTTTCCACTTATCAATGCCAGATAATGAATTTGACTTTGTAATAATATCTTTAACAAGCTTAGATTGAGTACCAAATAGAAGAAACCCTTCATCAAAGTCACAAGTTGGTTGTACAACTGGAAGTACAGAAAAAAGCAAATAAATTAATCTAAAAATTCTATAAAATAGGACAAACTTAGCATTATACTAGTTTTAATTATGATAAAAGTAGTTGCAAAAGGAAGAACAAATTTTTGCTTTTAGAAATTTAGTATTGTTTAACTACTAAGACACTGAATACTAGAAAACCCAAACATCAGTTTTTTTGTGTAGCATCTCCAAATAATAATGTAGAAGATTTCTTTTTTTCTATGAGCAACTTAATCCCATAAGACACACCATCTCAAAATATAACTCTGATTTAATTCCCAATCTGGTAATCTAATTACATCAACTTTATTAACAACACATTAGTTTCCAGACACTTACCAGAAGTTGAAAATACAGTATTCAAAGGACTTGATGTTAATAATTTGATATATAATGAAGTAACTAAAGGCAACATAGACCACAAACGAACAGTTGAATCCCGTGATGTACTAACAAGAAAGAAAGGTCTTTCAGAATGACAGGCAAGACCTGAAAAAGTATTAAATAAAAGTTTAAATTCATAGGTATTTAAGTTGATTAAAAATATATAAAAAAGTAAGGCTTTTTCAAAGATTTAATAGAAATGATAATTTAATTTAAATACAAGTGTACTACAATTTTTTCCAGTAAAGGTGTAGCATATTCAAGTAAAAAGAAATCTATATGTATAACAACTAATAGAAAGGAATTGTTTAAAAAAATAATATTCAAATGGCAAGATTAAAACTAAACAAAGGGAGGGATGTCAATAACAAAATTTTCACCCAATATGCTTTACTTTCAATCCCACTTAAGCAGAAAATAAATAAAATTATGAAGAAAGGAGAAAACACTTCCTTCTGAATAAAAAAAACTGTTTAACCAAGAAAATTATTTGAGGAAACACGGTTCTTTTTATTAACCTTCTGATGAAATTTTCACTTAATATCAGTATGTTTCCATGAAATTACATGGAGATTTTCTTTTTTTGATTAGCAGAAAAGCAGCCATTTAAAAGTGCAAAAAATTCAGAGTTAAATACTCTGAGAATAAAAGTTATACCAATTCTTTACTCCAACGAAAGATGAAGGTCAATAGAAAAAAAAATGCTGTGTGTCTTTCTGATAACAATTAAGTAAAAAAAATAGGGAAAAAATTTTAAATTCTTTTATAAGTTAATGAAAATTATTGCATGAAATATTTCAGCATAAAGAGCCTTTTAAAATTTGATTAATGCAACATGCATCAAAGTGTTTAGTTAATAAAGTAGCATATTTTCAAGTCTCATTCAAAAGTAGTTATACCCATATCAAATAGAAATATTTTAGCTTTATTTAATAACTTATTTTTTTGCATTCTAGTCAACCAGCCTATGTAGGGGTTAGGGAACTGCCCTTGGATCAGAAAGGTTCTGGGTTCGAATCCCGGGCAAGGCATGGATGTTCTTTCCTTCTCTGTACTATCTGTCCTTACTGTGGAAGCAACGCTGGCCCACCTAATATGGTGCCCCTGAAAGAGTGGCCAACAAATCTACCCTTCAGATGCCTGTATGATGCCCAAGCGGGTCATTCTAAAAAGGTGGGCATTGTAAAAAAAATATNACTAAACAAAGGGAGGGATGTCAATAACAAAATTTTCACTCAATATGCTTTATTTTCAATCCCACTTAAGCAGAAAATAAATAAAATTATGAGGAAAGGAGAAAACACTTCTTTCAGAATAAAAAAAAAACTGTTTACCCAAGAAAAATATTTGAGGAAACACGGTTCTTCTTATTAACTCTATGATGAAATTTTCACTTAATATCAGTATGTTTCCATGAAATTACATGGAGATTTTCTTTTTTTGTTTAGCCATTTAAAAGTGCAAAAAATTCAGAGTTAAATACTCTGAGAATAAAAGTTATATCAATTCTTTACTCCAACGAAAAATGAAGGTCAATTAAAAAAAAATTGCTGTGTGTCTATCTGATAACAATCGAGTAAAAAAATAGGGTAGAAATTTTAAATTTTTTTATAAAGTAAGAATAAGTTAATGAAAGTTATTACATGAAATATTTCAGCATAAAGAGCCTTTTAAACTTTGATTAATGCAACATGCATCAAAGTGTTTAGTTAATAAAGTAGTATATTTTCAAGTCTCATTCAAAAGTAGTTATACCCATATCAAATAGAAATATTTTAGCTTTTCTTAATAACTTATTTATTTGCATTCTAGCCGACCGGCCTGTGTAGGGATAATGGAACTGCCCTTGCACCAGAAAGGTTCTGGGTTTGAATCCCGGGCAAGGCATGAATGTTCTTTCCTTCTCTGTACTATCTGTCCTTACTGTGGGAGCAACGTTGGCCCACCTAATATGGTGCCCCTGAAAGAGTGGCCAACAAATCTGCCCTTCAGATGCCCAAGTGGGTCATTCTAGAAAGGTGGGCATTGGAAAAAAAAATATTTGCATTCAGCAAATATTTAATAAATAGAATTATAAAAATATTTTACTCTTAATGTCAAACATAATTTAAATTTTGATATTTTTTTAGCATTCCAAAGTAGTGCATTTTTAAAGTGTGTATGTTTAGTTATTTTATCAACGTTCAACATGTTTTTAACTTTATTTAAAATGGTTTAAAAGAGCAGTTTTGTAAAACTAAGTCACATTCTCCTTTTTGGAAACTTTAATTATGTATAGCTGGCATTGCACGCTAAACATTTTTCATAAGAATATTTTTAACAAAATTGGGAAATATTGAACAAAAATGTCAAAAAATTCAAAATCTCCCGTTTGGTTAATCAAATATTATACGCACAATAAAAAGAAATGAAACCTATAGTGATATAAATGCAATTTGATTTTAATGAAGACGGATGAAAAATCTATTCATAAAGAAAATTCACTGTTTTGACTAAACTATATTTAAAGTTAGCACAGGCTTATTACAATCACATGCTTACAAACACAATATATGTTTACAGGGGTCTGTTTAGAAGAAATTTTGCCTTCACAAAATATTTTAACTTAAAAATGGATCCTTCACAAAATAATTTATCTTTAAATTAGATCCTTCACAAATTTATCTTCATTATTGTTTTGTTAATAGAATAAACCCTTCACAGGAAGAGGGGGGGGGGAGAAAGACAGATGTAAACGAACAAAATTTTGTCTTCGGCAGACGCTTCTTCCTTTATTCGTCCGAAATGAATATTCTGCGTTCAGCAGTATAGGCTAAATACCAAATACTTATATGTTGCATTGCTAATTTAGTAGCTGCAATTGCTGTTTATTTTTCAAAATTAAATTTTTTTAATTATAATTTTACAGTGTTGAGCATAATCTTGTATGTCTTTACAATATAAAAACTCCTTGAAAAGGTTTTCTTGCAATAACGGACCCTATTTGTACAAATTCACAAAAACGGACCCTGGTTGAAAGAATGCGACTTAACGTTTATTTTATATTCACAAATTATGAGTAACTTTTTCACAATTTTACAAAAATGGATCCTTCACAAAATGTCTGGACAGACCCCTGGTTTATCTCTTTTATTAGCTTAAATTTCAGCAAAGAATTTTAAGAACTTTCGTTTAAAAATGAGCCAGAAATGGATCCTTCACAATATGTCTGGACAGACCCCTGGTTTATCTCTTTTATTAGCTTAAATTTCAGCATAGAATTTTAAGAACTTTTGTTTAAAAATGAGCATACCATTGCATATTGGAAAAAACAAACAATTTCTTAAAAATTTTATAGTGGTTAAATTCAAAGTCAAATCTTTAGACTAAATTATTGGGTAAAAATTATGAAGAATACAAATTACCATATACATCCGCACCATGATCCTCTATGACATCCATGCATGCTCCATCACTGATATCCCAAATTCTTATTGTAGAATCCCAGCTACCAGAAATTAAAATATTTGGGTGCTCAGGACACCATAGTAATCCTCGGGTGTAACTTGTGTGTCCTTGAAGGACTCTGACAGCAATTCCTTGCGCATAATGCCAAACTCGAACAGAGCTGTGAAGACACATTTTTCTGAAATCATGTAAAATGTGTGATGCTACATGTATTAAACTTTTTTAATTTAAGACAGGGCATTTAAGTAAGGGGCAAAATTTTAAATTCTTTTAAATTTCTACAACATTTATAAATGCATCTGCAAATTATCATGGGAAAATTAAATGTGTGAGTAAATAAAAATGAGAGAATAATTTATAAAGATTTGCATTTTAATATAGTTATACTCCTTGATGCTTATTGATTAAGAGCTATACTCCTAGTTACACTCCCATTAAATAAACACTTAAATAAAAGATTCAAGAGCTGATTCTTATAATACGTAACCAATTAGGGCTACATACAGATTCCCCATTTAGTAATGCAGATATGAAGTCTGAAAACACTGCCCATTGTTAAAGATAAGGATACATTTTGGAAATGAATAATGGGTATTAGTAATGGGTATGGGTAAATAATGGATATTATTTCAATATTATAGAGAGAACAGAGCAAAAACTACAAATGAGTAAATACTTTTACTTTTAACAAAAGGAGAAAATATAATTTAAACAAAAACCAAACATAGTATAAATTATGACAAAAAGGAAAATGTCATGGTGTTTTGAAATTCAGTAAAAGATTAATTTAGTTGCTTGTTTGCCTATTAACAACTGGGCCTTTTTGGATTATCACTTTCCCATGAGGATAAGTCAAATAAAGAAAGTCCAATTGTGGTTCGTTTTGATACTTATAGGCTCCTGGCAAATAATATTTTATGACTTAGACTGGTAATACTTTCTAGACTAACATTTTAATGGAACGTATGCTAACATTTTAACAGTTATGATGGTTAAAAGTTCTTTTTGGAATGTTCCTTACATACTTCTTATGGATACACACTAAGCAATTACAGCTAGATGACGTTGTATGTAGCACTCTCACCAAAACAATTCATATTTTCTGGCTGGTGATGTTATAAATAATGTTTAAAACAAGTGATGGCAATCAAATTATTTAAGAATCAGTACTTTTAAAATATTTTCGGTATCTTTTAGAAGAAAAAATTAACAATAATAGAATATAATAGGAATATAAAATAGGAGGTACATAAAAATATTAATTCTAGTTTTAAATTAAATATTTTTTTCTTTTGCTTCATCTACTTGTTTTGTTTTTCACTTGATAAAATATCCGCAACACTGTGATTGCGCCATAGCCATTTTGTAATCACTGGCTTTGGACTCTAGTCATTCAGAGGTAATCCCATTAAAGAAATTATCACTATATTCAAAATGTTACAGTCCATCCGTTTCTTTTGTGCATAAAAATGGAATTCATAAGGCTCATTCAGCTTCAGCAGAACGTACGGTGACAGTTCTCAAAATAATCTTTGCTTTCTGAATACTTTTAGGAATTATATGAATGTCCATGTTTCCCCAAACATTTTTAGTATAATCTTTAAAAGACATTGATGTCCATCTGATATATGAAAATGTGGAAAAACTGCAGAGGCGTTGATTTTCCACTTCTTTCCAAGAAACATCTTCGACTTTTTTGTATTCGAATTCAAAATATTTTATGAAACCCCGCAGATTCTGACCAGACTTTATATGGCACGTTAATTAATTACCAGTATTCATTAATCTGTTTTTAAGATTTTGAACTATACCATCTATCAGCTTTTTCTGCAGCTAAAATTTAAATTTCATGTTTTCACTAAAATTAATTAATTCAAATATTATAGAACTAAAAGTTTCCTTTGTTTTCTTATAAGTTCCATCATTAGCTCTGTGCAATAACCATCGCTGAATAGCCGACCCCATTTTATGGGTTTACGACTACTAATGTTCAACTACGTAGCCTTGTAATTTTGAACCCAATCCAGAAGACAAGGGAACTCCTGGATCAAGCATTGGGGGAAATTTGTCTTCGTGGAGGACATTTTGATGGAGCTAACCTGCATTTGCGTTACACGGAGAGGAAGACCACGATAACCTCACACAGCTAGCCTGATGGCAAGGGGACTCAAACCCATGATCCGTATACCACTGGGGATATTTCACGTCAGTACTGTGATCGGTGCAAGTCGGATGCAGAATTCGTATTGACTGGGAATCGAACTCGGTTCGCCGCATTGGAAGGCGAACGCTCCATACCCTGAGTCTTTCTTGTAATGCTTTGGATGATGAGGGCCAGATCCTTTTTGGAAGTTTTTGTTTTCTAAGTGCTTCTACAAGCCTGAGAATTTTCCATTTGATTTGAAGAATAAATAGATGGATAAATGTGCCAAACTACAGTTTATCTTAAATTGTGCCAATTGTGGCCCAAAAACATGTCCAATTTTGATGATTTAATTTCCAAGCTTGTGAGATCTTGAAACATTCAATCTGATATTTGTTTTGAATGATGAAAAATTGTATACATTTTATCAACAGAAAATTAATTTAAAATTATTAATTTCCTTGAATGAATCATCGAAAACAAGCTGAAGGCGATGATTTAAACAATGCCAGAGAATAATATTTGGAAAATAACTCAAAATTTGAGAATTGACACCAGCTTTTTTCCCCAAAATTACATTGGCTCCAACAGAACAAAATACAATTAGATTTTGTTTTAAATAATTGTTGTCATATCCTATGCTGCTTAAAGTCTGCAATATACTTTCGAAAATTGATTCAGAACCTTTCTTAAGCAATTCAACTAATTCCACAAGGATGAAAGGTGCTATTTCTGGATCTTTCATTTGAATAAAAATCACTAAAACTGGCTGGCTAGAGACAGTTAAAAGCTCATCAATAATAATGTAAAATTTTATATCCTGGAATTTTAAGAAATATTTCTTTATTTCGTTGGAAATGAATTTCAATTTTTGTTGCTATTTTCCTTGAATGAAGACCAATCTCGACATTGAGTATATTTTTTTATTTAAAGCTCAATTTCATCTTCAAAGTCTGAAAATGGACGACAATGTTTGGCCAAACTGGGCAGAGAATTAAATATTTTAAATGCTGATTCTTTGAATTTTTAATTAATTTTGTCAAAAACTTTGCATACCAGATTATTCTCTACTGTTTAAAATTATCCTGATATAAGGAGTTTTGAATTGTTCGTTCCTTTTATTTTCCTTAAAGATGCTTGCTGGTTCGTTTTGACATTTCTCAATGGCTCCACTTGTCAATTTTTTCATTCTTAGGAAGCATGAATGCCTTTCGTGATTCCCAATTTACGACAGTAATCACATCCCAATTTACCTTTAACAACAACTGCTAATTCCTCATACTTTTTGGAAAAATATAGAAACTGTTCTTGTGTATTGCATTCAGGAAGATTAGTTTTATCTTCCTGGTTATGTTTCTTCTATGTTGCAGTTTTCTGTTTTTTGTTCCTTAAATTTACATAGATTTTTTAGAAAAAATAGTCCACTTAACTCAGTTGTCTTTTCATTTTTAATTAAGTTGAAAATAGTTACTAGAACTGTTGAAATATATTAAATGCTCCAAAATATAGTAAAATCCAAAATACACCAATTCCTGCAGACTACAAATCAAACTCCTGCCAAAATTTAATGTTTTAAATCAATAGTGTCAAGAAATTACAAGAAGTGCTAAGCTAGTACCCGTTGAATCCCATCACTGTTTAAAACTATCCATAGCATGCATATTAGTATACTTTTTAATGAAAATAATGTTTGAAAAAGCAAATGACAATGGTTCTGAAATAGTAAAAAAAACTGCTAAAAATGATGTCCTAAGATAGGGTTTTGTTAGAGTACAGCTGTTTATTGATGTTTATACTAACCAATCATCAGATGTGCTACACAGAAATCCATCTTTTAAAGGCGACCATTTTACCCGGAAAACTTTCCCCTCATGACCTAATAATATTAGAATAGCAATGTTAATATGGTATTTAAAAACTCATTGAAGAATAATAAACAAAATGTATAAAGTACTATGTAGTTTAAAGTATAAGGATTACAACTATAAGTGAACAAATTAATCTAAACATCATATTTATTAGATATACAGTGTGACCTTATCTTAACTGTATTGTTTTTACGATTATTAATCATTCAAATTCATTTGGATAAATATGTACATGAAACCTTTAGAATAGCCATTTCTTGGACTAGTGGACTAAATATAAGAATCCCCAAAACATTAATTTGACCTAAAGAGCACAAAGTCAGAATTATATACAGACATCAAGCATTAATGATAGAGATGTGGTAAATCTATATGTTAAAAAATTATATAGAGAGAAATAAGCAGGATTTATAAAAATTGCTTATTCCTTTTCTCTACATGGATAAATTATGAAAAAAAATGTACTAATTATTCAAAGAGAACCTCATCAGAATAGAATTCTTATAATGCTTGGACATAAAATTTCAAAGAGAATTTTCACATAAAAATTGTATTTTGTTAAAAATATATATAAAAAGAGCATAGCACAAAACTATTTTGTTGACTTTGTCAACAAAATAATATAAATTTTTCTAAAACTTAATTTTTAAGTGATAGAAAATAACATTTAAAAACATATTGGTTTTATGGTTTGGCATAAAGGGCCATTGATGTATAGTAATGAGCATTAAGGGGCCCATGACACTGATTGAAATTATTTGAAGCCGAGAAAGTTTTAAAAATTAAAACGATTGTTTCTAATAGTAAAACAATCTGTGGTTGAAAATGGTATTTAAATAGCATTTAATCTGTATTATAATTTTTATGGGATAAATCTGTCAGACCACATTTAGACTTATTATTTTAAACCTTAGATATTTAATAAAGGATAATGTTTTTAATTTTTTGTATCTAAATCCTGCTTTTGATATTAATTTTAATTTAATCTTTGTATATGGGCAAAAAATATACGTCTTAAATTTAAAAAAAAATTATGCTTCTGTAAATGCCAGAAGCAAAAAACTGTGTAGTACAGTAGAGAACCTATTATCCGGAATGATCGTGACCATCGCTATTCCGGAAACCTGATTTTTCCGGTTTTCTGAATCGCTACAAAACACTGTTTTTTTTATTGTCAAACCCTACTAAAAAAAACTATTTAGAAGTAATTTAAAAAAGAAGAGAAAACGATAAAGTAATACACATAAGCTTAATAAGATAAAAAGGAAAAAAAATAATGAAATAAAAATATTTATACAGGCTTAATATAAAATGAACAAAAAAGATAAATTGGAAGAAGAAAAAAAAAAGGGGGGGGGGAGATGGGTTCCATCCTCTGCCGTTTTCTTCTATTTTGCTGTTGTCTGCGTCAGGACAAAACCACGAGCATTTACAACGTTGGAATATAATTCTGGATGGAAAAAAAATCTATCAAAACTTTCTGGAGAAAAGAAAAATAATATTTTTTACTTAATTATTCTTTATTTTTTTATATTCTCAAATGAGAAGAGAAAAATTGCGAGCGTTTCTTTTCCCTCCTATGCACGAGACAGACATCGTTTGAATATAATTTTGGATGGAGAAAAAGAAGAATCCTTCGAAAATTTCGGGAGAAAAGAAGAATTCAATTTTTTACTTCATTATTCTCAAATGAGAAAAGAAAATTCGCTAGTATTTCTTTCCCCTCCTATGCGCTACACGAGAAAGACATCCTTTGAATTAAATTCTGGATGAAAAAAAAAAAAGAATCTTTCGAAAATTTATGGAGAAAAGAAAAATAAATTTTTTTATTTCATTATTCTCAAATGAGAAGAGAAAAATCGAGAGCATTTCGTTTCCATTCTCTTATACGCTAGAAAGACATCGTTTAAATATAATTCTGGATAAAAAAAAATTTTTTTGAAAATTTCTGCAGAAAAAAAATTTAAAATTTTTTACTTCCCAAAGAAAAAATCTTTCCGCAAAAAACTGTCTAACGTTCTGCGGCATTATCGACGTGATTCTGGCACGCAATTACTATCTAGAAGAGTTTAATTTGGGTTTCAACATTTCGCTAAAACATTAATCAAAATCAGAAAGAAAAACACGTGTATCACAATCTTATTCCTCATTAAGCTGAGCAATTTCATTTCTCCCTTTACTCCAGTTAAACATAAATTGGCAAGCAGACACAGAAGCTGACATAATAAAAAGAATTTTTGTTCTACCGAGTTTTGCCCCCTCCTCACACCCCATTCAAATTTAATGGATTGAAAAATGTGTGCAGTTGCAATACAGTATGGGATCCCTAATTCAGCAGGACTCAAAATTCCACACTTAATCCAGCCTTTTTTTTTTGTTTTTTAAGAAATTTTTATTGATAAGAGAAAAAAAAATCAGTCATATTCTCTTTTTATTTGGAAATTTTTTCTCTTGAAGTAAGTAACTATATTTTATCTTTTAAAAATAAAAAAAAAGGATGAAAAGAAATAAATCTGTGTCAAACAAAACATCTGTTCCTAAAGCAATTTAAAATAAAGTGAAACTGAAAAGTAAAAAGATCTGCATTTCCAATGAACAAAATAAAGAAATGCAATTTGGAAGAAACTGATCAATCAATTTTGACAGGAGTGCAAGTGCTTCACTGGTTTGTCCCCACATTTCCCTCTTCTGTCTGACCATAAATTGGCCACACCCAGTAGACATTGAAACTACCAAATGGTGTATAAAATGAATTCTATCCCTTTTGCTGCTTTTTTTTTATTTGATTTACTTATCTTTCTATTAGTTATTAACTTACTTTTTTGTTACTTGTTAACTTGTTTTTTTTTTATCCTTATTAGTTGTTTGCTTCCTTTTTGTAGTTATTAATTGTCAGTTTCTTAGCATTTTACTTTTTTGTGTAGTTCCTTGTTGGCTTATTTTTATTTTTTTGTGAGGTGAGCGTTTTTTGTTAAAACAAAATTTTACGTAAAAGAAAAAACCTCACGTCGAAGAAGAAACAATTATTTCTTTTTAGGAGGATTCGGATTATTTCATCTTGAATTATTTCTTCTTGATAATATTATATAGATTATTATTTCAATTAAGGAAATTTATTATTTTAATTATTGAAATTTCCTATGATGGGACAGTATTAAATTCACCCCATCAGAATCTACAATCGAAACTTTGCTAAATTTATTGATTTTTCTGAAATTAACAGCATAATTGAAATATCATAATATGTGGGCGCCATATTGAAATTTCTGGAAGAGATCCGAAATTCGTCAAATTCCGAAATATGGAATTTCGTCGGTCCCGTGAATGCTGGAATTTGGGTCCTATACTGTACTTGACCTTGAGTCATTATTCCACTTTCTTTGGCTGTGTCACTGTGTGTTTTGTGTTGAATTACCGTTTGGCGAGATTGTATTGCGCCAACCATCTTTCATCATAATATAACCCTTTGAACTACTCACTCTTGTTCTTGTTGATTGAATTGTTAAGAGCGTATGGTCGCTCTCTAATGCAAGTTCATGCGTAAACTAATTAATTACATTTGTTAAATAAATATTTGTTAATTATTATATACAGTCAATTACCTTTAATTTTAACTATTGAGCTATCTCGGGACCATACACTATGTTCAAAGGGGGAATAGCTGAAATGACAGATAATTTTTTAAAAAATAAGAAAAAGTAGGAAATAACAAGAAAAAAAGCAGGGATAATAGGAAAAATAGGAGTTCTGCAGTCCCTGTAGGGAGTACTTTCAGAGATTTCTAAGAATCAAAGAAGACAAATAAAATTATTTGTTTTAACTCTCCTTAACTAAGCAATCAACAGACATGATGACTACCCCTGCTTAAAGGCCAAATGATAAGAAAACAGGCGTTCAATGAGTCACCAGTTCTCACTGAGCTATGATTGAAAAGAAACAACTATGTAGGGGGTGAGGAAGCGAATGATTGATGATATTTAGTACAACACTCTTACTTCTCTTGACAGTGTAGAGAACTAATAATTACTCTTGAAATGATGGTAAAGTAAACATCTTTTAAAAAAGAAAGAAATATCCTAAAGTCTTATGAGGAAAAAAAACTTTTTTTAAAAAATGGCGGGAAAATGTATAAAATTTCGTTCTGGTTTTCCGATTTCCGGATATGAGGTTCTGTACCTTACCACCAAAAACACCCAAATTTAGAGAATTAAAGAGCAGCAGCTTGTAAGAAAAACAAACAAACTTCAAAACAACAATTGATGTGTTTACAACAATAAGGATAAGTAAAAGTATATAAGAACTCTATTTGCAATTATAATGCTGATTTATAAGAAACTGAATTATTTCTAGTACTACCGCTAAACTAGTTTCAATTTCAGTTTCTAGTATTAAAAAAAATCATGTTAATGTAGTAAAGCAGTTTTTACTCAAATTGATGATTCTTAAATCAAAAGTATGGTGCTTTTAATCATCGTTTAGCTTTTAATCAAAAGTATTAAAGAATACAAATAGTATTATTGACATTTTCAAAATATCTGATTAATGTTAAACTTGTGAATTTAAGTGCTAGGAAAATGTGAAAAGCCAAAATTCTAAAACTTATTATCTTTTTAAATCACACTTTTTAATGTAGTCTGTTAATGTACATCATATGAAGAAAAATTAGTGCATTTAGATTTGGAAATATTATTTTAGTTATAATAAAATCTGATTAATCTGAGTTTTATCTGCCAGAGTTGGCAACAATCATTGCTAACATAGATTATCAAAACTCTAGAGTATTTAAAAAATAATCAGCAATAGAAAACACCTTCAGAATAAGCAATGAGTTAACAGGAATTGCTAAAATAATTTTTAGAAAATGTATATATTTTGTTATAACTTACCAGATAATGTTTTCAAAGGTTGATCAGTTCCACTTCCCACATAAAATACTCGAATTAAAGAATCTTCACAAGCAGTAGCTAATATGTTTCTGAAAATGTTAATACAATATTTTTAAATAAATGTTTATCTTATAAAATAAAAAAGAAAAACAAATAAAAAACTGAAATACAACTAAGAAAAAAAGAAATTATTATTCTCTGAATACTATGGGCAAGCAGAGCTGAAGTCAAAAACACTGTATTTAAAGAACCTTTAAATTTAAGTAACAGACACAATGCCAGGAATTAACACCTAGGCTAGGCTAGTAGTTTTTGGTTTTATTTTAAACACTCTGCATTAAATGTTTAACAGTCAACACACTAGCCTAAATTGGTAGCAAACATTTTGTCATTAAACACAGTTTAGAAATAAATAATGTAAAAATAAAAAATTGTACAGAAAAGCAATGAGATTTTACTTCTAACTAGGGCTTGAATATAGACATAGGATAATTTTGGAATTTCAGTGATTTTAAATTTTTTCAAAGAGTTAACAAAATTTATAACTGAAATATAAAAAAATTAAATACAATTTAGTAGACCCCTTAATTTTAAATCTTGTTGGAAATAAATATCAGAATTAAAACAAATGCATTTTTTAAACGTTATTTAAACAAAATTTTATTAAAATAGAAAGAGTTTACAACTTTGGACATTAAAAATAAACTATTTTTGGCCACGATTTTCTTGCTTAATTGACTTCCACAATTAACTTTTTTTTTTAACTCAACTTTAAAAATTAAATACAATAATTAAAATCAAACTTAAAATGTTGAAGAGTGTTAGAGCTTTCTGAAATTAATTGTAAAATTATAAGTATTTCTTAAATTTAATTGCTTAATTCAAAATAATTTCCTAAAAAGGAAAATAAAAGAAGTTTCAGGTTTCATAATTTTCCAAAACTAAACTAGTTGATATACTCTTAAAAATGAAGATTTAATAAAAACTAAATAAATCAGTAGAAAATATACAATTTTAATATCATAAAATTATTACTTACTCATTATTAGGATTCCAGTCACATCCATAAACAACAGCTGGATGTTTAAATGCCTGAACTAACTTTCCATTACTCGTATGATGCACTTTACTATCAATTTAAAAGAAAATTGACAAATAAATACACTCATAAAAGCTTAAACTTATAAATATGCAGAATTTTACAAAGCAATTCCGTAAAGTGCTTTGAAAAGCAGAGTTCACTCTAAATTTTAAAAAAAGGCACTCCATTTTCAATATGCAATTCAAAATTTGAGTATCATAATAATATTGAGATTAGAGTATTAGGATTTTAAAAAAAATAAGTGGAAATAGCCAAAAACAAATACGTAGACATCCAATGCAATTGTTACAAATCAGGCATGTTCTAAAGTGATTATTTAAATGCATCATTCACAATGTAGTAACAACATTGCATTCAAAATATTGAAAACTTAAAATATTATATGAAAAAGGTCAAAAATACATTGAATAACTTAAATCACTGCATATCAGCAACAGAAAATAATGAGGATTTGTGATGGTATTAGCACAAATAGATCATATATTTTTTAAAATATCACGAGCGGTAATTGAGATCAAATGACACACGGGCTAGAAATATTTTTAACTACAAGGTAAATGACATGTTCTGCCAATTAAAACCCATCTAGAATGAATTCTGAAAATAACTGGGAAACTATTATGTAGTAAATATAGCAAGGTTGATACATTAGTTAGATAACGAAAAATAATGTGCACCAATAAAAGCACCATAAAATTAGAAATACACATAGGTTCAGCAAAGTGCTTTAAATAACTGTGAATTGGTTTATTTGCTTTCCTTACTACAATAAGGTTAGTTCATTAGTCACATATAATTAAGTTAGATAAATGAAAATAAATACATTCTAAAAACATACTATGTTTTAAAAACCAGTGAACCAAAATGTGGGAAACATACCAAAATCCATCACCTCCAGCAGAAGCAATTTTTCTGCTATCCTTTTGGTTCCATGCCACACAATAAATGTATGTATTCTTTTCATGCTATAAATTGAAGAACAATTGTTATTTTTAAAATCTAATCATAGGAAAGATAACAGTTATGAAAAAAACATTTATCAATATTAATATAAAGCATTTATTAATATTTACGCCAGAGGAATATTGTCAGTTTCTTCACGTGTACTGGCAACTGTACTTGCATTAATTTTTCAATTTAAAATATAGAACAATGTGAAAACTTTAATTAAATAAATAAAAGTATAATACAATAATAAAAATTCCTTAAAAAGGTTTCGATTTTACTTGGTATGTATTTTCTTATCTTTATCCATTTTCAGACACATTCAGTAAAATATTTGATAATTATAAATTATTTTAATATATTAAATTAAGTAAATTGAGGTTGAACCCATAGTTTAAGAAACTCTTGTTCAGACAATGAACTTTTGTATTTGACAGCTGATCTAAGATATCAGCTAGTATTAGGCATTTACTAGTTTTTACATTTTGATAAGATTTAGAGTTCTTTGGAAAGTAGCAGTGATTTATGCATGGGCATCATTGGCAAGGAAGACAACAGGTATGTGTAGAAGTGTGACTGAATTTCAATTTTGGATCCCTCAAAAACTGAATACCTGCGATGCTCATGGTTAAGAGGGAATAGACACACTGCAAAGACTTCCATACTAACTCATTTTTTTTATATTTTCCCAGAAATACTTAAAGAATTATTTTAAAACTTTAGAAGTATCTAGGTCATGTGATTGCTCCTACTTATCAATAAAGCTTAAACTTTTTAGAGGTTTAAGGGATTGATAATAAATTACTAATGTTCTCGAACACCCTATGCCAAAAATATAGCAGTAAGCTTGCAACTTACCTCAATTACTTTGAATAATATATGCAATAACCACACAAAGTTTTGCAAATCTAGCTTAAATATTCATGGAGATATGTACATTTTTATGAAAACTAATATTTAATTTTTAGCCGTACATTTTTTTCCTAACTGCATAAATATTCAATAAAACTGAACATACTTTTTACAGTAATTTTTTGTTTAGAATAAAAATAATTTGAAATTTGAAAAAAAACTCGTTAAAAATTGTACAATATATAAGCATTTACAGTTATCTTTTCATACTGCATTTAATTTTTTTTTCTTATCATCATTTTGTTTTGAATTGCATTTGGTAATTAATGAAAGAAGTTTAATTGGCATATTAATAAAAAGTCTGATCTGAAAAATTTAAAAAGTGCATAGTAATTTTCTAAGTAGATATTGTATTTTTTTTTAATATCAAATGATGAGGGGTTTTCTACAAATTTCATTTTGCATCATTTAAGAAAATTTAATGACAAATGATAGTACCCTAAAATGATGGTCTGGACAACAAAATATTAGGAAAGAAAACATAATTTAAATAGGGGGTGGGAGACCTATATAATGCCAATGACCCTTATAATAAATCCTGTTTAAGGGTAGAAAGTAAATTTTGTGGAAAACCCTTTACCATTTAAAGCTTTGTTTCGAAATTTATGAAAACTACTTAGAAAATAGCATACTTTTTAAGTTTTCAAGACATTCAAATACAATTTCATAAGTTACCAAATACAATTTAGAAGAAAATAAAGAAAACATTTTTTAAAAAGATTTTCTGCACATGCACAATATGAAAGTATGAATTTGAATGCTCATATCTCATGCAATTTTCAATGATTTTTTTTCTTCAAATTTTGAAATATTTTTGTTATTATTTAAAAATTGCGCTAAGATGCTTGTTTAACTTTATTGCATATTTCTGCAAATAAACTAAAACTCAGTGGCGTAACAGCTCATAGCGGGCCAAGGCCTACTGTGCCCATCTCAGTTTTCTTGACCTTGGGCTCTGGGGTGCAGGAGCAGATGTTCTGGTCAGGTGGTCAGCCTAACGCGGAACCCCCAGTGTTTAGTTCCCAAGCATGCTTGGTACNTAATTTTTTAATAATGCCATAAATATTCTATTAACAGTGTTTTCACTACAGCGGCTATAAGTATTAACCTTTAAATCAATATAATTTTTCGAATTTTTTTACAGGTATTGATACTGAAATATTCCTCTTAAAACATATCAGCTCAAATGAGGCAAAGAGTTTATTACTTAAATAATAATTTAATTTTTTAATAATGCCATAAATATTCTATTAACAGTGTTTTCACTACAGCGCGAGAACCTCGCATATTTTTTTCCTTTCTCGCATTAAAAAATGATTAACGCGAGAAGTTCTCGCACTCTATTAATGAATTTCAAAATGAGCTAATCTCGCGAATCTTGGTAAAAATTTCGTCTTTCGCTATTTTAAATGAAATCCGTTTCACTTTTCTTCCTTGATCTTTCCTTATTTTCAACATCGGTCCTTGTTATCAAGCTTTCCTATTTATCAGTATTGTTCAGAACCAGTGCGAACAGCTGAATACAATCCACCCCCGAAACCCTTTCAGAACACATTTCTCTTCAACCACGTGTTAACCGTAGGTAAGGTTTCTTCATGTAAGACGTTTAAATTTTTTGAGCTTGAATGTAAGATGGACAAATACCTTGTTAAGGCAACATTTTCTAGTCCGTAATGGACAAATGAAAATGAAACAAATGCGGGTAGGAACGGTCGAAACGAAACAAATACGGATATTCAATGGATACGGATCAAATACTAGCATGAAGTAAGAACATGAAAATAACTTCACTATTCTATAGCGGAAATAATTGAAAAACCTATGCTGGCAGATGAAGAGGATAGAAAAGTGTGTGCACAATGCTACAAATTTACTTAGTGGTTCCAAATAGTTCAGCATGTGTTGCACCCAAAACCGAATTAAGACAAAATATACTAACAGATTGACTGATAAGCATTTGAGCAACCTAATGAGAATAGCTGATGAAAAAGTAGATATAGAACATTTTCAATGTGATAATGTAGCAAAAATATTCAATGCTTTAAAAATTAGATGTTAAAAATGAAATATTTCTTTTCCAAGTCTATTCGTGTTTTTTTTTCATTTTTAGAAATCTCACCTATCTTTTTGAAATCTCACCCAGTTTTTGAGAAAGGGTAAGAAATTCTCACCCACTTTTTTTCTGTAATGAAAACACTGTATTAATGAATAATATTTTAAAGTAATGATCCACATAATTCTAAATCTGGTTCGTGATTTGTTATTTTCATACTATTTTAATTTCTTTTTATGTATTCATTGATATTTCACTGTTTTTACGCTAAAATCTATCAAAGCTAATAAAATCATGATATATTTCGAGAAGAACTAAGGCAATTATTATCCAAAGAACGGGAACTTGCAGAATTTTAGAATTAAACAGGTAGGAATTGAAATGTTAATTATTAATTACTAATAACAGTGTGAGATGTTTAAAATACATTTAAGAAAGTTATGTTGGGGATATTTCCGTATCAATACCTGTTCGTCCCAATGCCAACTAAATTTTAAGATTGAATTGCCAAGTATTTTCTAGTCTTTAAAGAATGAAACACGGTTTTTCTTTTAAATTCAAATAAAAAGAAATTCAATGAAGAAAGAATTTTTCTTTTATATTTTATTTAATTGTTTATTTATTGTTACAAGAACTTTCATGCGCTTTTCAAATTTTGTGTATTTTTACGAAACCTGCTCATTTTGTGCGCTTTCTGCTTTCACCGTACATAAATTTTTAAAAATCTCATTTAGGTAACGTAGTCAACACCTGAATAGCATTTTTGTAAAGTGGCATTCCAACTGACGCAAAAGAAATTCAGCGGCGTCTCAACAGTTTACGATCGCTTTGCTCGAATACGCTATCTAGGGAGAAAATCGGTTCCATGTTGTGATCGTCCCCCTTTCCTTTTCCTCTTCTTCTCAGTTGAATGCGAAATATATTCTTTCGTCAAAAATTCGTCAACAAGGCTCTCAATTTCTCTTGTTGGTGACCGGAAGTAGGTAAATCATATTCTTATTCCATACATTATTCAATAATATACCTTAAATTTAATAATTTCTGAAATAAGTGCTTTTTAGACAAAACTTTACAAACTTACGTTTTGGATTTTTTGTATACTTCCTTTCTTCAAATTCCATATAAATATTCCACTTTTAGAAGTTGCAGCTACAAGACAATTTGTATCACCTGGTGCCCAAGATAATGAATAGATTATACTAGCGTCTCCATGTGAAGAGTTTATCTGTAATGTGTTAAGATAATTTAAAGAATCTTCATTAAAAGCAAACTAGGATTTAGTATTTTCAAGATTAAATTAATGTAACTTATTAATAAGGTCCCATAGAGGACTGATCATAAAGACATTGCTTCTACTAGAACACCGAAGTCAAGCATGACTGGCAGCAGTCAGTGCGCTTTGTGACTGCTTTGGTTTTCCCTTGAAATGATCGATGGTACTCGGTATCTCCACTCGTTAAACTGTTGTACTCTTTAGAGTTCGACTTAGCGTGCAGGTGGTCATCGGGTAACGTTGTTGTTGTAGTTTTTCCTTACGTCGAACACACTTCTACATTTTTAACTTTTTGAGCAGAATGCTGCCACCATTGTATGTTTGATCCGGTTATGGTTTTTTGAAGAATGGAGCTCCGCAGCCATAGAAAGAATTATTTTTCGAACTCTGTTTATATTCATTTTTATTAAACTGAAGGACTCAAGAGATATTTGAAGACTATCAAGACTATTACTGTTCATTTATGACTACTTCCGTATGTTATTTTGTAAAAAAAATGTGTATGCATGGAAACTTTACCTTTGCAGGATCAAAACGCTAAAGCGGTATTTTTTTTTAATTCTTTAAAAAAGAAATTCCGACTAGCATTATTCTAAATTTATTACCATCATTACATTTTTCTCAGATCTGAAAATCCTAAGATATGCTTGTTCAGGGTTACCGCAGTCCTTGAAAATTTTAGAAAGTGGTAACGAAAATAAACCATATGTAGATATTTTAATTTCTTTGTAACCACAGCTAAAAATTGTTTTCCAAAGAAAGTATGCATGCATGAAAATTCCGCTTGCTGAACCACTTAATGATAAAGTGGTGTATTAAAATAAGAAATAAATTCTAGTATTAACCTAAATTTACTACAACTATTAAAATTTTTCAAGGATCGTGGGAACCCTGTTTAAGTCCGAGTCTTCTCCAAGTCTTGAAAATTAATTTAAAATTAATCTCCAGCACAATACATACCGCTTCCATTGTATTCACATTCCACACTTTTATGGTACCATCAAAGCTTGCCGTGGCTAGTAGATCAGGATTGTCAGGTTTAAATTGACAATCAAAAATTGTTTCAAGGTGTCCCTGGAGAAATAAGAAAAGTATCGAAATATTTAGGCATAAATCTGATGAAAAGTATACAGTTAGAGTGAAGAATGAAATAAAAAGCTCAAATGATGGAAAGTAGGCATGTAATACTACAGCGATGTCCGAAATTTTTGAGGAATGTTTTGAGGTAGTGGAAATATTTAAATTTCGTCAGTATCTGAAAGCCACATTAAATAACTTTTAGACAGTTTATATGTATGTTATACTTTATTTTATAATCGGGGTTGAACTGCCAACCCATTTTCTCTTGGGTTTACGGCTATCAATATTGAGCCTAACCCAAAAGACGAGGGCACTCCCGGAACAAGCATTGGGAAGCAATAGTTTCCTTGGAGAACATTTTGATGGAGTTAAACAGCATTTGCGTTACATGGAGAGGAAAGCCTCAAAAACCTCCCACGGCTAGCTCAGCGGCTTAGGCATACTTACCCATGATCCGTCTTCAACTGAGGATATTTTGCATCAGCATTCTCGTCTGTGCAACCGACAGCGGAATTGTTATCGAACCTGGGGCACTTCTTTGGGAGGCGAGTGCTATAGATTTAGCGTAGCATCTTTTAATAGAAAATGAACTAAAAGTAACAGGTTTCAAAAGAAGAAATCAGCGTTTTTGAGCTTTACCAATTCTTCTATATAAGCTATGACCGGATCACTCCCATTTAAAACGCTTTCAGTCATTTTTAAGTTTAGCGGAATTTCTAGTCGGAGCGCTTTTACACTATTTTTGGGGACCGATCAAAATTTGTTCGTACCGTCGTATCTGTTAAATTTTTGGCAAGTAATGATTGTCATTAAATCATTCCTTGCCAAGGCATCTTTCTGTATTGTTGAGAAAAGTGCTTTTTTTTAATGAAAAATGGGGCGAGTTTGGATCTAAATAGCCAATACACAAAAACGTACTTTCTGTGAGTAAAAGTAGATTTTTTGTGTGACAAATTTGTATATATTTTTTTTTTTGACAATCAAAATAAGATGAGGGAAGGAGGAATATGGTCCCGATAGTTTAGATATGAAAGCATAGTCGGAAGTTTGGGTTTCTCACTTTTTATTTATTTACTATTTACTTTTTGTTGCATTTTTAGCCACATTATGAGAACAATTTAAAAATAACCGAAAAGCTTTTACGCACGATTATACAATTAGGCTAAACCTTTTTCCACCTTGATGAAAATTATCAAAATCAATGCCTTATTCCCCTTTTTTCCAAATTTTTATGGGCCCAGATAAGGTAGCATTGGAGTAAGTTTTTAAATGTAAAAAAATTAGACTTTTTGCCAAAACAGTGGCTTTTTTTTCCATATTTATGTTCTGCGCCATTATCAAAATAAACAATTAGAGCGCTGGTTAAAGATTGGTTAAACTTGACTTAGTAGTCATGAGTAACTGGTGTAAATTCACATCAGTTGTGGATATAGCATATTATTCATAAAAAAAGCAGACTAATTTTTTTAACATGCGTCAGGCACTCACCATATTTCGCAAAAAGTCCCATGTCGAGTTCTTCAAATTGTATACACCAACTCCTCCGTCAAAAAATAAGCAAATTATTCTTGATGAAAACATTTGTTTAGTTGAAGAAGTTTCAGTTTGGGGTGAGTCTTTATTGCATAAAGAGGGTAGCACACAAAGAGCCTTGAATCCAACTTGCTTGAGTCTTAATGTATGCTGAGGCTTTTCGTTTGACACCGTCCATGTCCGCAAAACTCCTGCTTCAGCATCTAGATTATTTTTTAAAAGCTTAAGCAAAGAATGTAAAAATAAATAAAATTTATACAATAAATACAATTGGTAAACATTCGACATCGATTCTATTACTTACCATTATATCATTACAATTTCAATTATTTCTTCACTTACTATTTTATGGTTACAACTTTAGAAGAAGTAACAGAACGAATGTTAAGTGAATGGCATTATTTTAATCCTATGATGCAGAACTTTTGTTAAACATATTTTTCATACTTTGTTCATTATTTTGTATTAATAAGTCTAAATAAATGAAAAAAATGCCATGTTTAGCATTTTAATATTTTATAGCTATAAAATATAGCACGTCTTTAGATGCATACAGCATGGTCAGAAAATACAGGTGTCTTTTTCTTCGTTGAAGGTAATATCTTCCGAACATGGCTCACTTCCAAACAATATTTTTTCAAATTTGCACTTATATGCAGTTGTTTATATCTGAGAGAAACAGTTATTAACTTTTAAAATTTCTCAAAATCAACCACTGAATATATAAATTTACAAATAAATTTGCAAACTAATAAATTTACAAAATAAATTATTGATAAATTTTTGAATATGAAAAAAAAAAAATTCTAACTAATTTTCTTTTAATTTAATATTTTAGAACAAATATAATTACGGCAATCTAACAATTTCTTTTAGTAAGTATTAGACTGTTTTTCATAATTAAATAATTCCAAAATATATTTTTGCTCGTAGTAAGAGCATCAGAAAAAAGGGACGCCAGTGTCCCATCAGCGTCAAAGGGTTAAAGACTGACACAGTAGAAAAACTTTTTATATCCTAAAATAAGTTTTTCACAGTTAGATTTTGTGAAATAAGTTTTTAAATATTTAAAGTAGCGATTTTATGGTATCTTTTTCACAAATAAAAGTTAATAATTCTAAATTTTAAATTTTTTGCACTTATTTGTTAAATAAAATCATGTCACGTTCATCTAAAAAAGAAATTAAGAAAAAAATCCAGTATTAAGTAAAATAGTAAGCGCTTTTAAAAGGAAATTTAAAAACTGTTAAATGCCAAAAGAAAATATCAATAACTTTTCTTTAATTTTGTGTAAAAAAAATTTCTTCCTCAAGCGGAGATTAAACAAAAACAGAGTTAATTGGAGAATTTAATATTAAATAATTAAACCCTTTGCTGTCTGTTGTCTCTTATGAAGCGACATCAAAAGACACCGCTCTAAAATAAAAATATTTGTATCTTAATAATTAGAAATCACATTATTTCATGAATTTTAAAAAGATATGTAAGAATACTGTTTTATGTATTTTAAATGATTTAATGCTTTCATTAGTTGAAATAGGATTTAAAAGTATTCGGAGTGCAAAGGGCTTTATAACGCAAAAGAAGAAAATTTGTCCGGCACTTAAAAAGTTATTCTTGTTATTTTCCATTTCTTATGACCTGCATTTTTATTATCGGTTGCCATATTATTTATGTAAGAAGAAAAAGGGGCGCAACTTCGATAACCTAAGAATAAAATAGCGCTTTCTCGATCACAGAAGCAAAGCCACTTATCTCACTAAAAACTAAACATATAGCTGCTAAAATATGTTTCATAACAGTTAGACAATCTTTAATTGTTAAACATTTAATAAATTTCTCATTTAACAGAGTTTTCAATTTATCTCTGCATGAGGAAAACATCTTATAATTTAAAATTAATTTCCTTTTCGCAGTATTATTATTTTGCTTTTAACAGTTAGCATTTTTTAAATTCTCTCTAAAAAGCACTTAATCACATAATTACAGGACATTAATTCACATACATTTCATTACACTTATTATATTACACTTATTTCACATCATTACAGAAATTTCATAAGGAGAAGTGCATAAAAATTGAATTGATTAATGCTAACTGGAAAACAGTTTTGTTGAAAAATTGTTTTAACCCATGATTAGACTAAGTATATTAAAAATTATTTCACGAATATTGTTGCCTAAAAAAACATTAACTTTTGTTTTTTCAACAACATAAGCATTAATTAGTTTCAATTTTTTTAATGATTAGCAATAATTGGAAGTTAAGAAAAAAGAAGAAATTTTGGAGATAAGCACTAAATTAATGACTAGATTAACACAGTAAATCCTATTTAATGAATATAGTTGTGTAAAAACATTAATTTTTGTTTTTTTTAACAACATAAGCATTAATTAGTTGCAAATTTTAGCAATAATTTGACTAGCAATAATTTAAAATCAAAATAATAACTGAAAATATGGAGGTAAGCTCTAAAATATTGACAAGAATAAACACATTAAAGCCTATTATATGAATATAGTTGTGTGAAAAATAGTATTTTTCTTTTTTTTCAACAACGTAAGCACTAATTAATTCCAAATTTTTAAATGACTAGCATTGAATTAATGTTAAAAAATAAAGGAGAATATGGAAATAAAACTCAAAAATGAAATAATATAATTCATGACAATTATAGAGCTCATCTGTGTTTAACTTTGGTTTCTAAAGTTTCGACCTATTGTTAGTGAAATTCTATGCTTGAAAAGAACTAGAATAAATATTCGAAGAAATTTTAGTTATTTCCACGAAATAAAGCTATGTTATTTATTAAGGATTCGATGTAAAAGCAGCATCAACTTTTCTCAAAATTTTCTAGATCGTATTTCAAAAAACATATTGCTTTTCAGTTTAACAAGGTTCATAATTCTTATTTTTAGTCTAAGAGATTCTTAACGAAATTCCAGTTTTTTGATTTAACCTATTCTAACGGACCAGTCATATATGCATTATCAGGTTGGCGGGAATCAGGGTAAGGAAGATAAAACTTTTAAGTAAACTATTTCCTTAGTAGTTTATTTATTGACGGGTAATAGTAGTTCGATTTATTTAACTCGCCACTGCTTAATTCAAAATATATATTATATAGTTATATTTTGAACTGACATTGATTTCAGTTGTAGGGATGTCAATATGCTAATATGCTCCGTTTTGTAAAACAGTGTTCTCTAATCGTAGCGGAATTTAAGTTATTTTTAGCTTAGAATTTTTCAATTTAAGTAATTGTTTCACCACTACAGATAAGAAATTTAAAGTATCACATGAAATACAACTTTTTTGCGGTTATCTCGTGGGTAGTTAACACTAGGTTTACGGACGTTTCTTATATACCTATCTCTACGGACACACGTCAATTTGACGTATGAAAGAATTGTGATTCTTAATTTAATAAATTCAATTTTGTAGATTTTTATCCACCACTATTTCTAAATAATTCGTAGGCCTATATAATTCACCACTTCATATTTCAAAATTTACTTTGTTGTTATTTACCATTTTTTAAAAATTATTTTCGCGTGTCCGGAGCAGTTGGCATCTCTGGACTTAGAAACCAATGTATATGTATACTATAAGAAAAAAAAATGAAGATATGAGATATTTATTTATGAAATATTCTAGTATTTTATGTTTCAATACTCGAACTAAGCAACTGAAACCTTCAAAATCTGACACTCTGACATCAATTGACATTCTGCGTTTGTTCTTTCTATTATTGCTTATCGGCAACAGTTGTTTATCACTTGT